GAGTCGGAGGAGGGCCTCCTTGCCGGCCTGCCCGGCCTGCCCGGCCTGCCGCACTCGACGGCCAGTCTGGCCGGCACGGCGTGCTGGGTCATCTGGACGCACATGGCGGGGACCGGCGGGGACGCAATCGAGAGGCGGAAACAGCAGGTGTCGCTGTGTGGACACTGTTATCTTTGACTTTGGCGCGGGGCACTGCGGAGGGAGGGACCGAGGCCTGGCCAGGCCGCTCTGCAGGCTGTGTCTCTCTCGCACTCGCGGGGCGTCCCTCATTGGTGCGAGAGAGACAGAATGTGTCTACTGCTCGCGGCGTGGCGGCGCATCGTGACTGGCTGCTCAGTGCGCAGCCCGGCGTCCTCGGCCGCGTCCTTGGCGAGGTCGCTTCGATGCAGCGCGGAGGGCACGCCGGGCGGGCGGCGGCCGCGGCGGGGCGAAGGGTGCCAGAGTGCAAGGGCAAGCAGCGCGCCGAACGGGCCGAAGGTGTTGCCTTGGCAGTGTGGCGGATGACTCGACGGCTCACACACTGTAACACACTGCGCGCGCATGGCTGCTAAGGAACCGATGCGACGACGCTTCGTCATCAAGTCGCGCATGCTCCGTTTTCGTGACAGATTTGTTGGAATCCCGACCCAAGGCCGACTCGTGTCGCTCCAATGGAGGCGCGATTCACTCGGCAATCGCCTCCGCGTGACGTCACGTCCAGTGTGGTGACACTGTACCCAGTCTGTACATGCCGAGGGGGTCATAACCCCGGGCCGGCCCGATCAAACCTCTTGACTTGACCAATACGATCACTCAGCGTCGGCAAGAGGCGGCGTCGGCACTTGTCCGCGCCCTGCGGTGGCTGGCTGAGGGCAAAGATTTTGTCGCGCTGTCTCTATAGATAGAGCGACGAAATGCAGATCGGTACCGGCGTCCTGCTTTCCTGGTGGGTTCGGCGGTTGGTTTGTCTCGGTGCGAGTGCGAGCCAGGGCCAGGCCGGGGCAGACCAGGGCCTGGATGGCGTTGGTGGCGTTGTCGCTCTGCTGCGCCAGGCCGTCGCCGGGCCCCACCACGCCGTGCCTGCCGCGGCGACGTCGCGCGCTGAACCACGCCGGGCAGCGCTCCGCCTTTGGGCCCCGCCTGGCCCCGCCATGGCGGCACGGCCCGGCCGGGGCGGCTGGGGCCGCGTGCCGCGTGCATGGGCCCTGCCCGGCCACGCCATGAGCCGGCCCGGCACGGCAGTCAACCCGCCGCCGCCGAGACAGCAACATCCCCCGTCCCTCCGCCAAGACCCTCGCGATCGTAAAGTCCCCCGCGTCCGTCTGTCCGTTCCCCGTGAGTCTACCCCTCGCGCGCGTGTACACTGTAGACTCCCCCGCGAGTGCCAGCGCCCGATCCACCGCCAGGATGCGCACCAAGACGCTGTCGGTGGACGCGGACCGCGTCGTGCTGACGGAGGCGCGCGCCGCCCGCACCAAGTACCTGGAGCTGGACGCCGACGACGTGTCGGACGCCGAGGCCGCCGACGAGGCCGACTGGGGGCCTTCCCCCAAGTCGTCGGCCTCGGCCTCCCCCGCCGCGCCGTCCTCGCCGCAGGGCACGTCGCCGCCCTCGTCGTCCTCGTCGTCGTGGAGGCGCATCGCCTTCAACAAGAAGAAAGGTGCGCGCGCTAACAGTGCGGTGGCCGCCGTGCCCGTCGGCCTGCTCGTGGGAACGCCATCCGCGCCGTCTGCAGGCTGAGTCCGGGGACAGTGCTTGTCTCTCTCGCACTGCCATAGAACGCCCCGTGAGTGCGAGAGAGACAGAGCGACGAGGCCGGTGCATCTATTTGCATGCAGGATGTGTGTCGCGTCGCCGGCCAGCGCCGCCCAGCCGGTCAAGCGCCCCGTAGACAGCTCAATAAGTACCCGCGCGGAAACGCCGCGGTTGTCTTTGCTGGTGGACCAGCAAGGCATCGCCCTTCCGGCACCGCCGTGTGTTCGATCCGAGCCTGCACTGCACGAAGAATCTAGATCTTGAAACGCGTCCAGAGTCGCCGTGTGCCCGAACTGGTCTTCCTCTGGCCACTGTACTACGCGTGCTGCGATCCCGGTCGCTCCGTCCCTCTCGCACCCCAGCGGGACGCCCCCTGAGTGCGAGAGAGACAGAGAGACCCCTTTCCGCTATCGGGAATAAAGCGGGCAATAATAAACGGAGCCGTAAAGACGTCTGGCTTGGGCTGCTTGGCCGGCAAAGCGCGCGGCACTTCTCGGGAAAACCCGGCCGAGCCGCCGAGATGTGCCGCTTTTGTGTTTGCACTGCTCTGGGTTAAGCGTCCCGGCGTGCGCGCGTGCGCGCCGTGGAACTGTACTGCACTTTGCGAACGATACGGCATGATAACGCAGCAACGCCGCGCCGCCACGCCGCGCCGGCATGGAGTCTAGCTTCCGGTGCTGCTGCCGCCGACGTCGCCGCCGACGTCGTCATGTTTTCGAGCGGATCCTTGTTTGCCCCTCGACGGGATGCTTGCCGTTGCTGGCTGTGCTGTTGCATTCGCGCGTGCGATACGCGCGTTCTACGCCGCCGTCTCGCCTAGCCCGGACGCGCGGCTGGCTGCCTGGCGGGCTGGCTGGCTGGCTGGCTGGCTGTGAGTGGCTGCGAGGCCCTGACCCCTGCGAGGTAGGCCGACACCTGGCTGCGACGCGCGCGTGCATGCGGGCAGCCTACCCACCGGGCGCTCCATTGCCATTACCATTACGGGCCCGCTCCGCGCTCCGCCCCGCCGTGCCAGGCTCGGGCCGCGTCGCCGCGTCGGCCCACGGCCGGATGCTGCGTCGCGTCGCGTTCGGCCTCTGGGCGCGTTCGCGCGTTCGCCTTTCCCGGTACTGCTGTGTTTCCATGAATGATTGGCGGGGCCGTGCGGCCGGGGGGCCGCCAGCAAGGGAGTGACGCACGAGGACCGCGTCGACGCGTCATGGTTCGTGATTTAGCGCCCGCCGTGCATTGATAGGGCGGTCTCTCTCGCACCCCCGCGGGGTGCCTCGCGAGTGCGACAGAGGCGTTTCTGCGCATGGCCGCACGAGCGTGAGAGAGGCGGGCGACGAAATCGCTTTTCTGAATCAATCACTCGGCAAGGGCTTCGCCGGTGCGGTCGTCACGTCCGAGCACGGTTCTTACAGTTTGTCGCTTGGCGCCGCGAGCTCGCGCGTCTCCAGCGCCGCCTTCCGGCGGGCGGGCGAAGCTCCTCGTCGAGTGGCGCCATCCGCGGCCCTCCGCCGCGCCCTGCGCCCTTCGCCTCGCCCTGTGCTTGGCCCCCACCCCCCACCCCCGCACTGGGCCAGGCCTGGCCAAGCCGCCACAGGCATCCGCGAGGCGGCCCTGCCTGGCCCTGCCGGGCCAAGCCGCCTGGCCCGCCTGGCCCTGCCACGAGTCTGGGGCCCGCGTCGTAGCGCGCCGCCACGCGACGCCCGCGACGCCCTGGCGCACGACGCGCACGCACGCACGCCTGCTCGCGGCGCGGCCGACGCGATGGCCGTCCGGCAGCCCGTCCGGCAGGCCGTTCGGTGACACGGGCGCGCGACGGGAAGGGACGCGAAGAAGGGACGTGGCTGGTGGTCCAGGATGCTGCACTCGAACCCGCTCTTCTCGTACTCGGGGCTGGCGGCCCGCCACGGTGAGTGCCTCGCCGGCCCTGTCTCTCTCGCTTCCATGGTCCGTCCCGGATAGGCGCGAGAGGCACAGAACGCCTCTGGGAATCAGTCGTCGGGGCAGCACCCAAGTCAGCGGCATCAGCCAGCAGGTGGGCGCGCGGTGCTCGCCGTGGTCCTCCTCCCCCGAGCGTCGCGTCGGCCGGGCCGCCCGGTGCAACGGTTGCAACCCTTTACCGGGACCCCCGCGACGCAGCGCGACGCAGCGCCGCCATGTCGGCCATGTCGGCGTGTTGTGGTCCCTGCGCCGGCCGTGCGTGGCGTGCTTGGTGGCGTGCGGGCCGTGGCCGCGGGGGTTCGCGCCGTTCGCGCCGGTGCCGTCGGCCAGCTTGGCTCGCCTGCTTGCTTGGCTCGCCGCTTCGCGCGCGGCCTTTATTGATCACCCCGCCGTCGCCCTCCCCCTCCCCCGGGGCGCCACGCGGCGCCACGCCGCTCCACGCCGGGCCAGCGCTGCGCCTCGCCGCGCCACCCCCGCTCGGATCAATGGGCTGGGCTGGCTGAGGGCGGCAGGCAGGGCGGCAGGCAGGGCGGCGTGGCGCCGCGCGCAGCGTTCGCGTCGCCAGTGCCGTGTTGACCTGCATGTGGCGGAGGTGGCGCGACGCGAGGCCTTGCGCGAGGCCGTCCCCCCGTAGGCCCCGTAGCCCCGCAGGCCGCAGGCTGGCCCCTGGCCTGCTGCGCCCCCAGGGCCCCCATGCAGACCCTCCGCAAGAAGAGCAGCCCCCTGAAGCGTGAGTACGGCAGCGCGGCCGCCCCGGGATGCCGAAAGGGCGCTGCGAAAGGACACTGCACCCCGCCTGTACGCGGACCACGCCTGTACTCGCGGGTACCCCGCGGACATTTTTTTTGCCGCTGGCGAGCTGAGTTGCGGCGCGGGGTGCGCGGTGGCGTGGGCGTCGGACTACGCCAGGACGCGGCCGCGGCCCCGGCCCTGGTGGCCCCCGCCCCGCGGCCCCCGCGGCCGTCGCCCCCGCTGCCTGGCAGTGCCCTGGCAGTGCCTGCCGACCCTAACCTCACTTCGGGGAGCGGGCGGAGCGGAGGGTGTCGGACGGAGGGCCGATGCCTTCCTCGGCTCTTGATTGATGGCGCTGTGAATCGTTCGCACGTCAGGCCTGCGATCTCCGCAAAGTGCGCGTCGCTGGAAAAAAAAATTGGGGCCAGCGAAGTGATGCTCGGGATAGTGCCAGTTATGGTTGTTTATGTATTTTTGGAGTTTTTCTTGAGACGGGGAAATCTTTTTATCGTGGTCGAATAGCGACTGCTGGCATTTTTCACGCCTTCGTTGACGCGGCAGAGAGGTTTAGCACCGGCCTCATGGTTTTTATCGGCGTGTTTCAGATAAAAATGAGCCCTCTCGATTTATGGGAGAAGGGGTGAGCTTCAAGGCCAAGCTCATCGGCATCCTGGAGGTGGCCGAGGCCCGCGGCGACCGCATGTGCCAGGACGCCCTCGCCGACCTCAAGATGGCCATCCGGGCGGCCGGCGAGCACAAGCAGCGCATCACCATCAACATCGCCATCGATGGGCTGCGACTGCGAGACGAAAAGACTGGGGTGAGTGACTGAGACAGACGCAGCAAAGTCACGGTGTGACAGGGTGCTGCCATTGCCACGCTATGACTTTACGTCCCTGTCTTCTGAGAGAGTGCTAATGTGTGTGTGCCGTTTGGATTCCGCAGGACTGCCTATACCACCACTTAGTTCACAAAATATCGTTCATCGCCCAAGACATGACTGACCCCAGGGCGTTTGGATACATTTTCGGTTCACCCGACACCGGCCACAGGTTCTTCGGCATCAAGACAGACAAGGCCGCGAGCCAGGTTGGTGTGCGCAGCCGTGGGAGGCTACGCGTTACTCTGAGAATTATTGGAAGAAATGACGTGCTCTGCCCGTTTGCAGGTGGTCGAGTGCATCAGAGACCTCTTCCAAGTTGTGTTCGCCCTCAAGAACCGGGAGCAGCACGTAGAGCAGCACCACCTCAAGATCTGCGGCGGCAGCACGGCCAGCCTCATGTCCAGCACCACCACCCCCTCCGTCACCTACATGGAGGCCATGCAGCACCACTTGAACAAGGTATGTCCGCAGCCGTCGACTCGCTGCAACGTGAGGGAAGGGGCACGCTAACGGCCTCGACATGGCCTCTGCTTGCTCCAGGAATCGGTGCGAGAAAACGGCTCACCCGGCGCGGGGGCGGCCTCCTCGTCCAAGGCCGAGTCCGAGGCCACCATCGCCGACCTACTGGACCTGGAGTACGAGCTCAACAACCTGCAGTCCAACATGCACCACATGTCCCACCACGTAGATCCCCACCACGTGGATCACCTCATGGGCTCCAGGCCCTCCGACGAGGATGAGTTCGGAGCGGACCCCTTCGGCGACTCGTTCGCGGCCACCGTGGCCGCCAGGCAGGCCGCCAAAGCGTCTGCTGCCGCGGCAGCCACGTCGTCGGCGGCCCCCGTGGCCGTGCTGCCGCCGCCGCCCTCCGCCAAGGACTCCGTCAAGGCTGACGGCACGCACCGCCGGGAGCGAGCCTCCAACAGGGCGGCCTCCACCACGTCCGCCGGCGCCAGCAGCACCACGTCCTCGCACTACGCGACCACGCCCATGCCCGCGCCGCTCGCCCAGGAGGAGAAGCACTGGTTCGACCAGGAGACGGAGGCCCTCTTCGACGACGCAGAACTTACGCAGACCATGCCCAACACGGGCAGTTCCCGGCTGGACCAGGTGCGTACATTGTGCGGTAGGTTGACGAAGTTGTCGGTGATGTTGTGCACACTGTTAACACTTTGACTGCCGTTTTAGGATGCTAACCGTGTTTCGCCGCTCGAGCTGCTGTCGCGGCAGGCGGCTTTGACTGACCAATTCGATGTGTTCACCGAGCTGGACCCGCTGGGCACGGGCCGCAGCAAACCCTACGTCGACAAGAAGGACTTCTTCTCAGATTTGAAGAACCCGCCCAAGAAAGTGTTGAAAGACCTGGTGGACCCTCTGTCGGTAGTCATCGCCAGCACCGGCACCACCGCCTCGGCCAGCAACTGCAGCAACACGACCCCCCTGTTCCAAACGTCGTTCGACAAAGGTAGCAGAGACGTGGCCGGGCCCTCGGCGGGGCCGCAGCCGGACGCTTTGGGTGATGTGTTGTCTGCTTTGGAATCTGGATTCGCTCCCGGAGGCTCCACCTCTTTCCCTGCTTTCCCCGACCCCTTTTCAGACGACCCCTTCGACAAGACGGACCCGTTCGCGGAGGGCAGCTTTAGCCAGACTGTTAGTTTTAGTCCCAATACTGTGATGCCAGACCCCTTCGAGACAGGTTTTGCAGATTTCTCCTCCTTCCCTCCCGGCTCAAGGAACAGCACCTCACCGCTGCAGACCAGCTCGGCCTCGGCGGGCAGCAGCGTGGCACTGCACGGCCACGGCCACGGCCCGCTGAGGGTGTCGCTGCCTCCCGAGGAAGGCGCGGCCTCGGCGGCCTCGACCAGCTGCCTGTCGCCCAGCCCCCCGCTCAGCGGCTCCCTCAGCAAGCCGCGCAACCGCCTGGGGCGCAAGCAGCTGTCGGTGTCGCTGGTCAAGATCCCCAGCCCCAAGTCCTCGCAACGGCGGTCGCGGCTGTCCAAGCAGGTGACGGTCGACGGCAGCACGACGGCGAGGTTCCCGCCCCTGGGCTCCAGCCCCACGCCCCCGCTGGATGACTCTAGCTCAACCGGGTCGCAGCAGCGGCGCTCGCCGGGCGGCCTGAGCCGCGGAGTCATCACGCCTTCGCCGCCCATCGTGGCCTCGTTCCCGGACCTCGACGGCGACGCCGGCTCCAGGCTGTCAGGGTCGAGCGCCGAGCTGGCAGAGATCGCCCCCGAGCCGCCACCCCGGCCCGCGCCCAACAACGCCTTCTCCATCAAGCCACCGCCACTGCCGCCCAAGAAGCACACGGGCGCCATCTACAAGCCACCGCCCCGGCCGCCGCACCAGGACGACTCGATCTACGACCACATCGAGAACTACGAGTCTTCCTCCAGCCCCACGCCACACGACCTGGCCGACGCCCTGGCCGACGCCAAGAGCCCCCCGATCCCGGTGCCGGCCCGCAAGCCTCGCTACGGCGACGACAACTCGCTGCCGCTGCGGCCCAAGAAGCAGAACGTGCTGGCCGAGACGGAGGACGGCTACCTCGCGCCCATCCCCTTCCTGCCGCCCCCCGTCAAGCGCCACCAGTCCGGCCACGCGCGCAAGGCAGGCCAGCAGGTAGCGCCGCCGGCACAGGGAGGCCCAGCCGCCCCCGCCAAGAAGTCGCTCGACATCACCCTCAGCCAGCTCACCAAGACGGGCTTCTCCGACCTGGCCACCACGCTGGGCATCTCCCCCAGCCAGCTGTCCAAGATGACGCTGCAGGACCTGACGAAGCGCCTGGCCAGCCTGTCGGACCCCAGCGCGCCGCAGGACGCGTTCACAGCCGGGAACAGGTCCTCGCTCAGCAAGGCGGAGTACACGGCGCTGCGCGAGTCTGTGGACGAGGACTCTGGCTTCGCCGCCGAGTTCGACGACAACTTCTGCAACTTGGCGAGCGCGACCGCGTCGTCGTCCGCGGCGGCCGAGTCCCTCTTCGACAAGTACGCCGTGTTCAGAGAGCTGCTGCTGCAGGACGACAAGGCGCGCGCGGACGAGCCGCAGAACGACCTATCCGTCACCAAGGTGGACGTCCGCGAGGAGGACGACGACGAGGAAGACGCTCAAGACGCGCCCCTCGCCGGGCTGTCGACCGGGCTGTCGGCCGCGGTGTCCTCGGTGCCGCACTCGTCGCCCATCACCATCCACGTGGCGCAGCCCGACTCGGCGTCCGCGTCGCCCTCGCCGGCGCAGGCCATGTCCGACACGCCGCTCGACAGGTACGCCGCGCTCAGGGAGATCGCCCTCGGCGACGAGTCCAGCACCAAGGAGGACGACGAAGACGCGCGCGACGAGGACAACCACGCCTACGCCGAGGTGGACAACGAGAGCGACAAGGACGACAGCATGACAGAGGTGATCCACGAGGCCATGGCGGTGCAGGACGAAGACCAGGACCTGCTGACGCTGTCCGCGCAGCACAGCGAGAGCACGGAGTCGCCCACGCTGGACACCAACACGGTGCGCGACGCGCCCTCCATCATGGAGACCACCATCTTGGAGGAGGACGCGCCCTCGGAGGGCGACGGCGAGCAGGTGTCCGGTCAGCCCAGGACGTCGCTGCTAGACGCGAGCATCGTCTCCCTGGAGCCCGTCCCCGAGAACCTAGAGCTGTCGTCCAAGTCGCTGCTGCCCAGCCTGGTGAACGGCGCCGCGGCCAGCGAGCACACCGTCAAGACCCCCGCCGCGCCGGTCAGCGCCATGACGGCCAAGACACCCGCGGCCGACCCGGCCCCCTCGTCACGCCCGCACTCGTTGGAGGCGAAGGCCGCCGCCGAGCCCTGGGCCAAGTTCGACTCTAGTCAATTCGAGAAACCGGTGAGCGACGAGGGGGCGTCGCCGTGGTCCTCCGACGGCAAGGAGTTCATCAAGGGCTCGGTGTCCGGCTGGAAGGACGACTCGGACCACGAGCGCCGCGACAAGGGCCGCGACAAGGGCAGGCGACGGCGCCCCAACAGAGGCCCGGGGCCGCCGGCTGGGTCCGCCGCCTGGGCCGAGGATGAAGAGTCCGAGGAGGGCTGGGACGACCGCGTCAGCGACGACCCGTGGGAGAACGGCTTCGACGAGGGCCAAGGTCGGCCCGGGGGCCGCTATCCGGAGCCACGCCGCAGCAGGCGGCGCAAGGTGTCGCCGTGGCGGCGCGGCGCGGGGTCGTCCTCCGGCAAGCAGTCCAGCAGGGAGGTGTCGCCGTGGGAGAGCGGCGAGAGCACGGGGCCGCCGCCTGGACCGCCGCCTGGCGACGACATGAAGCGCGGCTGGAAGTCGCGGTCCAAGAACAGGGAGTCCTCGTGGGAGGAGGACCGCGCCCTGCCCCCGCGCGTGCCGGGCAGCACAGGCCCGGGCTCCGGTGGCCCCGGAAGCGGACGCGGCTCGTGGGACGGCGACGGCTCGGAGTACGAGGACGCGCGCAAGCGCCGCCAGTCGCCCTGGGGTGAGGACCGGGACCGCGAGCGCGAGCGCCGGCACGCCTGGGAGGAGGGCGAGTGGTACGGCCAGGCTCGCGAGGCGCGTGAGGGATGGGACTGGCACTACCGGGACAAGGAACGCGACCACCGCGACGACGAGTACCGGCGCCGCTGGGAGTACGAGCGCGGCCGGGACCGCGACTGGGAGTGGGACCGCTACGGCCGGCCCAGGAAGCCCGGCCCAGGCTCGCACTACCGCGACCAGAGCTGGGACGACGAGCTGAGCGAGCAGGGCGACGACGACAGAGGACCCCGCGGCCCGCACGGCCCACCAGGGCGGAAGTGGCGGCGGTCGCGGCCCGGCAGCGCGGCGAGCCGCGGCCACGAGAGGGTGTCGCCCAGCACGTCCATCGAGTACAAGGAGGACGACAGCCCCGGGCCGTGCCCGCCCACCTCGGCCACGGCGCCCCGGCGGCGCGGCTACCACGACCGCGACTGGGAGCGCGACAGAGACAGAGAGCGGGAGCGCGACCGAGACCGCATGGGCGGCAGCATGGACCGGCGGTCGCGCAGCCGCGATGACCCCTTCAGTTCCGACCAGGAGCACGAGTACTGGGAGCGCGGGGAGCGAACGCGCAGCCGGACGGAGCGCGGCGACCCCCGCTATGACCAGCGCTCCCAGACGCTGTACGCGCGTCGCGCCAACCGCGCGCGGTACAAGACCTACGACCAGTCCTTCGCGGCCAAGCAGTCCCCCTTCGAGGACGACTTCTCCTCGCAGCGCTTCGACTTTGTCATCGAGCCGAAGCAGAGCTCAACCAGCTTCAGTCAAGAGAGCAGCCTGGACGCGAGCGAGCCCAACCGGTCGCCGCTGCCGGCCTCCGTTCACGTCGCGCACCCCGGGCACGCCGCCGCCCCGGGGCTGAGGCCGCAGAGCGGGTCGGCCTCGTCGCGCCTCAGGGACAGCCTGTCCGAGTCCGAGGAGGCCCGCGCCGCGGAGGGCGGCCTGGGCGGCCTGGGGGCGTCGCTGAGCCCGCTGGAGCGTGGCGGCAGCGGCCGCGGCCGAGCGTCTTCCATTGGCTCTAGCCGCCGGCAGTCGCCCTTCGAGGACGACTTCACCCCGCCCAACAGCGCAGGGGCGCGCCACCTCTCCAGCGCCTCCAGCGACATCAGCGACCAGCACCGCTTCGACGACGCGCCGCCCGGTCTGGGCAGCCGGCCCGGCAGCGGCCGCACCAGGACGGCGCCGATCGGCGAGGCTCGCGACCCGCGTGACCCGGACGCCAGGAGCAATGGCAGGTCCATGGACGACGTGTTCCTGCCGGCGGACGTCGGCCGCGCCCACTCCAGCCACACCGACGCGCTTCCCGCAGACGCCACGGCAGAACCTGTGATATCCCCCAACCGGCCGCCGCCAGCCGTGTCGTCCGAACACCGGCGCTCCGTTCGCATCAGCGGCGAGGACAAGAACCTGGCCGGCATGAAGGCGCGCCTCGCCAACCTGCGGCGGACGGACTCGTCGTCCAGCCTGCGCAAGTCCGAGTCCATCAACATCTTCGCCAGGAGCTGCGACCCCTTCGACGACGACGACTTCTTCGCCGAGGACGGCTCCGTGGCGACCGCGCCGGGCGGCAGCGGCAGGGCGGAGCACCCGGGCCAACAGGGACACCCACAGGGACACCCACAGGGACACCCGGCGCGGCCCGCTGGGGATCAGTACAAGTGGACCGAGGCGTTCGACTCGTTCAATTTCGAGGAGGAACACTGACGAGGTATGGCGCACTCTCTTTCTCTCTTGGTATTCCGTGTGGCATGGTACTGACAGTCACTGTGACTGAAGGAATTCTCTTCTATTTTCAATGATATGTATTGTATATTTTAGTGAATGTGAATGTCTGTAGAATTATTTTGCTTTAGACATGTTGCCATTATTACTGTCTGCTTCTGTTTTTTATTATATTGTGTATTTTTAAGGACTCTGATGTACATGGAAATCATACATTGTGATTAACTTGTCATTAGTATGACATGAAATGCCCATTGAATTTGCCTGTCTGTTGCTGGCAATAGACATGACTGCTGCTACTTTTTAATTCATTCTAGGTTTTGCTTTGTTCTAGCTTTACTTATGTTTTTTTTTCTTGTTTTAATTTCGATTAGTTCTTGTCTAGAGTAATATTTGCCAGTGTGCTTTTAATCCTTGCATAGAAAGCCTTGCTTATGTTCCTATGTAAGATTTTTAGACAGATGAAATTTACTTGATTGTGTATGCATCCCACTGCATATTGATGCCACTGTCAGAAAGTCAGCAAATCCAATCAATGACTTATGACTTCAGTTTTCATGAATTAACCAACTTCTAAGGAGTTGAAAATGGTGGCTGACCACATTTAATGGAATCTTCCTTTCTGCTGTCCTTCCAATCTTAAACGTTATTCCCAGTGAGGTCTTTCCCTTTTTTCCCCTCTTCTTTTTTATGTTTCAATTTTCACTTTTGTAGCAATGTCTGAAACTATTTATTTATGTATTTGCCCATTGTGATATTGTACCTATTTAAATATATACTAGCTACGGTATATTTGTGAAATGTTTGCTGTAGTCGAGTGTTAGCTGAGTTCTTAGATGCTTTACTTGTTGTTTGGAAAGTGGGACATCTCTTCCCCTTCTCCCAAAAGTCCTAACCAACTTTGACAGAGTCTTCTGCAATTCAAATCTACTACTGTGGTATTTTCTGAGAATTTTCCATGCTAAACTGTTTGTTCTGTTTCAATTTTATTTTTTTGCCTCAGTCAGTATTTGAAAATGTGTTATCAGCCCTTTTGCTGGTAAACCATCGGTGGAAATATCTAGTCGAAAATATTGATAAGCCAGTGGAACAGATTTAGTAAGACCAAGGATCTCCATTACATGGTACTTCCTTTAAATGCAGTATTTATTTAACACCCTGTCCAACAACAATTTTTGTCAGTAAACATCAGAATGTTTTGTAAATGACCAAATGTATTGTAACTTGATAAATGCAAATGCACTGAGATATTGCAATATCATTTGCTTTTCTCTTATCATTCCTCCCTCGGGTATCATTGAGTGAGTCTTCTTAATCCTATGTACTTTTTCAATGTAACGTTTGAGAGTATGTTATTTTCCGATTGTCTCTGTACTATTTATTTCAATGATATCCATTTGCTCATATGACCTTTCTGACCCTTTGTTTCAATTTTAATATACAAACGATCTTTTGAGACAATGACAGTCATTTATGAGCCAGGCTGTACTTTCACTCACACCTCCCTCAAAGTGATGTTTTGTCAATTTAATTTACTAGTCGAATCAAAAGATAGATCCAGAGCAGGTAGTCAAATTTAATTATGTCAATTGTGTGGGCATGTTCTCCTTCCTTCTTTTCTCCCTGGTGAACAATGTATATGTGGCTGTGATGCAATGGCTTATTTGGTTCCTTTGTGTGATGATGTACATCACAGAGAGACATTATTGTCAATCTCAAAATTTATTTCTATCGAAGTAATACACCTGTCAAGAAAAATGGGTGGGGAGACTATATGTGTGACAACTCGATTAATCCCTGTTGCCAATTATTGATGAGCTGACCCAGTTACTTTGTCCATGTTCTCCAATATAAATTTTAATTAAAAACATCATGAGACAATAAAAGTTAAGAACTACATAATGTTCAACTTTATGCGTTTGCCTTATCTCATTTATTCTTATTCTACGTTTCCAGATTGCTTGCCGCTGTATGCTTGCACAATGTATGTGTGTTATTATTGGTGCATGTTTATTCATTTTTTCTGGTACATTTTTCCTTTAAAATTTTAAAGAGTCAATTGAACATCACTCAAAAGAAAATCATGATCATTTACATCACACATCCGCCAAAACAGTCCAACAGTTTATATCAAATGTGCAGATGAACATTTCTACATCACTCCTCTTTTTATGAACAGTGCCCATATTTGTGTGCTCTCTACATCACTATATCAAATGTAAAAGAATCATGTAATTGCTTTACAATTGCTTTACAATAGAGCGACCTTGGCAGACTGAGTTTAGAAAGGGTCAATGCTGGTTTCCTTCAAGGGAGTCATTTTTCATGGTCATCCAACGGATTTGCACAATAGATTGTTTCCTTGATGGGTAAGTTCTGTGTTTGAGTTTTTAGTTGCTTAGGATGTTATGTGCTTCATTTTTTATGTGGTGGTTGTTTGCTTTTCTTCTTTGTGCATGAGTTATCTTCAAAAGTATTGGTGCAACTAGTTCATTTATTCCTCTAATTTTTTTTCTCTGTGTGCTTTGTGGCATTGAAATTGTTTTGGAAAGACTGCTATTTAAAAGTTAAAATCAAATGTGCTGTCAAATCAGATGTGTAGCATGAAATGAAATAACATGATTGAGTCATAACTCGAGTAACAAAACAAAATCTATGGTCTCAACTTTCACCAAAGACATTCTTCTCACTATTAAATGACATTTTAAAAGCATTAGATGTTAATAGCAAAAGGCAAATGTCTAATTGCTTTGTTTTCTTTTTCAGGACTGTTCTAGCTCCGCGCAAAAGGTTACTCTTTTATCAAGGTATGTTATGGTAGACATTAAAATGTTCTTGAGCAATGGCCATTCTATATTAAATTTTGCCAAATTATGTTGTATGTTAACTTTTTTTAGATTATTCCACTCAGATGTAAATTTTATACCCTTAGAAAGTAGTGAAATTATCACATTTTATTTTGTACTCTCAAATTTGTTGAAGTAAAAATAATGTCTGTGTTATAGAATATTTTTGTGAGAAGCCAAAGTAGTGCAACTGTAGTTAATAATCCTTATGGGGAAGAAATCCTGTGAGACTTAAAAATTTGTTATTCTGCACCTATCGAGATCAATTTCTGTCAGTTCCTGCAGCCTGTAAATTTTGCCGTGAAATTGCCATATCACATGCCACAATTTTCTTAGATGGTTGGATTTACATTTATGTGCCAAATATTGAATTTTCCTTCAAGTACTGTAAATGTCAATACAAACATCTCATGTTGGTGCACTTGCACTTCAGTAAAATATATTGATAAAAAGTTAAAAGCCTGGTTAACCTCCTGACAGAGGTGCAGTGAAGTATGTTTCTTCTTGCTGCCAGTTTCAATTGAAACTTCAATTTTCGTTTGCTTTACTTTTGTATAGGAACAAAAATCCTTTATAGATATTGTCTTTTCATCCGTAGATTGAGCCAAACTTTGAATATTGAGAAAAACTTAGTAAAAAGGTTTCCAAACCGTCCAAGTCTACGACTTACTTAACACGGTGGCAATAAAAATCTCTACTACTGATCCGCAAATCCATTCAGTTATTTTAACAAAGTGATACCTGTAGAAAATGAATGCATTGTTGTATGTCTGTTACTTCAGACAGAACCATTAAATTCACAACCACAAAGCTGCTCAATGTGGTATCATGTTATCAGCATTTCTGATCACGATCCTAAAATTATTAAGTTCTCATGAAATCGGAAGCTTTTCTCAAAATTTACAAGTCATTACATATACACAGTTTTTTTGGAAGCTGTCTATGTCAATGAAAGTAATTCCCACACATGTGTATATTAGGGCATAAAACTTTGCTCCTAGACTTTCCATATGATATGGGGCTTGCACAATTTCTTCTAGTGATAAATTTTGTAATATTGAAGAAGTTTATTCATTCCAATAATTATCTCAAAGCTACTGAACCAGAGCTGAGGAAATCTCTTTTGGGCCCACTGTAGCGGTGTGATTAACTGTGGATTGATTTAATGTTATCCTTGCATTGAACTGAATTTTTCTTTGAAGCTGGCTTTGTTAAAGTATAGCTTTTTACTTGATGTAAATGGCAGACCCTTCTTTGCAGATTGTTATTGATTGTTTAAGGGAAAGTTATTTTTAGGATGTAAATGATAGATGATACTGAATAAAGTAATCACCTGTTTATCCTATACGTACTATATATTTTATGTTGTGTGCAAGAAGTACTTTCACAAAGCCATGCTTTCAGCACCTGTATGTCTGAGCATCAATGTAAGACAAAACTTCCTCGAGCAAATTTCAGGGATAAATGTACAGATGGAATCAAATAAACTTGTTTGTGTTTGATAACTTCGATGTGATCTGTTGTCTCCAAACCCTTTGCTCTACAAAACACAGTAATTTGCAAGTAGAAGGTCTCCATTCTCCTTGTGCCAGTACCACCTTATGTGGATGACATATGAATGGATGAAACGGGTAAATGATGATAGATAGTTGACTGTGGATTTGTTTATTTTCCAAGTACAGTTATTACACATGATTGACAGGTATACACAAATTAAAAAATTGTAAAAATTGCTATTTTTATGTCTACTTATTGAATGTCCTTCCTGAGCCTTGCAAGCAAAAACTTTTCAATAAAAAGTTTTGTTTCAATTTTGTATTAGAAAAGGTTGAAATTACATAGTCCAATGAGAGTAAGAAATTAGATCCATCTTGCACCAATTTAAGTACAAAGATAATGACTCTCTGCAAATCTGCTACTAATACTGCTACTTCTTCAAAATAAGTTTTAACTATACAGTATCTTAACACAGTATGTCTAAGAAAAAACAACAAGGAAACATTAAATTAACACAATACTACGTCCTAAAAACTAGGACAGAACGAGATTCCTGATTAAAACAATTCCAAGTGAACTAAGAGATCTGACAGCATATAATTACTAAATCAAGAGGCCATAAAACGGTGCATGTTAGAAAGTACTAACATGCTTCCCTTAAAACTTTTCAGTTGTACATCATGCACACAAAATGAGTAAAAATATTAAAAATTCATGGCTGCTATCAAAGCTAATATTAAGATACATTCCCTTCCCATCACAGAAATTTGTGGAGTATTAAGAAAAGTGGGAATCGTTCGTAATGGCAGTTGCTCTGCTCATAATAACGATTCCGTATTAAGTAACTGGATAGAAAAATGACAGGAAGTCTACCATAAAAATTGTGTTTGAATACAAATACAAATACAAATATTTGAACAATATTGTCTCTGAATCAGGGATTTATAGAAAAGCTAAATTACTGCCAAATTGATACAAAACGTTTCTTCTTCTCTTCTCGTCCTCGTGCGTGTGGCAGCCTGAATTTTAATGGAGATTCGTCTTTTAAAAATGACAAAAACAAACATAAAAGCTAACAGTATCACATTGAGCTCACACACAGTTGAAAATTATGTGAAGGAATGCTCTACATATGACAAATCAGGAGGTTATTATTTTGAGTATTTCTACCCCATGATATGACAAGATATAGGTAAACTACTAGCATAACTACAATAAGCTCAGACAATATCCTGCTGTCAAAAACAAAGATCATTTCATAAAATACTCACACCTCAGGTAAAAAGGGTAAGACAAAACTTACTTAAGTAGATTCTTGAAAGTACACAATACAGAAAAAGTGAAAAGAAGTACAAAATCATGCCATCGATAACCAGAAAATTAAGTCAAATAAGGAGACCATTCATCCTACACAACAAAAGACCACTCATTAAATCAGACATGGCAGTGTTATTCTTCATAAAACAGAACCCAGACTTTACACTGACAAACGGAAGCACGTTTTATGCTAGAGGGAAAACATCAATAGATGGAATGCCCATAGGAGCAGCACTGTGATCTTAAGATTAGGAAGAACGATTTCATAGGAAAATACAATACACAACTAATAAATATAGAAAGGGTAAGAAACCCCAAAAGAGTACAAGCTGGGACTTTCCAAAGCCTAGTGTCAAGCTGATGCCAACATCCAATCGAAATGCACACTTCATTGATGTGTTCATGGAACTGTTGAATTGAGGCTTTTAATCATTCTTCATTAAGTGATTCCAGGGAAGTGAAAATTAATGTAACTACATATATAGCAGTGCTTTGCTCATAGGTTTTCATGTATCTTTTTTTGGGCCAGTTGAAGTTCTGTACCTCACCTTAGTCAATCATCAGCTCAAAATGTACAGAACCTAATCTTTCTCGGCGATCATGTTTAATATTGCGTGCCCAAGCTTTGCATTCAACCTGAATCAGGATACCAGCTGCAGACGAGAAAGGCAATTAATTACACTTTGTCACCCATGGTAGACACAAATTTGTCAGACTCATGATTTCACTTACTTCTTGGCCTTTCAAAATGAATGGCAATGACAGGGCTCAAGTAGCCTTCTGAATTTTCATAAGGATAAAAGTAGCCAGGGAAACCACGAGATGATGGGATGTATTTTATCGGACCCACATTTTCCACATCGGCAGGATTTTCTCCTTCACAGCTAACCCAAATGGTATTCAGCTAAGAGGACAGACAACAAAAAAGATTGTTGAACATAAATGAAAGTAGTACTGGGGTGGCACACAGTAAAGGTAAAATTCATCCTTACCCTCAGGGTGCTATTACGGCCAACAGCATATATATGGTCTTTGAGATCCTTTGGCATATTGTAAGGCAAGTCGTTGGTGTTGTTGTAGTATTCAGGAACCCACCCATAAATCTAAAACAAAACAAAGATCATTTAAAACATAACAAAAAAAATTGGCTTGCCTACTATAAGGAAAGGATCAAATATAAAAGTAAATGAAAAATATCATTCAAACCTTATTCAGTTTGAGGAAAATGCAAGGGGCAGATTTATGGTAGTTGAAGTTGTTTTCTGATATGCAAGGGTGCCAATTCTTGACATCAACATCGCACACTTGTCCCCTGCCTGGCGGTCTGTCATAGTCGCAGTTGTAAATGTTCTGACCGCGGCCCGGAGTTAGACCTGGCTTCCTGTACACTAAATTCCGAAAACAAGAATCAACAAATATTTATCATCTTCCAAAATTTGAAAACAAAAAAAGAAATGAAGAAGTTGCATACCTTGCAAGAAATCGATGAGAGAATCTTTCCAATATTTGTAGTTCTCTGGATCAGTGCCTCTGTATGTGATGAGGGTGCTTTCAATATTTGGTGCTGGGGGCATTGGCCGGAATCCCAAGCCTAAAAACCACAAATACCAAAACAAGGTAAAAAACATGCCAAATAGAAAAAACAAAGATTTTTTTTTTTAAGTAATTACACAACATACCTGGGTTGGTTCCAATGAGAGATCGATCTGTTCGCCACTTGGGAATGCGGGGATCCAGTGTTTGGTAAAACACCCACAGCATTACAGCAAACAGAGATGCGAGCACGGCGTAGAACACCAAATAAAACAGGAAGATCCTCCCTGAAACAAGAAAAGGGTGTGGAGTAAGCTGCGAGCTAAAGACAAGCGAGAAGCGGTCTTATAACTTTATAACAAACTACCCTCATGGTGGGTACCACGGTGGCAGTTTCAAGGCTTCCCTACAGGGGTGGGTTGTTGTTTACATGCAGGGGAAAGAAGGGGCCCAGTTGAATGAGAGGGTGGCTTCGTGGGGCTGAATCAAAGCGGGAGGGGGAAGGCCCCGCACCCCTGTAAGAAACCGACAAACTGCCATTCGAGTCATACGTCCTCTCAGACTCACTTCTCTCTCCCCTTCCTAAGCCCCTTACTGTTCTCCAGACAGTAAAAACAATCAACAAGTAATTGCTACATCGTTGCCCACCTCGGCCCTGGGCAGGGCTGGTAAGTAAGTAGGGCGACCAACGCCCTGCCGGCCGCTCCGGCCGCATTCTGCCTATTACGGTGCCATCCCCGTCAGCCCCGCCCGTCCCGTGACGTCACGCCGGGACGGCTCAGCCTTCGGCTAGGCCTCCTAGGCGAGGAGGAGGAAGAGGCTGGTAGCGGCGAGGCAGTAGGCGACAGCGAGGCAGCGCGCCTCGCCTCGCCACCCCCAGCCCCAGCCCACCCCGCCGGCACGGGGAGGGAGAGCGAGACGACGGCCTCCTCCTGCCGGGCTTGGGCTGGGCTCGCCGGGTTGCCGGCCGGGGTGGCTCCTGCCGGCTCCTGCCCGTTCAGGCCGGTTCAAACCGGATCCCTACGCGGGCCGCTCCGTGCGGCCATCCCCCAGCCGCAGCAGCGACATCGCCGCCACCCCGCGCGCGCGGTCCAGCCGGACTCCGCCAACCCCCCTGCAGCGGAGTGCAGCCTACAGACTGCAGCCCGCGCGGCGCACGGCGCACGCGACCGCCCCGGTGCGCCCCCTGGCCCCGCCCCTGGCCGTTGAGTGCACGAGGCCCGTGCAGCCGAGCAGCCACCCCCGGCAGGAAACGGGAACGCTCTGTAGGGTTCCGACGTCGCTCTCCTAGTCTCCAAGCGCACGGCTGTCATCATGTCGTTCCGAGCGTTTCGCAACGCCGCCGCGCCGCCCAAGGACGGCCCACACTGTAGGCTCCGCGAGGACAAAGATGTCGTGGGGCTGTTCAGGGTGGTGAGGTGCTGAGGGTGGCGGGCGTCACGCAACGCGATCAAGGCGCGTCCAAAGCTCGCTAGACGGCAACGGCCTTCAACGCAAGGACTCCGGCGCGCCCCGCCCGCCCCGCGCCCCGCGCCGGCACCGCGGAAGCCAGTCCAGATCCAGCCGGTTACAGGGGGTGGCTCGCCTCTCGCCTCTCGGCCCAGCAGGCCGGCAGCCTCCGCCCGGAGAGGGGGCGCGGGGAGGGCGGGAGCGCGCGCTTTCCCCGCGCCTTCTCCACCCACCGCCCCCTCCAACCACTCCACCCCGCCGCCGGGATCCGCGCAAATAGCTGGGGGCTTGTTTTGCCGGGGCGGGACGGTGGCGGACGCAAAGCCGTGAGCGAGTGCGCCGGGTGGGTAGTTCACACCGTAGAGTAAGTAACACTCCGTTCACACGCGGCACCACCGGTCCGGCTCGCCACGGCCTGGCTGTTGCTCGGGGGTTGATGGCCGCGGTCGCCTCGGGGTTGCTCTGGAAGGAGGAGTCACTTTGACAGAATGAGTTGAAACAAAAGATTGCTTGGAGAAGGGGTTGCTTTCCAGAGGGTCTCTCCCGTAGGGGTTGGCTCGGGACGAGCAGGTGGTTCGGACGCATGGGGGTTGTGTGGCTGGCACACTGTGTGGGCGGGCGGTCCACCCCGCCGTGGCGTGCCGCCAGCGTGCCGCCAGTGTGCCGCACCGTGGCGTGGCGCTCAGTGGCTGCACAGTCCTGGACACTATCAGCGTTCTCCGGGCGGTGCGCCGTTCCGCCGGGTGCGCAAGACTCCGTGGCGGCAAGGCCAGCCCTCGTGGGCCAAGCGAACAGCGAAGCGAGGTCCTCGATACAGTGTAACGCGTCGCGACGTGGGTGGCCGTGGAACAAGGGATGAAGCACCGCGAAGCACGGTCCGCGCCGCGGGCGTACGGCGCATAATACGGGGCGGGGGTTGCCCTCCAGGACCACTAGGGCAAAACCCCAGGGGGGTCGCGGAGGTCAAACACCCGCGCGGCGCCGGTCGGGACGGTCTCAAAGGCTTCCGGGACGGTGTGCGGGAAGATTCCGCTGCCATTCCAGGAATGGGGCCCCAAATGAGGGGACGGCCGATGACGACGATGGAATACTGGACGCCCTCATTGACTTCGAGGAAGGGGGTGGGGTGGGCGGAGCGGTGGAGCGAGACGGTGCGGTGGGGGGTGGTAGCGGCAACAGCACCGAACGCTGGAGCGGGTAGAGAGAGAGAGCGAGCGAGCGGGGTGTGGGAATTTCAGGCTGCCCACATCTGGCTCGAACTGGATAGACGGGGATGCTGCAGAGGCTGCAGTGGCTGCAGTGGCAGCAGGCCACTACACTGGGCCCTGCTTCGCCCCACACTGCACGGGAGCGGCGAGTGCAGATTGCCTACTTCAGCAGATGAATGATTCAATTTTCAAATGACATGGATAATTTGAAGTTACTGTACTTTGGAACAGTAAGTGCTAAATTTAAAACAATAATTGCAAATTTACAGCCAAGCAGCAACATTTTGATGACAGTGTCTGTGATAGTTTTTTACTTGAATGAAACCAACAGGTAACAAAAAAGAGAGAAATTTAAAGACAGAGTTTTACAAACAATAACATGTTTAAAGAATGAATAATTAACATGTTAAATCATGCTAAGAGACCAAACAGACGAATTTAAATTCAAAGACAAGTACCCTTGCAAGTACCCATTCAGTCAAAAAAAAATACACATAAAAATTCATTAAAAAAATTCATTAAAATTATGCGTATCAAATAAAAATTCAGTGTAGCAGAATTCCCTGCTACAACTCCAGACCAGGAAAGTGAGACAAACAGGCCTGCTGCGAGCGAAAACAGCGAAAAGTACCCAGAGTGCCTAACCTCCACCTCAGCAGAGCGTCGCCGATCCCCGCAGCCCCGGCATCCATCGGTCGATTTAAGGTTAGGTGGCACAGGTACGCGTCACAACAAACAGGTGTCATGGGGCGCGGAGCCCTCTCTCTTTGTGTGGCGAGGCGGCCGGCGGCCTCGCTCGTCGACGGCGACCTGGAGGGACCCCGCACCCCGCCCAGGACGGGTAACACACTGCCAAAAGGTAGAAAGGTACTCACCCCAGCTCTTGCCGTTGCGGCCCATGACGGTACCCTGCTCTTGGTTGTAAAAGAACTCCTTCCATTCTTGCGTCCATGGCTTCTCCAGCGGCTTGTTGAATCCCTGGAACTCCTGCACCGACTCCTCTTGCTCCAGCTTGGTCTGCATGACGGCCGCTGTTTTGGTCCCTGGTGAGTCAAGTCCAAAACCACACCCACTACGGCCTGGTGCCCAGCCCCGCCACAATCCTGAGCCGCTCCGCCAGACGGTTCGGACCTCTCGTCTCGCTCCCGCTTCGTGTTCTCGTGCCGCCGCGCCGCGCGCCGCGTAGGTGCCAGTGTGCCGCGCTCCCCCCTCCCCTCCCCTCCGTCCCTCACCCGGGCCGTCAACAAGCGGCGCCCCACCACCCCGCACCACCCCGCCCGCGGCCCGGCCGACGAGGTGGTGGGGGCGGGGCGTGGCACAGCGCGGCGAGGCGCGCCGCGTCGTGGCGGTCGCCCCCTCTCTCTCGCTCCCACGGCCAGGCCATGGGCAGGCCATGGGGCCGGCGCCGCGAGGTGAGTGTGCGACGAGGACAGCACGACGGCCGCACGGCGGGCCCTCTGGCGGCCGCAATGCGCAGCTCTCTTTCCGTTGTGTGTTGTGAGTGAGTCGGTTGTACCGCTCGCCGCTCGCCCGGCCCGCGCGCTGGAGAGAGATGGAGACAGGTACCGATGCAAACGCTAGCCCTGCGGGAGTGGCGCGGCGTGGCGCGGCGCGGCAGTTGCACTCAGGGGTGGCGGCTACGGGGGTAGCGCTACGTGGCGGTGGTGGGGTGGAAGGGGAAGGTACCAGCGGCGGAGGGCGGCGCGGCGGCCGCGCCGGGCTGGGTACTGGTGGTACACTGGGTACTCCAGGAACCCCTGCGACGCGCCCCCAGAAACGACACTGACGATACGAGCGTTGACCCCGCAGTGCGAGGTGGCCGCCGGCCCGGGGTCGCGCAGGCTCGGACTGGCCCCCAAAAGGCCCCGGCGGATAAGACCGCAAAAGGCCCCCGATCACCATTGTATTTACTCTTCATGACCAACTTTGTGAGTCTACCGCTCCCAAACTAGTTGCGGTCAATAGCCTTCCCGATACAGGGCATGAAAGAGTAGGGCCTTAAGAATACTAGGGCGTCGAGGGAGACCCTTGGCCGCAGCTAGATTGGACACAGTAGCCGCCCAAAGTCAGCAACATCAGCAAATTTCCGAGATTCGACCACTTTTTGACCAACTTTGGTCCCAAAATCGCTGCGGTCAAAGGCAAAATCGTTGTGGTCAACGTCTTCCCGATACAGGGCATGAAAGAGTAGGGTCTTAAGAATGCTAGGGCGTCGAGGGAGACCGTTGACCGCAGCTAGATTGGACACAGTAGCCGCCCAAAGTCAGCAACATCAGCAAATTTCCGAGATTCGACCACTTTTTGACCAACTTTGGTCCCAAAATCGCTGCGGTCAAAGGCAAAATCGTTGTGGTCAACGTCTTCCCGATACAGGGCATGAAAGAGTAGGGTCTTAAGAATGCTAGGGCGTCGAGGGAGACCGTTGACCGCAACTAGATCGGACGCAGTGGCCGCTCAAATTCAGCGAAAACGGCTACTTTCGGAGATTCAATCACTTTTTGACCAACTTTGTGACGTTACTGGTCCCAAACGCGAAGGCCCCGGCAGGTTCTTCTGCCTTTCTGCCCCGGCCAGTCCGAGCCTGGGTCGCAGGATAAAGGCGTTATTGACCAAAGACAACTGTCACCTCAACACCACGACCTAGATGAACAGTAATTCGTGGCGTTTTTAATTTCGCGCGCGTGCTGCCGTTGTTTAGGGGAATACATAGACATTCAAGGCTCCCATGTTTACAGAAAATTTATTATTTCGGAGTACAAAAAGTACAGTTTATACCCATATTTACACTAACCTTTTCAGACAGTGGTCAAACAATTTGAAAACAAGAATTTGTATCGTGTCTACGGAAAAGAGGGGGCATTTTTGCCGATCATTTTTCGCTACTGAAACATTAAGACGACTCAAAGAATGAATGAATGACACTCAGTTGTTGTGATTTGTATTTTGGTCGGTAAGTTTAAGTTTACTTGGTCAACACTTGAAACACACATGGAATCGGACGGAAAGAATGGGAAATAGGGGGGAAGTACCTAAAGTGAAAAATTGCAACGCAACACAACGTTGCACGGCAGCGCTGCGTTGCGTGTGCATGCGGTGTCGCAGAGGCCAACACACGGTGGACGCGCCATGGCTGCCAACGGAACGCCAATCGAAACGATACAATTTACGTGCTATTTGCGAAAATTTGACAAAAGTTGATGATCTTTTGACGGTTAGGTCGCCGAATTTACCTCATTTTGACGTGTCAAGATTTGACGTGTCCGCACGTGGGTCAGGCGTCTCCAAGTCCACGCCGTGCGTGTCGGCCTCTCGAACCAACTCAAAACAACAATAAATACAACGCACTCTAAACGCTCGCGTACCATTTCGTACCCACCCACGACACTTGTGCAAATAAAACTAATCGAATTACAAGCGCATAGGCAATTTTGAAACGGTCTCTCAACCATGCACAGGCTTTTTATATCTGACTTTTAAGGGGGTGAGTTTGGTCACTATACATACGAAAAAGTACACAAGGAGTTTAGTGTCCGCTCTTAGCTACTCATTCATCCGTCACATTGAGTCTCTCGGTTCAAAAAGGAAGATTGAGACCGCGGCGCTTTGTCTTGTTTTTGTTTTTGCTTGTTGAGGGCCGAGCAGGGGCAGTGGTTGTTCTCCGCGCTGGATGCCAGCGCAGCGCAGGGAAGCCGCCGAGTCTTGGCTCTTCTTGACTAGTCGATCATGAGCTCGAAGTGAACGGATCCCACTCTCTCCTTGCGGTCGAACCTGATGTTCTTGGCCCAGGCTTTGCACTCGATCTGGATAAGGACCCCGGCTGGAACACAGAAGCAGAATCGTGAACCGCAGAAAACCTCAGTGTCATCAGTCCAACTGTTTTTCGTTCTTGTGTTTCAGTTTCAATGGAAAAACGAAAGGGATGCTGCCCACTCACTCTTCGGCCGCTCGAAGTGCACGGCCAGCAAGGGGCTGAGGTAGCCCTCCGTGTTGTCGTAGGGGTAGAAGTAGCCGGGGAAGCCGCGGTGCGAGGGGATGTACTTGATGGGGCCCACGTTCTCCACGTCGGAGGGGTTCTCCCCCTCGCAGCTCACCCACACCGTGTTCAACTGCAACGAGCACAGCCGTAAAGAAAAGCGCGCCAAAAAGGGAGCGCGGGAAACGGGGCTGGCTCTGTTATTCAAAAATTATGACGTCACGTTATGACAGTGGACTTACCCGTATGCTACTGTTCCTCCCCGTGGCCTCGATGTGCTGCTTCAGGTCCTTGGGCATGCTGGGCGGCAGGGTGCGCGTGTCGTTGTAGTACTGCGGCACCCAGCCGAAGATCTGCAGGCAACGAGAACCTCGATGAAGAGGGGGTGCTCGCCTTTGGGGTGTCAACAGTCAAATGGACCCAGTTTTCTAACATTCGTGTTAAAATAAGAACTGTTATTGTTAAAAGAAATTACGAAAATAAATAATAGTAAAAATAGTCTTTCTGTTTTTTAACGTTTTTGTTGTTTGGTGTGGGTACCGTACCCGATTCAGTTTGAGAAAGATGCAGGGGCCGGACTTGTGGTAGTTGAAGTGGTTCTCCTCGACGCACGGTTTCCAGTTCTTGACGTCCACGTCACACACTTGCCCCTTGCCTGGAGGTCTGTCGTAGTCGCAGTTGTAGATGTTCTGGCCGCGGCCCGGCGTCAGCCCGGGCTTCCTGTACACTGCAAGACATTCCCACCTCAGTACCAATTCAGTGAGTTTGCTTCTCGAAAACCGCTGTCGGATTCCATAGACGTAGAGGCACCTTCTAGAAATTGCGCTAGCGACCGCTTCCACAGCTCGTAGTTCTCAGGGTCCGAGCCTCTGTACCAGATGAGCGTGCTGTCCACGTTGTGGGCCGGTGGCATCGGCCGGAACCCGAGGCCTGGAATCGCACAGAACAGTAAAGCACGGTTTGCGCCGCAGTCCTTTGCCCCTCTTTTCTCTGGCTTGTTCCGCACCTGGGTTTGTGCCGATGAGGGAGGCGGTGAGCTGCCACCTGGGCATGCGCGCGTCCAGCGTCTGGAAGAACACCCACAGCATGATGGCGAACATGGACGCCAGGATGGAGTAGAATATGAGGTAGAACAGGCCGATCTTGGCTGCGGGGAGGGAGCAAAGGCAAAGATTAGAACGCCGAGGCCTTTCATCATCATCGACTTGAAGTCTAAAGCGCCCTAATCAGTGCCGAAGCGACTTGGTCATTAGCAGCGCCCCTTTCTTGTTGTTGTTGTTGTTGTTGTTGTTGTTGTTGTTTGGCACTCACCCCAACTGGAGCCTGTCCGGCCGAACACCCGGCCCGACTCGGACTCGTAAAGGAAGGCCTGTAGGGTCTCCCATTTCGTGCGTGTGGGTGGCTTGTAGTACATCTTTACCGGTTCAGCTCACTAGAACAGAAAAGTCCGGAGTTAACGACCAACAAACACCATAAGAACTCTCTAAATTTTCTTGCTTTTGTCACTGCCAAGGGGTGACGTCTGTTTGGACATCTGTAGAAATAGAGTCAATTTTGTGACTGGCCAGTTACAACGGTGCGTCTTATTTCCCAGCCAGTCAACGACAAAATTGTATCTATTTCGAGATGCGCTCCGTGACGTCACAGCGGGGACAGGCGTCCCTGACGTGACGGACAGAAACGGCTCCTGCAGATTTAGAATGCAAGTTCGGGAACAGGCCTGGCATTCTCTGGCACGATCAGTTGTGGTCCAGCCTTCCAAGTCAACTCAAGTCAAGTTCGAGTGCTGCCACGCCCGTGGACCAAAATTCCCTCGACGCATCAGTGTCGAAAGGGTCGCTTATCTCAGCCAAATCTGCAAGACAACATTTTGCCGGCGAGGCCGGGAAGATTTTCCAGTGGTAGAAGGTTGAGAGGGATAGCCCTTTTCCACAAACTAGTGCAAGTAAGTTTAGGCTTTGGCCGGCTTTGGCCCACTGGCCGAAGCACTGGCTCGTCCGTCCGTCCCTCCGTCCGCAAGACGCACGGCGACGCACGGGGAATTCAGCAATGTCTTTTCAGCGCCGCCGGGTTGGTCATTGTCATGGTCCCCCTCCCTCGAAGGCCGGCCGGCAGACGGGTTCCAGAGTCGTTTTCGTCGCTCTGTCTCTCTCGCACCCTATGGGCGCTCTATGAGTGCGAGAGAGGAATCTTTCGGAATCAGTCTGCAGGCCCGGGGCCGAGGCAGCGAAGCACAGAGAAGCACAGCGAAGCAGCCCTGTCTGGCCGCAGCAATAGCGTCCTTCCGGTGCCAGCCCTTGGCCGCCTTGGCCATGCCTTGGCCATGCCTTGCCCTCCAGCCGGCGTAGCCTCCAGGCCCTTCCCTGGGTCGTACAGGCCCTGCGGGCTGGAGCAGGGCCGAAGCTGGATGAAACCAGTGCGAGACGCCCAGGTCCGGAGCGAGCCAGACTGGGGATGGGGTAGCAGTTTAGCAGTGCCGGCAGTCGGCACTGCCAATCCCCCCACCCCCTCCCCACCCCCTCCCCACTATGGCTGTGCGGAACGGGGGACGCGGGCAACGCGAGCGGAGCGCCCGGCGCGGTAGGCCGCCCGTGCCGGCGGCGTGCGCGGGGGCTGCATACCTGCCGGGCGCTCCCGTCCGCCAGATGCTATTGCTGTCTCTCTCGCTCCAATGGCCCGGCCCATTAGAGGTGGAGAGGGACAGCGCATACCGGAGCCACACCGAGCGGTCTGTCGCTCTGTCTCTCTCGCACCCGTCCGAGAGCCGCATGACGAGTACGCAGAGACTCAGCGTGAGACTACTCATCTGAGTCGCGGCACTGAACGCGCCACACAAGGAAGCGGAGAACAAGCTACACACAGCCTTCGAAGGCGACTTGGAAGGATATTCTAGAGTCTCTCCGAACGACTCCGAACGACAGGTTCACTTTCGAACAAAGCCACTCCACGCTTTCTTGAAGACAGGGAGCTTTGGATGTGCCACAATTTCAACACACACTCTCAAAATCTTGTGAAGGACAATGGCAGCATTGCATGATGAAACTCTTTTCGTTTCATTGCGTTCCTGTTTTCTTTGCGCTTGCGAAATAATCCTTCTTAAACTGATGCGAACACATCACTGCACCGCGACGCTCAATAACAAATATATCCGCACAGTAAAGAAAAACTGTTCCACAGTACGATGCAGTGAACTTCTTCGCATCACGAAAAAGCGCGTTTCTTCGCAGTGCACCGATGATCCACTCAATAACGTGCACAAGCACATGGTCTTGTAGGAGCAGCGGTCGGATGTCGGTTTGCAGTGGCCCCGCTTGGCCGCGACGCGCGGTCCAGTTCAGCTCGTTGCACACCGCCCCCAACGACCCCGCGCTCCTCGCGGAGATTTCAGGAAGTCCCGCGAGAGAATTTCTTCCGGTCGTTCTCATGGTGGTCCCAGCTCGATGCGTGGGTTCGACTTCACAGCCACTTGTTCGGGTTTGGCGGCCGGTCTTGGAGGACGTCGCTGATCTTGGCACGTCGCCGTCGTCGGCGCGGTTGCTGAGCGCTGGCCGCGGTGGTCGCGGGCTCCGGGAGAGCGTCCCGGACGTCTTGGCGGCGGTCGCGGAGCGGTCCGACGGCGGGCCGACGGTGAGCCGCAGGGTGTGTCGGGTACTCACGCTCGCGCGCTCCAAGCAGTGCCCTTCCTTCCCCGCGCGTGTCCGCCCTCGTGTCCGTCCGTCCGTGCGGTGCCGTGTCTCGGCCTTTGCGTCCACCCGCACACTGACACTGGCGGCCAGGCCCGCGGCTCGGCCCCGCCGTCCCTGCCCTATCCAGGACGCGGTCGCGGCCAGCCGGGGCTGCCGGGGCTGCCGGGGCTTGGTGGCGGCCCGATCGCCCAGCATCCTCGGCCGCCACCGCCGCCGCCGCCGCTGCAGGGCTGACCTTGCCCCGCGACCCCCGCGAGCCCATGTGCATCAGCGGACTCCAGTCTGCCTGTCCCGCCAGGACACTGTCGGGACACCTCCACAAAAATAGTCGGATAGTTGGCGAAGGACAAGGCCGAGCGCGCGGGAAATTCGCGGCGCGATGGAGACCGCCGCCCCTCCTGTACCTCGCACCCACGATGCGTTCCGTAAGGGTGCGAGAGAGACAGAGCGACGAAACACGAAACAAACTGTTCAGAAAGAATCCCTCTGCAAGCCATGGACGAATCCACGAACGACGCCAAAAGCCGGGCCTGTGACGAGGTCGGCTGAGTTGGAGCCAGCGGCGTGTCCGGCACCGGGCAGAGCTGCAGGCCGCCGCATTGTCAGCCTGCCGTGTGATTCGTCGCTCTGTCTCTCTCGCACCCGGGCGGGGAGCCCCGCGAGTGCGACGGAGACAGCTTCTGAATGGCTCGGCCGGCGTGGCGGGCAAGGGCGGGGCCTGCATGGCCTCCGCAGCGCTGCATCCATTCATGCCGGCCCTGCCCATGCTCGCCGCGCCGCCCTGGCGCTGCCCGTGCCTCGAGCTTTGCAGTGCAGTGGCACGTTGCGCAGGTTTGGAAGCGCACGGCGCCAGGAAGCGGTCGGCGTGCATGGCTGCCGTCGCCCCGCGTCGCCCCGCGTCGCCCGCCACCGGCATGAATGGTGTCATGAGCGAAGCAGCGAGGCGCCTTCGCTCATGGCGCTAGCGCGTTGTGGGTGTTTCCAGTTGGACGTGGCGCCTCGCTTGTTTCGACGGCTGTTCCGGCCTTGTGAATGTATCGAATGAATCATTTCCAAATAAACGGCATTCGTTCAATTTCCGCTATTCTTGTGCTACAAAATAGTGGCCGTGGTGTATGGACTGCGGAAAAAGTAAACGGTGCCTCGTTTTCAAAATGGGATCGCAGGGCACGCGTACGCGCGCCCCCTGGCTGCCGGTCGGTGTAGGAGGCCGAGACGGACACTGGCCGGCCAGGCGAGGTCCTCGGGCCGCGCCGCCCGCCGCCGTCGCGTTTCCACTCTTTCCACTTGTCGCCGGGATTGCTCTTCTCGGGGCGGGGCGGGGCGGGGCGGGGCGGGACGCGTGGGAGGGCGCGTGTCAAGCTGGAGGCTGTCCCGCCGGCCCGGCCAGTCCGCCAGGACGCCCGGCCTCTGGGCCCGGCCCGCCAAAAGGAAGGAGGAAGCGTGGAAAAAGCCAAACGCGCGCGCCCCTGCCGGCACAGAGGCACAGGGTGGGGGCGGGGGCGTCGGGGGTGGCACGGCGCCCGGTGGATCCTCCGGCATCGATTCGTCATCTCCAGGCCGGGCTGGCGGGCTGCCGCCGCCGGGCGCCTCGTCGGGGACGTGCTCTCCTCGGCGGCCTGTTGAAAACAGCCCCACGCGCCGTCGCACTGTTGAGCCCCACGGTGGCGGGCTGGCGGGCCGCACGCTGGTGCTGGTGGTGGCCCTCACGACGGCGGTGGGCCGGCGGGGTGGCTTGGCGGTGTGTGCGCTCGCGGTCCTCACGGTGGGCTGGGCCGGCTGGGCCGGCTGGGCCTTGGCAGCCAGGCCTGGCAGGGCAGGTGGCGATCGGGGGCTGCAGAGCACTGCAGAGTGGGAGGAGAATGGAACCGAGAAGTCGAGGCAAGCCGACGCTAGCCGACGGAAGTCCCCTATTTACGAATAAAGCCCGGGACTGTTAGCGCGCGGCCCGACTGCCCGACTCGGCTCGGCTCGGCACAGCTGGTCTCGGCTCGGCTCCGCTCGCCCCCCTCGGCTCGGGCCCCGGCTGATTTCGGCTCGGCTCGACTCGGCTGGCCTAGGCCCCACACATGCATCGCCCCACGGCCTGTAATTTGTCATACGACCAGCACGGCCAGCTCGGCCAGGACGGGGAAGAATCAGGCCCAAGACGGCCCAGCGGAGCCGCCCGGCAAGCGGCCCGCGTCCGGAGTCTTGGCCGTTTAAGTGGGGCACGGCCAGCAGACTCATTCCGAGAGCCGCCTCTGTCTCACTCGCACCTACGCGGGACGCCCTGTGAGCGCGAGAGAGAGAGAGCGGCGAAACGACTCTCGGAATCTGTCTGCAACCCCCGCACCCCGCCGGCCACGTGGCGGCCGCGTGGCCACCGCCACCGTCGAGGAGCATCGCGTGCTGCAGAGCGAGCGCCGCGTTTTTCGTTTTTCGGGGGGCGGCGCGGGGGCGGCGCGGGCGGTGGCGGTTTTGAGGTCTCGGGGATACGTCAACGTCAACGACGCTTTTCACGGCACGGGTTGCCGCGGGTTGCCGACTTTCCCACGACGCGACGCTTCACGGGGAGTCGACCACCTCCCTCCTTCTCCGCCAAAATCCCTTGAAAAATCCCTTTCAGAAAACACTGCACATTGTTTCGACTCGTGCTTCACTGTGCGCGGAAAGGTTCTGCGGGAGTCCACGCCGACCCCGCCGGCCGGCTCTGCCTGGCTCTGCCGTTGACCTTGTAGACGTTGATTGCCTGCTCGGCGACTCAGAGGCCGAGCGACCCGGGACACGTGGTGCAAGGTGAGGCCGAGTGAGGCGCGGTGGGTGGCTCGAGACAAAGTCATTTCTCGCAGCAAGTCGCGTGCGTGACTGCCTAGAAGGACAGGACGACCTCCTCGAAGTGACTCCCCGCGATGAAGAAGTGCGGAATGTCCCGCCTACCGTCCCGAAATGCCCAAAATCCCCCTTTCCCTGTCGATGAGACCGAAGCACCCCTAGAAGCACATGAAAGCCAAGTCAAGTCCAATTCACTGAACGCCCATCGCGATGCCCGGCGACGTGATTCAACCAAAGTCGTTTTCGTCGCTCTGTCTCTCTCGCACTCATAGGGCGTCCCGTATAGGTCCCGACCTCGGAATCAGTCAGCAGTGTGAACTATGCAGCCAGCTATGCAAAAATGCAGCCCGTCTGGACGGCGCGCCGACGCACGGGAAGCGCGGCCGGGCCGCCTTGCCTTTCTGGGGCGGGCATTGCGTCGCGTAAGCAGTAAGCACTTCGCGCCGAACGACGAGCATTAGGACATTAGTCCTTGGCGGGCTTAGACTGCACGCGTGCTCCAGTGCTCCAATTGGTCCGTACAGTGCCTCGGCGTGGGCCGGCGGACAGCCCTTGCGTCGCCCTGCCTCTCTCGCACTCACGGGCCGCTCCTGTCGGGGTGCGAGGGAGACAGAGCGACGAAAGCGCTGTTCGGAATCAGACTGCAGACGGAGGCGGGGCATGTGCGGTCTGGCCTCTAATGGTAATGGGGCTGCTAGGCAACCAGCGTACACAGGTGCGTCACGCCGCCGCCGGCTGCCTACCTCCACGGCGTCGTCCCGCCCGGCCGCGGCGCTGCGGCGCGCCTCCCGGCCGGGGTATTGGCAGCGGGCCGTGTGTGCTTCCGCCGACGGGAGTACGCCACGCCCTTCGCCCTTCCCTGCGGATACTCCCCTCTAGAGAGACTTTTATCGTTGAGCGCGCAGTATCGAACACGAGTCCTTGTGTCTGTACGCCACGCCGCGTGAGCGCCAAGGCTCCTACCCTGTGCCGAGAAGGACTTCACCTCCACCCCTTTGGTGTCGACTCCAGCGCGAGGCACGGGGTATTTTCTTCGTGGCGATACTCCTCGCTGCGAGGGGCACATGCGCTCCATATCTAGGTGACAAATGTTTAAAGATTCCTTCCCGGCCCGGGCTGCACTGCAAGGCACTGCTCACGACCACCCCGTGAGGTTTCGCCTTTCCTCGTTCAATTTTTCCCGGAAAAGCTATCAACGAACGGAGGGACTTCGTCTGACGAAAAGAAGCGCTTGCCAAAACGAGAAAGTAAATAAATTTCTTTCCCGCGAGTCGCAGCTTAGGCGGATGAATGTATTGCCGCAGCCTGGACCTTATTGCGAAAATAAGAATGGGAGCGCGGAGTATCGACGCGATGGCACAAAGGGACGCGGAGGGGGGTGACACGGAGGGTAATAAATATCACCCCCCCGCGGACGTCAGCCAGCGCCCAGCCGCCCCGGAAGAGAAGGGTGCCTGCCGCGTGGGGTATCGCCGCCCTGCCGCGGTGCCGCCAGTCCGGACAACGTCCGCATCGCGAGGCCGCCGTCGTGGCGAGCACCACCGCGACGACCAGCACCAGCACGTCTCGTGATCCGGCAAAGTCGCCTGGCGGCGTCGGCCTGCAGGCTCCTCGAGGTCACCGTCGACCGCCGTCCTCCGCGGGTACTCGTCGTCGGCCATGTCGGCAGTTGGCAGCACCGCGAATCCCGGCGTCGTGGAGCTCGGCGCGCACGCGCACTGCGGACAGGGCGTCCTGGCCTGCAGGCCTGCCTGGGCCGCGCGCCGCGCAAAACGGGTGGCCTGCCGCAGCGCCGCTCCGTGCCGCGCCGCCACCGCCGCCACTGCGCCAGCCAGGGAGGGAGGGGGTGGAGGGGGCAGGCAGGGAAGGACGCCGTCTTGGCCGCCAGGGCGCGCTGGCGCCGCGTGCGCCGCGCAGACAGAGCGAGGGCGACAGGGTTGCCCGCGGCCCGAGAGAGACGGAGAGGGTGAAGGGGGAGGCCAGAGGGTCGATACCAGCTCGCGCCCTGCACCCCGCCTTGCCACGGCAGCCGCGGCCAGTCCAGCCCCAGTCCCTGCCCAGAGAGAGTAGGCCAGGCCGACGCAGGCAGGCTAGGACCCCACCAAGAACGGCGTGCGCTACCTGATCTCCTCCACCGCGGTCCGTCGCCGAGACACAGGTGAGTCCTGCCAGAGTGCGTGCTTGTGTGAGTGGCGGTAGGCGCCGCGCCCAGGGCGACCTGCCCGTCGACCGTCGCCGTCCAGGGACGTGCCGCGTGCGGTACCCGCGCTGAGCAGAACCGATACTCCCCCGCCGGGGCTCGAGAGGGCGAGCAACGCCCTCTCTCCGAGGACCCCTCCAAGTCACACCCGTCCCGTCCACGACCCGCCGCCCGACCCCAGAGTGCCCCTGCTCCCTGGAGTGCACCCCGGGAACGGCGGCCAGCCCAGACGCACCCCAAAGGCTGTCCCGGGGGCCGTGCAGCGCTAGGGCGCGTGTGGAGTGTAGAGTGCAGTGTGCATGTATCGGGGGCACGGCACCCTCGCCCCGCGCGCCGCCCCCGCCTGCAGCCTGCGTGGAGCCCCCGCCCCCGCCGCTCCAGCAGTGTGCACGGCCGCCATGTTGGAAGGGCAAGGGGCCTCGTCGCCGCTACGCCGCTACCCCGTCATGGACACGCACGTGTAGGTGCAGCGCGTGCCCGGCGTGCTGCGCCGTGCTCCCCAAGGCGGTGGGGGCGCGGGGCTGCGGGGGCGTGCCGGGCCCCTGGCGTGTCCGCGTGCCATGCAGCGTGCAGCCGTGCAGCGCCGTGCCCGCGCCCAGCCGTGCCGCTCCGCCTCCCGGCACCGCCGCCTTCCGCCGCCAGCCCGCGAGCGAACGGGGGCGGCCGGGGGCGGCGGCGGGGGCGGCGGCGGCAGGCCGGGCACCGAGCACTATCGATTTTCTCTCGGAGGAGCGGAGCGCCGAGGCGAGGCACGCTGAGGGGGCACGGTGCGGCCTGGCGGGCACGCCACGCCGCGGCAGACCTGCAGCAGACACGGCCCCCCGAATTTGGCCCTCTCTAGGCACAGGCCTGCAGCGCTCCTGTCCAGGTGTCGCTAGTCGCCGATTGTTCTGCTTTTCGCTGCGGGCCGTGCGGGCCCGCCGCGGGGTGGGACGATTACCGTACCGCATCCGTTGCTGCGTGGCCTTGGACCGCGCCGCGCCACGCCTCCACGGGGGGGCGGGCAACGCCTCGCAACGCGGGGGTGGGGAGGGGGAGGGGGCGTAGCAATCGGTTTTCCATCTTAGAACATCAGCCCCAGAAAATGGTGATTATTCCTCAGCAATATGGCCACAGAGGGCCGATCGAGAAAATTTCTTCTCTCTCGGCAGCCGTCCAAAGAAAGATAATGGATTCAGTGAGGCTGATCGCTGGCGAGGCTGCCGAGGCTGGCTCCCCTCCGGTTATTCTGTAGCCGGGCTTTCCGCGCTGAAGCCGCTGGAGTGCGTCCAGCACGGCCAGAACGGCCCGGCCCGCCGGCTGCAGTCCCGGGCGGGGGGCTCGGAGCGGCCCCAGCCCACCCCCCGGTGGAGTCCGCCGCCCCGCCGCCCCCCGGGAGAGGGTGGCGGTTCGCGGGGGCCTGGCCTCGGGGTGGCGGCGGCGCTAAGACACTCCCGTGATGGCGGACGAATTTGGTCAAGTTTGCCGAAGTGCGAGTGTCCAGAAGGGGTCCGCGCGGGTATGTAGGTCAACCAGGGACACGGCTGACACGGGACGAGCGAGGCAGCCTGGCCGTGCCGCGGCCGTGCCGGGGGTGGTGGGGGTGGTGGGGGTGTCGGGGAGGGGAGGGGGAGAGAGGTGATGGACCAGGCCCAAGGAAGGCCCGGGCCAGGCCAGCAGCCGCCTGCACACCGCACTGTTAGGCCGCGGGTACAACTCTCTGTCTCTCTCGCAACGCTCGCCGCATCCGACGCCCCGCAGCCTCCACGACCAGTTATTGGCACCAAGCACTCCACTTAAAAGGTACAGTGTCGGCGCGCTCTGCAAAGCTGCGGGAACCAGAACGGCCGAGTGAGAGAGCCCGGGATTTCACTGTGGGCGCTGTTCGCGCAAATCGGAGTGAAGCGCCAGAGCGGATCGTTTGAGGTCCAAACTGCTTCAAGTCAAGTGCACGGCGTTGCCAAGGCGTTGCCCCGCCATGGCCGTGGACTCGAGGCGGGCGCGCCACCCAGCCCCTCAGGACTCCGCCTTCTAAACAGTCTGAGAGCATAAAGCACTCCAGACTGTATTCGACAGCTTGCATTGGCGAGTCGTCGGCCAGGCCCCAGACGTCCCTCCCCTCCCCTCCCCCCGGAACAGGAAAAGACATCTAAAATCGCGCTAGAAACCCTCGGACCACCCGTGCAAGAGCCGTCCCGACATGGCGGCCCGGACTACTCTCCCTCTCAACACGACACTCTAATCATGGTCTGACTAACCCGCTTTCGTTTGGCCCCCTTTCCAGACCGCAACGATGGGCGAGAAGACTTCCAGCGAGTTCTACCTGCCGCCCCCGAAGGTCGGCAAATGGGAGAGCTTCAGTACGTTCCTCTGGAACTCGGAGACCAGCCAGTTCATGGGCAGGACTGGCAGCAGCTGGGGTAAGTACCGGAAAATTGCTTCTGTCTCCACTTTTTTTTTGTCAACCGTTTTCTAGAGTAACTCAGTCATTCCCCCGAGTCCCACCACCGCGCGGTGCCGCCCCAGCGGTGAAGTTGGAGGCGTTCTCGTCTCGCCGACGTGGCCGACGTCAAGGACGCCTCCTTGTCGTGTCGATGCAGGTGCGGGGAGTAAAAGCAGCAGCGAAAACGCCCCGCTAAAAGGAACTAGTCAAAGCAGTGTACCGCACCCAGCCTCGTGTGTGTGCTCTGTGTGCACGTGCCGGAAATGATCCAACTGATTTCGGCCCCGAAATCGGCGGCCAAGTCTGCTCGCCCGTCGAATCGGCCAAGCCCTGCCGGGGGCAATCCCCTCCCCTCCCACCTCCCTTTTCTCCCAGGTGTTGCAAAATTGGGCGAAAATTTTCCGCGCCGCTAAATAATAGTGGCTGGATGTCGACGGGACCAATTAGCAGTGCGGTGGGCACGGCGCGGCACGGCACGGCACGGCACCGCACGGCGGCCGAGGGTGAAATAAGAAGACGCGTCCAGCCGTCCGGCCGGGCGAGTTAGCACCCCGCCATCAAGTCACCGAGTACAGCGCTAGAGAGGCTAGAGAGGCTAGAGAGGCTAGAGAGCCCGGCCGAGCAGCACGCACTCGTTAATGGCCGCGGCATTGAGGCCCGCCGGGCCCGCCTCTCCAAAGCCGTCCCTTCGTTTTCCTTTCCCACACCGAGTGCGTGCGTTCTGACGCTGGCGCACAGTGGGCCAGAAGACCGGTGGAGGCGGCCAAAACTCTAGACGCGTTTTTGAGCTCCAGAGTCGCTAAATGGGGACTCGAACCGAACGTGTGACCCCACTTATGGATTGCTCTCCGAACAAGGAATCCATGGGTGGGGTTACACGTTCGGTTCGAGTCCCATTTAGCGACTCTGGAGCTCAAAACGCGTCTAGGGTTTTGGCCGCCTCCACCGGTCTTCTGGCCCACTGTGTGGCGCACGCTGGCGCACGCTGGCGAGCCGGGGAGTAGTACCTCTCTGATCGATAGCAAAGCCGCGCAGCCAAGCCTTTCTCCCGCCCCCTTTTCCCGCGAGCGCCTCTCTCTCTCCCTCCTCCTCTGTCTGTCGTCGTGTTCCGGTTTCCGGTCAAGCAGGGCCGGGCCGCGGCCGTGGCGTCCCCGCCGGAAGCGGCGCGACCGGAGGGCTTCCCTCTTCCCGTTCCTGCAGGTGCGCCGGCCATTCGAGAGGCCCGCCTCGCTCGCCCGGTTCGCCGCGATTCGCCTCCACAGACGCGTCCTCGTCTCTGGAAGGGGGAGGGGGAGGAGGAGGGGCGGGTCCTGAGGGGCCTGTCGTGCGAGAGGCACTCGACGATGCTGCCGTGGGGATCGCTCGTCATACATACGGGAGCAGGGTGCCAAATTGCGTGCGCATGTTGGAGGAACTGTACCGTGTGTAGCCTGCTCGCGGCGCCAACTACTCTCTAACTTGTAGTTCTCTCTGAATTAATGCGGGGCGTCTCTCTAAACTATTATCGATGGTCCTCTCATTTCGGCCTTTCCCTACACTCTTTGCATTCTGCACTCTTGACGTCTCTAAACTTTTGATTCAACTCTATACTTGTTCGATCTCTCTAACCTAGCATGGTCTCTCTAAACTCAGCAAAACATCTCTTGTCTCTCGAAACTCGTCTGATCTGTCGCTTCATCTTCAAACTCTAGATTTCTCCCAGAGAGGCAACAGAGTCTGAACTCTTGGTCTCTCAAGTCTCAGTCTCCCTAGGCTCCGAGCCTCTCTAATCTATTCCCGACTCTCTTCCTCGCGAATCTCACAAGAAACGACTTTCATTTCTGGGCGGGAAGCCGCGGGAGATAGCGCAGAAGGGCCTCCGTCCCGGACTTGACACCTGTGCTCGAACAGGGCGGCGCAGCGGCGCAGCGGCGCATCGGGGCCCTCCGTGTCGTGTAACAGTGTGTCCCCGGGGCCCTGCCCTGCCCTGCGCCGGAGCGCGTCATTACAGTGCTCTGTCTCTCTCGCCCTCACGGGGCGCCCCGCTTCGCCCCGCTTGCGTGCGAGAGAGACGGCGTCGGCGTCCTTGTGGACTGTGGACTGCCTTTCGGCTTTGACGAGCGTGCGGTGCGGCCCCACAGTGTGGCCCCACAGGGCGGCCCTACAGTGTGGCTCGCACGCACGCCGCACGCGGAGTCTGACCTTGCCCCATCAGTGCTATCCACGCCGCCCTGCAGGACCTGGAGTAACGGGTGGCGGGGCGGGGCGGGGTGCCTCCGCCCCGCGGCCCAGCTCGAGGCCCTTGCACTCGCTATGCACCCCTCGCCGCCCTGCACTCGGCGCTGCTTATCGGGGACTTGATTACCATTCCCTTTGTGCCGTTTGAGGGCTCCGTGAATGGAGAGGGGCTCGTCGGCAGGACTCCTTCCTGGAGCGCCTCCTGCATGCAGGACTCGCCCCTGGTTGGGTTCTACGAGCCCCTGCGGTCCTCTCTCTCTTTCTCTCTCTCTCTCTCTCTCTCTCTCTCTCTCTCTCTCTCTCTCTCTCTCTCTCTCTCTCTCTCTCTCTCTCTCTCTCTCTCGCACCCGCAGGGAACGCCGCACAGTGGGCCAGAAGACCGGTGGAGGCGGCCAAAATTCGAGACGCGTTTTGAGCTCCAGAGTCGCTAAATGGGACTCGAACCGAACGTGTGACCCCACCAATGGATTGCTCTCCGAACGAGGAATCCATTGGTGGGGTCACACGTTCGGTTCGAGTCCCATTTAGTGACTCTGGAGCTCAAAACGCGTCTCGAATTTTGGCCGCTCCACCGGTCTTCTGGCCCACTGTGCGGCGGTGGAGTGCGACGGAGTCAGAGGGACACGAACGAATCAGCCGTCAAGACACAGAATCGAATCGACACGAATTGATTGGCGTTGACGTCGCGGCATGACCGCCACGAGCGCGACACTGCAAGACACGGCACGACACGGCAAGGCGGCTCGTTCCCCAATCGGCGATGCGATCGACCGGCCCAGCGGCCTTTGCCTGTAACTACACTGCCGTGTCGTCCGCCTCGTCGAAAGAGGCGGACCTCGAGGCGGACGGAGCGGCCGAAACGACTCGCTCCGGAACCGTCTGCCGTGGGAGGACGAATGCGTGCTCGCTACAACTTACAGTGGGGGGCTGGCCTGCTTGCCCGCTTCTCAGGGGCTTTGGAAAGGTCGCGTGCCCTCCCCTCCCCCTCCCCTTCCTTGAGCGGCCACGTGTGAAGTGCTGCCCCGGTTGCGACACCTCCTCCGCGGCCCCGCCGGCTGGCTGCTCGGCCCTCCTCAGCGGCCGGCACTGACTCGCGTCACTCGCGGCGATGAACCCCTCCAGCTTGAACGCCCACCCGCGTGCACTGTCGTGTGCTTCATTCGGGTAGTCATTTTTTGCGTTCGGGGTTCAACCAAAAAGGTGAGGCGTCCAAAGCGGCGCGCCACGCATCGTGTGGGTTTCCCGTCACGTGTCCGGTGACCAGGGCGGGGACATGCCGCCCGCGCAGCTGTCCGGCGGACGGGCCCCCTCGGCCACGGCGCACAGTGTGCCAGAAACCGGCGGAGGCGGCCAAAATTCTAGACGCGTTTTGAGCTCCAGAGCCGCTAAATGGGACTCGAATCAACCCCACCAATGGATTGCTCTCAGGACGAGGAATCCATTGGTGGGGTCATACGTTCGGTTCGAGTCCTGCTTAGTGACTCTGGAGCTCAAAACGCGTCTCGAACTTTGGCCGCCTCCGCCGGTTTCTGGCCCACTGTGCGGCACTGCCGTCCATGCCAAGCAATGCCAAGCCGACAGTAACTCCCTGTCTCCTGAAACCGCTCGCCGGCGGATCCCCACTCGCCCGGCAGTGCCTCGTCGCTCTGTCTCTCTCGCACCCCGATGGGCGGCTCCACGAGTGCGAGAGAGACGGAGCGAGCCGGCAGACAGACGGCGCGGCGCCAATTGCCCCCCGATTGTCTGATTGCCGACCGCTCCCGACGCACTCCGAAGAACGCGTCTGTCTCTCTCGCACTCGCAGGAAACGCTCCGTGAGTGCGAGGGAGACGGAGCGACGAAAGCGGCGTTCAGATCGCCGATCGCGCGCGGCCGGGTGTCGGGTCCGGTCTGGTCCAGAGCGCCTCGACGGCGACAAAGTGCAGTGGGAAAGGAAAACAAGCTGGCGCACCTTCCTGGCGCCCCCGCCGAGATTCGAACCCGCGGCCGCGGCGCCCGCAGCGGCATCGCGTGCCCGGAATGGGCGATGCCGCGATGCCAGAGGCGGCCTGGAGGCCTGGAGGCCTGGGGGCCTGGAGGCCTGGAGGCCTGGAGGCCTGGAGGCCTGGAGCCCTGGAGCCTGGAGGCCTGGAGGCCGGAGGCGTGGAGGGTGCAGCACGCCCGGCGGCCCGACATGGCGGCGAGGCTCCGTGCGCTGGTCGCGGATGTGGAGGGGGGCGTCAACTGGAACACTCGCCCAGAACTAACCCTTAGAGAAGGGCCGCGAGAGAGAGGGAGAGAGCGGCGGCGCGCCCACGGGGTAGAGGGAGACGGCCACGGCTGAGGGGAACGGGCGCGGAGAGGGGAGCGTGGCCATGAGAGTGTGTGCGGGAGGGGCGGGAGACGGCCCGGGGAGCGGAGGGGAGGGGAGGGGGCGGGGGGGCGGGGCGAAACCCGCGCGTCCTGGCTGCTCTGTTTATCGATTGCTCACCGCTGCCCCCCTCCCGTTCAGCGCACCAGCCCTGAGAGGCCCGACCCCCCCCCCCCCACCCCCTCCCTTCCTCCTTGTGGCCTTTCGCTCTCGGTATCGAGGTGAAGGGCAAAGATTCCAACTCCAGCCCTGCCCGCCTGCCCCCCTTCCCCGCGCAACTCACGCATCCTCCAGAAATTGGCGATTTGCGCCAAATGCCGGAGCGAGGCCACGGCCGGGCCCTCGGCCGGGCCCCTGGACGCGTACGATGCCCGCGACGCTCGCGACGCGGCGGCCGATTTCTGCAATCGGCGAGGATCGATAGAGGCGACGGCGGCCGGCACTGGCGAGGCGAAGGCAGGCGAAGGCGAGGCGGCCGAGGCGGGCGACTGCGTGCGGCGCGGAGGGGCGGCCACGGCTTCCAGATGGGATTTGGCGGGGGGGCACCCTCATTGCTGGCCACGACACCTTGGCAACCCGGACCGCTACCCGGCTGGAGCGGCGAGGCGGCAGGGCGCAAGGCGGCCGAGAGTGGCCGAGCGGCGGGCGCGGCCAAGCGTGACCTTGACGGCCGCAAGGGTCGTGGCCGTCCTGCAGACCGATCCCGAGAGCCATTTTCGTCGCTCTGTCTCTCTCGCGCCCAGACGCGACGCGCCGCGAGCGCGAGAGAGACAGAGCGACGGAATGGACTCTCGGAATCGATCGGCTGGCCGTCGAGGTGGCCGTCGTGGCCGTGGAGGACAATTTCGACGCAAGCAATGTTCTTCAAATCGAAGTCGCCCACGTGGGGTCGAGCAGAGATTGCACGCGCGGAAAGGGTATTTGAGAAAGCCGCGATAAAGCAGCCCGAAATAGAGCGAGTCCCGCCTTATTGAAACGAAGGGGGAGGGGGGAGGGCGAAGAACCGTTCAGGCCGGGACGGGCCGGGGCGCCGCGGTTGGCAAACTGAGCGAGCTGAAACGGACGGAGAGAAAGAGAGAGTCGGGAAGCAACGGAGGTAAAGAGAGAGAGCGAGATCAAACTGCACGTTTGTGCTCCTTCCCAAACCTTGATGCTAGGCACTTGAAAGACGTGAAAGGTACTTCCTGACGTCACTAACCCCCTGTTGTTCCTGTGCGCAGCCAAGATCCTGCTGTTCTACCTCATCTTCTACGCGTGCCTGTGCGGATTCTTCGCCGGCCTGCTGGCCGTCTTCTACCAGACGCTGGACCAACACGTGCCCAAGTGGCAGCAGGGGGCGTCGCTCATAGGCAATAACCCCGGTCTGGGCTTCCGTCCGCTGCCGCCCGGCGACAACGTCGAGAGCACCCTCATCTGGTACAAGACGAGCGACACCAAGAACTACGAGTCCTGGACCAAGGAGCTGGACGTCTTCCTGGCGCGTGAGTATGCCGTCGAAGGAGTCGGAGGCCGAGGGCGCCGTGCTGGGTAGGCCGCCCGCTCCGGAGAGGTGCGGGCGCGTTGCCTACTTGCCAGGCGCCGTGCTGGGTAGGCCGCCCGCTCCGGAGAGGTGCGGGCGCGTTGCCTACTTGCCAGGCGCCGTGCTGGGTAGGCCGCCCGCTCCGGAGAGGTGCGGGCGCGTTGCCTACTCGGCAGGCGCTCTGCCTCGCCGCGCTGCGTCGCTCCGGTTCCCGCCTTTCACGTTTCTCGCGCCGCTTCCTCGTTGAAAGTCCTCTTTTGAAGCATGAGCATTGGTCTCTCCTTGCTGCAGCCTACCACGAGAAGACCAACATCGAGGGCACCGGCGAGAACGTGGTGGCTTGCGACTACAACCTGCAGCCCGGCCCCGGCAAGGTGTGCCAGGTCAACATGCGCGACATGGGCGCCTGCAACAAGGAGAACTCCTACAACTACAAGAAAGGCGGCCCCTGCATCTTCCTCAAGCTCAACAAGGTAGGCTTGGCCTGCCGCGCCCGACGGCCGAGCCGTTGGCTCTGGCGTTGCAAACTGGTGCGTGTCAACTAACGGGGGTGTTTCTCGCCTGCTCCAGATCTACGGATGGGTCCCAGAGTACTTCAACACCTCCAACAACCTGCCCAAGAACATGCCCGAGGACCTCAAGGCCATCATTCGCAAGAACGAGCGCAAAGACCCGGTAAGTCCTGGAGCCTTGCCGCCATACACAGTGGCCGCGCACTGCAGTTTCCTCTGACCGCCGCTAACGTTGTGACTTTGCCCTTCGCAGAACGCCGTCCCCACCAAGAGCGTGCTGGAACTCAACACCGTGTGGGTGTCCTGCGAGGGCGAGAACCCCGCCGACGTCGAGAACATTGGGCCGATCAACTACGCTCCCAAGCGCGGCTTCCCCTCCTACTTCTTCCCCTACTTGAACACCAAGGGTTACCTCAGCCCCCTCGTCGCCATCTTATTCGAGCGGCCAGCGAGTGAGTAGCGTGCAAGCCCCGTCGCTCTCCCCCTCTGGCACCCGCGTGGGACGCTCCATGAGTGCGAGAGAGTGAGAGAGGGCGGAATCACCCTGCTGAGTCTGGCGGGAAACGAGACTGAAATGCGCTCCTGTTGCTTGCAGCCGGCGTCCTGATCAACATCGAGTGCAAGGCGTGGGCGGCCAACATCCACCACGACCGGTCCGAGAGGCGCGGCTCCGTCCACTTCGAGATCATGATCGACAACTAAGCGACCACCTCGGCACCCGCACCCTCCGGCCTGCCGCTCCCCCTCCCCTCCTTCGCTCGCTTCTCTGCCTGACCCTCCTTTTCTTTCCCGTTTCCTTTTCCTGGGGGAGTGCAGGGCTGGAGGACGGCGTGGCGGGGCGTGGCGGGGCGTGGCGGGGCGGCGTCGACGGCGTCGGCTTGGCGGTGGACGTGGAAAACTGGACTTGATTTAACCTCCACCGAGTCGCGCCCTGGACACTAGCCGAGGGCGGTCATCGTGGGGCCAGAAGGGCCCTACCCTCCGGCCTCGCTCAGGGCCCAGCCCCGCCCAGCCAGCCGTGGTGCCCGTCAAGTGTTTGTAGAGGGGTAGGGTAGTCAGGACGTTAACGGGGGCCTCCCCGTGGGACGGACCGAGTCCGGGCCCAGAAGAGGAGCCACATCGCACCGGGCCGAAGGAGCCGAAGGAGAGGCGGGGCACGGCGGAGTCCCGTGCTGTGTCAAGTGGAGGAAGAGTGCCCGGTGCTTACCTTCGCAGTGCTTCGCTGCTCGGCCGCCCAGCCGGCGCAGAGCAGAACAACCGGACACTGGAGATTCCATCGTGAGACTGAGCTGAGGCTGAGGAGTATGACAGCCGCGCCAGACGCAGCCAGGGGCCGTGGTGCTGAGCCGCGCTGGAGCCGCTCGGCGAGTCGCTGGAGCCACGCTGGGCCGTTTTGTGGCGGTGCTGGAGTCGCGCTGGAGCCGCAGGGCGCCACGCCACTGTGGGGCCGCGCTGGAGCCGCGCCGGATCCGCGCCGCAGCAACGCAGCGCCAGTGCCGGAGCCGCGTGCAAGCCGCGCTGGAGCCGCAAGCCGCGCTGGAGCCCAGGCCGCGCTGGAGCCGCGCTGGAGACAGTGTAGGGCCATGGTGCAGGACGGTCACCATGGACGTTGGTTCGACAGTTCGATCGCAACGACTGCCATTCCATTCATTCCGCGGCGCGTGCCGTGCGTGCCGTGCGTGCGCAACACGGGATTAGGGATTTGGACGGTGCGTGTCCAGTTGGGGCAGGCACGGTCCGGGGCCTGCGCGATATTCGATATTCGATACTCGATACTCGATTTAGTTTTCATGATCTCAAAGAAAGGGCTGACAGCGGGAAGCGGGAGACTTGAAGGGGCCAAGCGAAAGTGGTTCGCCCTGGGAGGAAAGAGCGTCAGGCGTCTCGCGTGGATCTAAGGATCAGCACTGCTTTACAGTAGGCCTAGCCGTCATTTTTAACTCTTTTTTTTTTTTCAAAATTCACAGTCGAATATCTCTCAGCCCTTGCGCAGGTCCGTCGCCCACTCAGAGGCACAGGCACAAATTTGACCATACTCTTTCTTCCTAGTGATGTGAGATCGTGCCATATTCTATGAAAAAAAATAAAACGTTTTCCGCCAACTAGTCAGATTCGCATGTAGGAAAGTAAAAAAAAAATGAAATTCCTTGCCAGAAGAAGGCAATAGTATCCGTAATACTTTTAGGATGCTCTTTTAAGCTAATGGTATGTAAAATCTCCTTTCAAAATTGGTATGAACGCATTGTAATTACCAACAAAGATAGTTGGGTTTCTTTTTTTACCAATTTCAGTATATAACTGGGACGAACACCAAGTGAAAACGTACTTAATTTATCTGGCTCAAATAAATGCCTTGAGGCAAGTGGTGCGTTTGTAAAATTAAAAAATTTAATATTCATTGTTGATGTTATCAAGTTTAAGACAACAGAGGTGGTCAGACAACATGCACCCATCTCCGCACGCATTGGTCAGTCGTTTTCGCTACCCATATTTTTAAAATTATTTTTCATAGATCAACAGAAGAGCGCAAAGTTAAGTCTAGCCACCTCTGCTTAGAATTGTTGTAGATCTTATGGTAAAATTTAGGCTTAGTCTGAAACTGATGTTTATCATTCTTTCTTTGATTTTCCCCCCTGAGGTCCATTCAATCATAAATGAAGCAAAAGTTACTGTTTTGTGTTCACCCGTTTGAACATGCTGCGCCTATTCCAGAAATAGACACACAATTCAATGTAATGAACTAAATACATTGTATACAGTTTCTGCCCACTAGAAAACGTGTACACTGCCATTTAACAGATTAATTTTTGACAAGTGTGGATTATCTGGCTATGTCAGCAAAGCGTGTCCAAACCCACAAGCTAGTCGTATACCTAAATCACTGTTGTGCATTGTTATTTTATTTTGTAACCTAGTGTGTTTAAGACTTTTTCTAAGATCTTACAGCATTGCTACCTACATAATTGACATCATCTGTATTTACAATGTAGTAAATCTGCCACCTCTGAGATTTACATCAGATTTGTCAGCAATGCATAATGCTGTGGGTAGTGTGAGCAAGACAAGCAAACAGCTTGAAATAAACAATAATGTTTCCAGTGTTAGTTATAAATTTGGGACGAGAACAAAATAAATTATGTCCTCTCCATTAATCTTGCTTTTCATCAATATTCCCCGTAAGGAAAAAAAAAGGTTCAAATTAACTCATAGAACACATTCATTACAAACATAAGGTTTTAATATTTGAAATCATATTAAGATTTGACAATACAGTAAAAAAATCAAATCACAATGACCTATTAAAAAAAAACATTGCAAAGTTCTTGGAAACCACATGAAAAAAAAAAAATTTCTTAGGAAAATGTTTTGTAACTAATGCAATACAAAAGTCATGGTCAAGGAACTACACCGGACACCACGATTTGAAATTCCGTAAGCGTATTAAAATGTAACAACAAGATATTCCTCTCACCAATCGATACAGATGACTTGCTCCAGGAGCACATTCAAGTTGGTGAGACTCTAAAGATGTAAATACAGGTTTATTTTTTACCAGGATATCCCTCATGACTTTAGATCCAATGTGAGCAACAAAGGTCTCAGTCTTCCACTCAAATGTGGATGTCTTCACATTGGCTTTTGAAGTTCTCAGAGCAACTCTCAAATGATGCTCTGTGTAGGCACAAACTCTTAACACATCTTTGGAAGGACAAACAAAAGCTCCACCAGTCTTTCGAAGAAGGCGCAAGATAGGATTATCAGCACTGGACACTTCCTGCAAAGCCTCAAGGCAGACCTCACAATGGAGAATATTTGCCATTGCTTTTATGATGCATATGGCAATAAAATTGGATGAAGATAAGCTTTTAAAATCAGCATTAGAGCACAGATCTTCCATACATACTTTTGTATCAAAATTAGAAGGGATGCAGGGATTTATAATTTCAGGTTTTGAAACTTTGCGGCACTCCTTGCGCGCAGTCGAAACATCCATAGAGTCCACCCACCAGTAACTGTTTGTCTGGGCACAATTCCAGGAAGTTGAGTAGCCATACTTCTTGACGTGACTAGAAAATGCAAGAGTAAACTGTCGGGCAGTGGGCACAGAGCTCCAACCAGTATAAGTTTTAATTACATGGAATACTAGCTCTGCTTCATCAAGGCTCACACAATGAGGGGAGAAGCCAGGCACTTGTCGAAGAAGCTCCTGGCAAGACATTAGTGATTGATACAAAAATCTGATACTGCCGCAATGAGCAGAATAAAGTGGTTGATGTTTTTCGTCTTGAAGATGATACAAGTAGTCAAGAAGAGCAACAAATTCAGATCTGATAGACATTTCATTTGACTTATCTTTTGATTTGAAGTATCTTCTAGATTTCAGCAATGAGCTAATTTTGCTCATGACCCTGATGAAGTTAACTGTTTCTTCGCACCCTTCAAACTGCGCAAGCTTCAGATCATTCCAACAATACAGCATAGCATCTGCGGTACTTTCAGAAAACAGTTGAGCGAGTAGACGATTTTTAATATACAAAGAGTCCCAGGCCCATTGAGGCGCATCATAGCTGTGAGTAGGACTTCCAGATTGGGACTCTTGAATTTTTAAAAGCTCAGATACATATCTCCAACTTATGCTTCCTCCTTTACTATCTAGAAATACTTGAGAGCTTGCCCACATATTTTGAACAGAAGTTAAAAGAGAACCATGATCAAAAACAACATGCACTCGAAGCAGAGGATCAGATGGGTGTATAAAATATGGACTAATGTGAGGCAATAATTCAAAAGACACACCCAAGGAGTTCAAAAAATCTTTGTCAGAGAAATAAATACTACATGTTATGGAAAGTGTAATTGAACCAATGGAATGTAGACGAAGAATGCATTCACGTATGATGTTTGCCTTCTCTGCACTAGTAAGCCTGTTCACATAGAAGTATGCCACAGGCACTCTCCACAGTTGAAAAGGTTCCAATGGCACAACCACTAGGGTAAGAACTGATCTAGCTGCTGGAAGTGTGTCTGAATCCATATCAAAACCATTAACAGGGGTCGAAAAAGGCCCACAATCAACAAACCCACGCATTTTTTTGCCATCCCACTCTTCTTTCTTTTTCACACTTGTTTCTGTAATTAGAAGAGAACACAACAATTTTTTACCCTCTCCACTTTTTTTTGCTTCTTCTTTGACAGATTTAAAAGCTTCAGAACTCCAACCAGGTTCTCCAACATTCAAGTTATAGAGTTTACGGACAGATGAGATGGGAAGCAGATTAAGTTCAAATGCTGAGGTAAGTTTTTCTGAGGCTCCTGCATTGAAAAAAGCCAGGTATTGGACAAAACAACTTAATCCCTCTTTCCGTGCTGCTGACAGAAAATCCAAAGGTACATCAGCAAAAATATTATGAAGAATCATGCAAGTATCTTCAGACATTATTTTCTCCCTCCGTAAAAAAACTATAGTTTCTTCTAGTGTTTTAGGTCTTCTCTTTGGAGGCTGCTTGGGAGCGATTGGTCGCATTCTTTTTATAAGCTTCGAACACATTTCTTCTACGTCTACTGATTTGTAATCCTGCTTGGCCATGCAAAAGCCCTCTTGCACTCTATTCATATCCTCTTCCTCATGCTGAATTCTTTCTTTACAAATAAGCCACTTTAATTGCTCATCACGTACTTTCAAATATAAAGCTGCATTTGATGTGGTTGGAAATATGGTTGGAGGTGGTGGAATCTCTCCTAATACAATTTCTTCAAAAACTTCATCCTCTACTGTCTTTTCCTGGTAAATGAAGGAGGCAAAAGGAAAAAAAAAACGTTAGGTCATGAGCAAAGAAACTTGGAACCAGCAGTATTATTGGAGTTACAGCCAAATTATTATAATCGATTATAAAACATGAACTTACATCACTCGTTTTTGATGGGACAAAGAAAATGGACGGTAAAGCATCTGGCTTTATTTCTAAAATGTTGCCGTCCTTCCATATAAAAGCGTCATCGAGGAAATGGCGTGAACACAAGGAGACATTGGGACCCTCCAAATCTTCCTTGGTGAGATTGAGGACCCGAGGTATCACAGACATCCATTTTTTCCGAATATCTGGATCATCAGGGACTCTGAAATCATTCATAAAAACAAATGAGACAAAATAACCAGCCGACTTAGTGTCACAGTTGGGTTAGAATAAACAACCATACCGAAAGTACTTATCCGCAGAGCTGTGCTCACAATACGGATAAAGACACTGCTCCATGTCTCAGTTTCAGCCGATGCAATCAATTTACAAAATGCAACAAGGCATGCCAGACGTAAATTTCCTAAAACAACCTAGACACAACTAGCCAAGTTTCAAAAGGGTCTTGGGGTTGTTTTGATTTTCGGTCACGCCTTCTAGATTACTACCCTGATCTGAATAAACGTTAAAAAAGAAATAAACAGTAAAAAATTCGTTTCATCCCTTAGCTCTGCTCTACAGAAAATCTACGTTTACATCTTGTAGCGTTTGATTGGCTTCAGGTAAGGAAAAGAATAATTTGTGCAAATTAAGCCATTTTGAACGGCTTCTTTTTTTGTAGTGCTGGGTTGGTACTCACTCCTTGTGGTCTGTCGTCTGCTCTTTGTTACGGTTGCTGTCCAAGCTCAGTTGCTCAAGCTTTTGACGAGGCTAAACGCATTTGTAAACTTTATTCAGGATTCTTGTCAACTCTTCCCATACTTTAATGGATTGTATTTTAATTATTTAAACCGATTTATTTATGGGTGACATGCTTCTGATGACAGTAGGTGTGGAGATGTGAAAGTACTAACCTCCGCTTCTTTTCTGCTGTGCCATAGTTTTGTGTCAAGTACTGACAAAATGGCATTTCTGGTGAACCGATGTGCCAGCCGATTGTCAAGAATATTGCAACCTCGTTCCTGCGCTTCATTTATGTCAACTGAGAGAGAGCCTGTCCCTGAAAAGAAGAAAAAGAAGCCTCCTGAAGTGCGAGTCAATCTTATTGAGAACAAGAACTTAACAGTAATGAGTTTAGAAAGTGCAAACAAGCTTGCGAATCATAAGGGTGTTCAACTTGCTCTGGTGGAAGAACCAGCTCATTGGATGCTTGTCGGGAACAGACAAGCTTATGAGCTATTATCTCCTGGAAGTAAGGTCGCATCAAAGAAAGAAGACGACATGAAGGCTCTAGGCTTTAAAGGACTGAAAAAAGCAATATTTAGTACAAATATACAGGACAATGATGTTCAAACTAAACTGAAGCAAATCAGCAAGTGGGTGTCTGCTGGCTATGTGGTTGATATCGCTTTAGACAAATCAGAAAAATCTGAAGTAAGTTTTGGTTTTATTTTCTAGCAGATTGCTTTTGCTTCTATTTAGGACAGTGATATTAATCAAAGAAATCCTATCCTCTTCTTCCTAGGATATCCGTGCTAAACTAGAAGAGGCCATCAAAGATACTGCAAAGCTGCCTGGGTCTGTGAAAAGGAATTCAAATACACTCCTGAGGGTTCAATATCAACCTATTGAGACTGTTAAATCAAAAAAAGATGTGAAAAAGGAAACCAGCCAATAAGTTGTTAAACTGTTAAAGTCTTGTGGTTCTTATTTCTGGAAGTATGGTGTTGTTGAGAAATTCATTTCTACTTTGATGCTTATGAAAGGGTGGCTCTCCCTGCAGGTCGTTTACTGAAAAGGGCCATCACCGTTTTTTTTTTTTTTAATTAATGTTATGTTTTATCATTCTAAGTCTCATCAGCAAATGATTCTTTTTTTGGGTGTGATTTTTGGTTTAGCAAGTCGGACAAAGGAAAAAAGGCAATAAAGAATCAACTATTCTCTTATGCAGCAACAAAATTATTTCATCTGTACACAATTTTTCAACATTTATAAAAATTTCTAAAAAAAATAAGTGTAAGCGTATCCCAAGGAACAGGCACTTCATGCCAGGACTTTCATCGGTGTTATCTGAAGTCGTTGCGCCAGCTTCTCCTGCAATTGAAGCCACATTAGTTGCATAGTGAGTCTCTCATACTTGATTCTGCGCAGTGCCTGCCTGGCTGCTAGGCTGCTTACCGAGGACTCGACTTGCTGGGCGACGTAGCGGACGCCCCCTTGCTGGTCGACGTGTTCCATGTGCGCGCGCTCGGGGTCCCCGGGAACGAGGACTGGCTTTGCCGGGTCAGCCTGCGGAAACCACAAACCAAGCGTCACTAGGGGGTCTCCAGTGCCACTCCACGGGACGGGACGGGACGGCCAGACCGCCTCACCGGTTCCATGGAGCGCAGCTTGCCGATGAGGTCGGCGGCGCGGTCCTCGAAGCCGGGCGCGAACGCGGCGGGGTCCAAGGCGATGAAGCACTGGCCCAGGTTGGCCGTCTCGCCCGAAGACCCCCAGCGGCGGACGTCCGGGCCGTAGGCCGAGCCTGCGCACATTTCACCAAGTCAGGGTCCCTGAGGTGTCTTGAAGGAGCGCTAAGGGTTCTCTGGGGAAATAAATGCGCAGTGCCACGGGCATCCGCGAGATAGGCCGGCCCGCGCCGCAGCCGTGCGTTGCGGGCCAGCCTACCCCGTTCCTCACAGGCGCTACATCAGCTAAGCCTGCTGAGCCGCAGCGCCACGACTTGCGCCTCACCAGAGAGCAGCCCGCAGAAGGTCTCCACCATGAGCGCCAGCCCGTAGCCCTTGTAGCCGGCGGAGTCCTCGGCTCCCCCCAGCGGCATGAGGCACTGCGTCTTGTAGGCCAGGTCGGCGTCGGTGGTGACCGCGCCGTCGGGGCCCTGCGCCCAACCCACCGGCAAGGGCTGGCCCCGACGCCGTTGCATCTCGATCTGAAAACCGGGCTTTGTTTTAGCTGCTTTCACGTTTCCAGGGCACGCCGTTTGCTTGTTGTGAGACCGAGTGTCGCTGTCTCTACGGGACGCCCCATGAGTGCAAGATGAGACAGAGCCACCACCCACCTTGCCGAGGGCCGCTGCCGTCGTGGCCATGTCCAGCACGTAGCTGTCCTTCCCCGCAGGCACGGCCACAGAGATAGGGTTCGTCCCCAGCGCAGCCTGGAAATGATTCCAACATCGTGAGCGAGCAAGCCGCTGCGTTTCAGGCCCTCATGTCACTTCTCTTTCAACTCACTTTCTTACTCCTCGTCGGACTAACTAGTGGTGAGGTGTTGGTAAAGCTCATGCCCTGGAACAGAACGCTGAGGTAGTACACCAGAGCCGCACAAGATTGTCCTTGGCAAACGCAACCCGAGACTCACAAGCATCTTCCTCTCCAAGGCCAGCATGCTGTACCACCCCGCTATGCCGTAGTGGTTGGACCCTGAAAGAAACCGGAAGAACTTGATTTAGAACAAACGAAAAGGGAGATGGTTTGGGTGGGATTCGAACCCACGACTCACCCTTGGCGACGACCCAGCCCACGCCCACCTCCTTGGCCTTGCTGAGGGCGAGCTCCATGCTGAAGCGGCCCACAACGGGGCCGAGGCCGTGGCCGCCGTCCACCCACGCCGTGGCCGCCGTCTCCCGGAGCACCCGGGGATCCGCGGACGCCACGCAGCTGCCGTCCGAGACGTCATCCACGTACAGCTCTGCGGGAGGCAGTCGGTGACAAAACCACGGTCCAAGACACTCCTTGAGCCCGCAGCTGCCGTCCGAGACCTCCACGTACGCTCTGCGGGAGGCAGTCGGGGACAAAACCACGGTCCCCAAAACTCCCTTTACCACGCAGCTGCCCTCCGAGACGTCATCCACGTACAGCTCTGCGGGAGGCAGTCGGTGACAAAACCACGGTTCAAGACACTCCTTGAGCCACGCAGCTGCCGTCCGAGACGTCATCCACGTACAGCTCTGCGGGAGGCAGTCGGTGACAAAACCACGGTTCAAGACATCCTGAGCCCGCAGCTGGTCCGAGACGTCACCCGTACGCTCTGGGGGGCAGTCGGTGACAAAACCACGGCCCAAAACCTCCCTTTAGCCACGCAGCTGCCGTCCGAGACGTCATCCAGTACAGCTCTGCGGGAGGCAGTCGGTGACAAAACCCCGGTCCAAAAACTCCTTGAGCCACGCAGCTGCCGCCCAACGTCATCCACGTACAGTCTGCGGGAGGCAGTCGGTGACAAAAACCCCGGTCCCAAAACACTCCTTTAGCCACGCAGCTGCCGTCCGAGACGTCATCCACGTACAGCTCTGCGGGAGGCAGTCGGTGACAAAACCACGGTCCAAGACACTCCTTGAGCCACGCAGCTGCCGTCCGAGACGTCATCCACGTACAGCTCTGCGGGAGGCAGTCGGTGACAAAACCACGGTCCAAGACACTCCTTGAGCCACGCAGCTGCCGTCCGAGACTCATCCCGTACAGCTCTGGGGGAGGCAGTCGGTGACAAAACCCGGTCAAAGACACCCCTTTGACCCACGCAGCTGCCGTCCGAGACGTCATCCAGTACAGCTCTGCGGGGGGCAGTCGGTGACAAAAAACCACGGCCCAAAGACCCCCTTTGAGCCCGCAGCTGCCGTCCGAGACGTCTCCACGTACAGCTCGCGGGAGGCGTCGGTGACAAAACCACGGTCCAAAACCCCTTAGCCACGCAGCTGCCGTCCGAGACGTCATCCACGTACAGCTCTGCGGGAGGCAGTCGGTGACAAAACCACGGTTCAAGACACTCCTTGAGGCTGCAGCTGCGTGCTCACCCAGGCGGTTGAGGCCGTGGCTGTAGTGCCCTCTGTAGTCGGCCTCCACTAGCACGTCTGCCAGGAGGTGCGCCCTGTCCGGGGCCGTGCCCACGGCCTTCATGGCGTCCGCGATGAAGCGCCGCACCTCGGCCACGGCGATGACGGCGCCGCCCCGGTCCGCCTGCACGCTGCAGCTCGCATGGCGCACCAACTGACGCAAGCAAAGGGAAGGGCAATGAGGGAAACTCGGAAACGAGATGGAACCGTAAAGATTCGAACCATCGACCATCGGCGTACCTCAGCGCGATGGACGCATCCGCGCGTGAGCCTGCCCGCGGCCCCGCGAAGCGCCGGCGCCGGCATGCTGGCTGTTTGACTCGGTTTGACTCCCCCCGCCCCCTCCGCGGCCTGGCGATAGAGTAGGTAAACAGGGTTACGTAATTAGCGGGCCGTTGGGTTTGGCCGCCTTGGCGGAACTGTTGCGGTGCCAAAGCGAGAGCCACTTGTTGAAGTCTGGGGACGTCACGGCAACCACCCGTCACGACGCAGTGAAATGCCTCAAATTGTCTGTCACAAAATCCAAACCAAACGAGCTACAGAGCAGACGGCCCACTACTAACCTAAGCTGGCGTAAGCTAGCGGGCCTTTGGGGTGGTGTTTAGTGTGAGAGGTATCGAAGACGAGAGATTCTATATGACTTGCGACTAACACTCTGGATGCACTGCACGGGCGACGCAAGTTGACCTCGAAACCGGCTTCCATGCGACGAGACTGACAACAACTGTAGAGTGCTACAGCTGGTCTGGTGTCAAAGGGTTTCCCCCCTCCACGGTCCCACGAGGGTCACTGGAGATACTCCGTGCATACAGCTCACGTCGCGTCGCGTGGGGTAGTGCTCGACTCTCCGGGACGCATGAGAAATGTACGTGGCGGATAGTTTTGTCCTGTATATAATCCATAATTTTGCTTATGCGCACGATCTCACAGTCCAAGCCACATGGCCTCCTAACCTGTGATTTTGTTGTGGGTTTCGTGTGCTCCCACTTTAAAGTTCTGATAACCGACATGTCAGCCCAGAGTCACCGAATTTTTGTGGGCAATTTGCCACATGCAGCTACTGAAGAAGAGATCAGAAGCAAATTTATTAAGTACGGAACCGTTGAATCGGTTGAAATCCGGACAAAGAAAGATGCCTGCACTGGGGATCCCTTGGCCACCTTTTCATTTGTGAACATCAAAGCAGACCGTGAATCGCTTAGCCAAAGTGAGCGCTCCTTTTGCATGTTTGACTTATGCACTACATTGTTGGATTGACAGCTTCTTAATTAACTTATTTTTACAGGTGCTTTACTGGTTAACGGCATTAAAATTGGTGGTCGTAACATCAAAGTGGAACTGGCCAAGGAGAGTTTTTTGCAGCGTTTGCAAAGGGAAAGGCAGGCGGGCAACAAAACAGCTCCTCCAAGTGTGCCCAGTCATCCTCAGCCTTCAGCTTATAAGAAAAGTACAGACAATTTCAAGAATAAATCTGTTCCCAAAGAAGCTGACTGTGAAGATAATGATGTTAAATTTCATCCGACTAGTAAATTGCCTATGTTTAAAGGAGTTAGTTTGCAGATCTCTGATGAAAACAAATCGGAAGTTCAGGTAGAAAAAGAGGTGTCCTCCTTTTCAAATACAAATAGAAGTGATAACAACAGTCGCTCAGACAAACGTTCCTCCAAGAATCAATTCCAGTCGCAAAATTCCGATATATTAAAAAAGTTTGAGTCATTCAGTGATGTTTGGAAAGATGATGATGGTGATTATCAAGAGGATTATAGTTCATCTAGTTTCAAGCAAGGAGACAAAAGGCAAAGTTATCAAGATGATTTTAATGGACCATCAAAATTTAGTCAAAGAGACAAAAGGCACAGTTATCAAGATAATAATGGGTCACTTAAATTTAGGCATGGAGACAAAAGGCAAAGTTCTGAGAAATTCTCTTATACCAATAAAGCTGGCAGCTGGCAAAGTCAGGACCAACTCTACCAAAGAAATGGATCTGGTGCTGGTGGTTCATCTGGAAGCACAAAACCTAGTGTCAATGCGGCTGAGGAGAAAAGATTAAAGTCACTGGACGAGAAAAGGCAGACATTTGAGCAACAGAAGAATGCCATCAAACTTGCTCTGTCTAGTGAGGTACGATCCCATAACGTATTTAATTTTCTCTTGTGCCCTTAATCCTTGATTACGTAAGCTTAATATGCTCTTAATTGGGTGTGATTTTTTTTCAGAGTGCTTCCAAAGTGAACAAAAAGGTTGTGTTTGGTGATGACGATGAGCCAACGGGACTTTATGAGAAGCAGCTACTTGAGACTGCACCAAAGGGCCAGAAGCAAACTGCTCTCACATTGTTCAATGAATCTGATGATGAAGCTGCCCCAGATGACTGGAAAAATCAGTTTGAAGTTAGGAAGCAGTTCCAGGGGGAAAAGGGGAAGAAGGTATGAATAATATGAAAGAGAACATTCAGATGTTTGGTGACAAGTATATATGTTGAAGTTAGCAATTTATTATGAGACTAATGAAATTTTGACTTCTTTTCATGAATTCAGTTGCTACAGTTACAAAGTAACTTCAACAATGACGAACGATTCAAACTTGATCAACGGTTCTATGAAGATGGTGGGGAAACCAATTCAAAACCCTCAGAAAAACCCGAGACAAAAACCGTTACATCAGAGGATGGAGTAGATACTGTTGAAGGTACAGAAGGCCTGGCTGAAGAAAGAGAACAGCAGCTCCAAATCTTGTCAGATATTCTAGGTCAATCCATTCCTACGACACAGCCACCAGTTCATCGTGAAAGGTAATGTACATGCAATAAAAACTCAGCTTATTTGTGTACTTATTTTTACTAAAACAGCTCCCATTTATTTTCTTTTAAAGTAAAAGGATTGGAATGTTACGCTTTGATCCCTCCAAACCCAACCATGTTAAGTATGAACTATCAAAGGAACCAAAAGAAAAGAAGAGGAAGAAGAAGAAAAAGGAAGGAGAGGAGGAGGATGATGACGACGACGAAATTGAAGAGGAGAGTAGTAAACGGAAGTTTAGACGAGAGGAAAAGGAGCCTGAACCAGTTTCAGAGAGTAAATTCTATAATATCTCTGGTACTTTGGCTGACACTTTGAAACAGTCAAAGGAAGGCGAAAGTTCTGGTTTTAGTTTGTTGCAAATGTTTGGCTCTCCCAGTGTCCCTTCAGGTAAAAGCCTTGTTTTGATTTCTTTCTGCTTCTTTCATTTAATTTTTGTAAGGGTTATTAGTTCATATTATATAATTTTATTAATTGAAAATTACAGAGAAGCATGAGAATGAAACAGTCCCCAGGGTGAAACCACTGAGAAAGAACTTAAAACAATCTATGCTGGATGACTCATCCTCAGATGAGGAAGGCCCTGGCCCTACTGCTGACTTGAATGCAGCAGATAATGACAAAGCATTCCCAACTTCTAATCCAGGCATTAGATCATCTCATGGTGTGTGGCAAGAGAGCTTCTTCCTTCAAAGTGGTGACACCCGTTTAAAAGGTTTGTTGTCTTCAATGGTATTTCCCTATTATTTTGTATTGGTCTCCCCTGTTGTGAAAAGACTATGTTTTCCATTTACAGAGGGACTCGACTTCTTCAGTGTCAATAAACGCAATGATACAGTCCTTGAGCCTCAGAAAAGACATGAGATCTTAAGGTGTTTGATGAGACATAAAAGGAGATTGAAGAAAGAGAAAGATATGATGAAGCCAAAGCCACGGAGTGTTCAACACTCGAATAAGGCTTCATCCAGAAAAGTAAACATTTTCAAACCTAGAAGAAAAGTAAAGTAAATTTATATTTATTTATTTGTCTTGTTAATAAATTTTGATCCTAAAAATGTACTGACTGGTTGGGTTTACCTCTTACCCTAGTCACCAAACATTGGCCTCAAACTTCAAGAAACACAACCGGTTGAACCTCAAATCCATTTTGTGTTTCTTTTAAGAAAGCGGCCTTTCTGGCCTTCCCTCCCTATCATCTGAGGCTGTGGGGTGGGTAACTTGTTTGACAAATCCGACGAGTATTGAGGCTACTCACAAAAAGCCTTTACTCGCGCGCGTGTTCAAGTTGTTTTCATAGAGTTTCAATCCCTTTCTCTACTCGGACAAAGATTCACGAATTTATGAGGGTTCTCCCAAGACCCACAAGTGGAGCGACAGCGGCGACAGCCACTGCCGGGACTGCCGCGCCGCGGCGCTCTCTAGCGCCGGAAGTGAGAACCACCGCCGCGCCTAGAGACTCTAGAAACCGCGCCGCCCCTTTCCGGCTCCATTCGCCCGTCCCCCCCCTCTCCCTGCCTCTTCCCCTCCCCTCCCCAGTGTAGTGAGTGTACTGTCGTCGGCAGGTTGATTGCTTCGCATTTGCACTTGCACGGTGTTCAGTAGAAACGACGATGGCTGACGACAGGGAACCTCCACCGCTGTTCGAGAACGTGGACATTAGCAAACACGACGAGGACGGCAGCGAAGACATTTTCAGTTCGGCTTTCGATGTGAGTATAATGGTGTAGGCCTGATGTGGATGACCATGGTCGGCTCGGCCGGTCGGTCACATAATGCTTGGTTGTAGCTCCCGTCTCGGTGTCGTAATGATCACACATTGGACATTTTATTTGCCGCTCTTACCGGAAATTATTTTTTCCACTTAATGAATCCCTGTTGAAGGCTGCTCACTTTTGGTGCTAGTTATCGTCGTGGGGGTGTGGGGCTGTCAGTGAGGTTATGGAAGGGCACCTCGAAATGTCATTTTGACACACCTACTTTGTCAGGCTGAGCACCGCTCAGGCACTGACCACGGCCTAGAATTCGAACGTAGAATTCACAAACCGGGTTTCTGAATCCTCCAATTCCTGGACCAACTTCACTGTTTCAAAGTTTACCTGTCAAAATTGACCTTGAAAATGTACACAAAATGCAACACTTCCTATTCATTTGAAAACAATGCACCAATCTATGGCTGCCTTTCTGTCTCTATTGTATTACTCCTAAGAACTGATTTGCTGACGGTTACTGCTAAATTTATCTTTTGTCACTTTCAGGAGTCTTATTTTGAACTCTGTTCAATTGATCTAATTAAATATTTCTCTCTGCTTTATGTCTAGGACATCAGTGGCTTAAGCATATCTAATAGCAGACCCGTCGAAGTCAATGGTGATTCTAAAACCTCTCAAATTAATCATGCCAAAGTGAGTTTCTTGCATCAATGCTCAATGCATTAGTCTCGTTCATTGTTTTGGATTACTCAACTGTTTTTGATTTTGCAGGATGAATTAAGTGATGCTATGGAAGACACTTCACCAACTGCTGCTCCCAAAAAAATTATTAACAATGATGCTAGAGAAGTATGTTATTGTTCTTTTATTCATTTCTTGTTCTGTTTTGAGCCTCACTCTCATGAAATGGTATGTTAATCCTCATTTGTTTTCAGCAAATGGAAAGGGATGGGGGAGACCAATTTTTGGAAATAACAGTCTCTGAGCCCAGTAAGAGAGGAGAGGGTATGGGGGCATTTGTTGCTTACAAAATAGTAACCAGGACCAATATGAAACTCTTTCGGAAGCAGCAGTTCTTTGTTTATCGTCGTTTTTCCGACTTCCTTGGACTTCATGATAAGCTTGTGGAAAAATACTTAAGGTCAGGCCGGATTATCCCTCCTGCTCCTGAGAAAAGTGTCATTGGTTAGTGTTTTTCATGATTCAGTTAAGCCCTTTTCAAATTTGCTGCTATTTCAACTTTCTTCAAATTTATTGTCTTGGGGTATGTTTTTAGGCACAACTAAAATCAAGATGTCTAACCAGAATGACCAGCAAAGTCTCACAGGCGATTTTGTTGAGAAACGTCGTGCAGCATTAGAACGCTACATGAAACGAACTGCAGCACACCCAGTTTTATGTGTAGACCCAGATTTTCGAGAATTCCTCGAGTGTGGTATGTATTCTATGATTGGTTAGACCATCTATTCAAGAATGGTTTTGTGCATCCTTTTCAACTTTGTCTCTTCATGTCCCTTTCTCTGTTAGAGGATGAATTACCACGAGCAAACAGCACATCAGCTCTAAGTGGTGCTGGTGTGCTACGCCTCTTTAACAAAGTTGGTGAAACTGTGAATAAGATTACTTTCAAGATGGATGAAAATGATCCTGTAAGCCAAACTTCCATTATTTTTCCCTTATTTTCTCAAACCGGCATTTTTCAACTAATACCTGTGTTGTTTTGAACCCCTTCAATTTAGTGGTTTGATGAAAAAACTACTCAAATGGAGAATTTGGACACTCAATTGAGGAAGCTGCATGGCAGTGTTGAATCACTAGTTCTTCACCGTAAAGACTTGGCAGGCCTCACTTCTTCTTTTGCTAAGAGTGCTGCCATGTTATCTAATTGTGAAGAACACACTGCCCTATCTAGAGCCCTTTCCCAGCTAGCAGAAACAGAAGAAAAAGTAAGGATGGCCCTGGAGGCTTAAAAGTAGTGTTGTTGATGCTTATGGCATTGGTTTGCCTAACATGAATTATCTTGTCATTTTAACAGGTTGAAGCATTACATAACGATCAAGCTAACACAGATTTTTCCATCATGTGCGAACTTCTAAAGGACTACATTGCTTTAATTGGAGCAGTCAAGGTAATGTACCCTCATATTTTAAATGTATCTAGGTTATTATCCATCTAAAGCTAATTTCTTATGTTAAAGGATGTTTTCCATGAGCGGGTTAAAGTTTATCAAAACTGGCAACATGCTCAATTAATGCTCAATAAAAAGCGTGAACAGAAAGCTAAACTGGAGCTTTCTGGAAAACCTGACCGGGGTAATACTGCTGGAGTTGAAGTGATTGAGGTAAATTTTTTTTGTCATCGATAATGCTTTGCTTGTACAGTTAACTCATTAGCTGATATCAATTTTCTTCTTAAACAGTGGCAAGCTAAAGTTGAGCGTGGACAGGAGGAATTTGATGCAATCTCACAAATGATTAAGAGGGAGATGGAACGATTTGAGATAAATAGAGTTAAAGACTTCAAGGATACTGTAATAGTTTATCTGGAGAACCTTATGTTACATCAGCAACAGGTGAGTTTTATATTTAAATCGTTTTCATCGGGTTTGGATGTTCCTGTTGGATATTTCTTACCTTTCTTTTCCTATTTTCTAGCTGGTGAAACACTGGGAAGCGTTTTTGCCAGAAGCAAAGGCTATTGCGTAAATTTCTGCAAAGCGGTATTTTGTAAAGCAAACATCAAGGATAAGTCATCTATAACAAGTGTTTACATGATTATTTTGTATAATATACCGATAGCTCTCAGCGCTTATGGTTTTAATGTACTTGAATACTTTGTGTTTGGGCACAGGATGCCAGTATTGCTAATGAGCAAATGACTTACATGTGCAAGAGTGACGGGTATAGAATTCTTTTTGTGATATCTACTTTTAGTTACTCTTTTCTTCTCCCAACATGTCCTGTTTTTTATAAATGCTCATATTTTTCAGTTAGTTTGATTTTTCCAGTAATCTCTTTCCTGAAAATAAAATAAAGAGATTTTGGTGGTTTTTTCCCTACAGGAATAGTCTTTTCTCAAAGGCATTAGGTTCTTCCTGTTATGCAATTGAGTTAAATTAAAAAATGTGATATTGTTCTTACATCTATTGCTTATTGGTTTTCTTCACAAGTATTACAAAACTGACTGATATTTCTCAAGTGCTACTGTAAACTAAAATTTTCTGATAGTATTGAATCCAATGCAGATGGATCTTCCCCATTGTTGATGTGTAAATTTTCATAGGTCCTATTTCATTATGACCTTACAAAGTTGAAAGAAGAAAATATCTTTCTTCCCCAACAATGTCTCTGGAAATGCATGCCTGTAGCTTAAAACTTATTATGTATGAATCAAATGTATCAGAATATCTGTTGTGGCTTATCCTGTGTTTATTGATTATACTGCTTGCTACATTGAATGTGCAATACCATTATTTGATCATTCAGCTAATGATCATGTTATGAGCTTTAAAAGTTATATTCATGTATTTGTTTCCTGCAAATTGTTTTATACTGTTTAAAATATGTTATTATACTCTTGTTACTTTTATAAACTTTCCTACTTGTATTCTAAAATTGCATTGAAAAACAAACCCCATTGGCCATTTTTCAGAGAAGCATATGAAGAACTCTGATTGATTTATTCATAATTAATGATTCAAGCAAGATAATATATTTTTTGATTCCCAGTAACTGTCCTTTCCTTTTTGAGTCAACTGGACGTTTCTCATTGATAGCCACTTTAATCTGCAATTTCATGCTAGTGAACTCTGTTCATGTAATGGGCAGCTCATTGCCATCCCTTTGCACTCTTTTGATTATACATTAATTTTAAGAGATTGTTTTTCTGGTAACACAATGGGTGTCCACTCAATTTTCAAGCAGATTAAGTCATGTTGTTGTTTGTGCATCTAATGGACTTATAGCTGGTTTTAAGTCTGTTTTCCTACATTCCATTTCTTATACTGAGTTATGTATATGTTCTGAGAAAATGCCAACACTCATGTTGTTAGTGTAGGTGTCATATTTGTTTACTGATGTGGTGTTTTATATGGTAATCATGTACAAGAGAAAATACAAAGTTAAATTTTCTATATTGTTCATTTGTTTCAATGTTTGCAAATGAGAAGGTATGAGTGAATGATGTACACACAATGGATTAGACAAGGGAGGATTTTAGCAGCTTTATAACACAACTTGAACACTTGTCTTTTGTTTACAATATTGAATGAGGCAAAGAAATGATAACTTAATTTTATGCAACATGACAACATTTAGAACTGTACAGCTACTATTCAGCAATAATGACAATGATTAAAACATAAAAATAATTGCATAGATGCAACATGTGAAAGTCACTTTCATGTTCAATCCATACAATCTAATAGCACATTAGAAATTATTCAAACAGTCTCAAAAACTTAAAAGATAAAACATAACATCAATTAATTGTAACAGGAAGTTTCATCCAGAAATGTCACAAGGCATTCTGAAAGCAGGCATCCAGACACAACCAAGCACCACAGAAACAAAGAAAACCAAAAAAGAAAAGCTTAATGTATTAGGGAATGTACTCTTCATGACTAAACGAAGATGATTCCCACAACACACATAATGGTGGTGAACACTCAGGAAATACTCTAGCGATGTCTCTACTCCTTAAAAGCAGAAATGGAAAAAAAGGAACAAAGATCTTAGTTAGTTCAGTCACTTCTACCAAACTGAACTTTTTATATGATTTGAATCATTCATAGAATCACTAATACCCAAATTAGGAAATCCAAAAAGCGAGGAAGGCGTTCACATGCAAACATGCAAGACAAACATTCAATTTTTAAAAAAGCACAAGTTTTCTTAAAGCCAGGAAAATTGATTGCCAATGCTTAATGCCTGTCATGAAATGCATCGGACATCTGCTGTAGCCAAGAGGTGCGATCAACCAGTACCAGACAAGTTAATTTCAACACAAGTGTAGGAGAATCACGCTTAACATCCTGAACATCTAATACTGCAACACTTAAGTTTCAATCCATGACGTCAGAGGACAAAATTTCATATACTCAAATCAAAAGTCTCACTGACCGAAATTTCGAGGTGAGTGAAGGGCAATGTGACATTTCTGATTGATGATACCCCAATTACGATAATTATCACTTTGTTTGCAACATAACAACAACCACCAGCTGCATATTTGCTTGGCATTTTGAATGCCAAGTACACAATTTATTCTCTTTCTAAATAAAAGAAGAGAGACATATACATATGTATATATTATATGTATATACATGCATATCGTTCTTCTTGGATTAGTGGCTAATAAACTTCACTCAAGGAAAATGGTACCGATAAACAGGTAACCACACCGCAAAGACTAGAACATAGGAGCAAAGTGCACTCCGTACCCGAAGTTCCGAATGCACCGGAAACTTAATTAAAGGGATAATTTGATAAATGCATTTGCCCTGTAAATAGCAAACTCGAAGTGTATTAGTTCAAAGTATAGGTTTAACAATATTAAAAGTTTCTGAAAAAATTATTCCCTTTTTTTTTACTGATAATTAGGTGTTGGTGTGAGGGTTAAGGAAATTCCCACTTCCAATTTGAAATAACATGTGCAACGGCCACAGGAACAACGGAGTGGGAGAGCCACGGATTAAGGAGGAGGGGGACAGACGTTTTTCAACAATCTTGCTCGGGCTCCAAGCCAAACTTGCAGTATCCTGGTTACTCTAAAACTTGAACGGGACTTCAGATACACATACCAGCACACATACAAATAACAGAACATTCATCTACACATACGTCAATACATTTAGTACACAGATGAAAGGGTATTAAATGTCCAATCATCAAAATTAATCATAACACGAATATTTTTTCTTTTTAGAAACAACTTTTTTTTGGGAATTCATGTCAGATTTTAACAAGGCAGGATTAGGCAAAATTTGAGAATACAGGTTACTGTTGAAACCAAGTGGTTTGACCAAAGTGCAATGAATATACATCAATAAGTAGTAGTACAGCTTTCTTTTTTTTTTTTTAAAGTAAGGGGACAATCAGCAATCATACTACTTTTCAGATGCTAGGTACTGCTTCAACCCCACAAAGGAATTTCTAGACACAATTACTCAACTTTAAAGACGTAACCAAAACAAGTCATCCCCTAAAATGGCATTTCAATACTTAAAACAAAGCTACATTTACTAAAACAATACAACAGTCCAGTTATGGCTTTGGTCAACAATAAGCTAACAAATAACTCCAATATTTACGTCACACTGCAAGGAAAAGGAGCACTAGCATTCCTTTCCAAAATAAAGAAATGAAAGAGGAGGAGAGAGGGGGGAAAAAAGAAGACCCTACATTTCAGTTTTTGGAGTTGGCAAAACTGTCAAGTTTTGCAGAGAACAAGTCTCAATCACAGTTGTTTACACACAACACTAGTAGATAACAGGTAAAGAAGAGAATGGGAAGCCAATGTGAAAATAAGAAAGGATCAGTTTCCTGCAATAAAAACTCTTCACACTACACTTGAGTGTTGCGGTCAGTTAATATAATAAGCTCACTGGGAATATGAAAATTATAACTTTTCTTAAATCACAAGGAGAACAGAATTTCCAACTTCAAAATGACTATAATAACATTTGAGTGCCACAAGAGATGATTTTGTTTTAAACATAGAAAACTGCTTACATAAAATTGCTATTATATTTTTAAAAAATAAAAACACACAATAGCACATTTATTTTTACTCACACATATGGTTAGGCCTTAAAACACAAAGCTACATCCAGTGAGAGCTTGGGTCACAAATGTATACTTAATTTTGGACTAACAAAGGCAAAGCATCTAGGGAACAAAAATTAGCACTACAATTTAGCAGCTTGATAGATTCTACAATAATCAGCAATCACAATTTCTTTGATACACAGTTAACATGAGTGAATATATTGTTGTATTATGTCATGTCTTGCACAGTGGTGTACATGGGACTTTCTTTTAGCTACAAGCTATGATACAATGTAACTTCCCTATTCCCTTTTTGAATATAAAATTGACAATATGATGGAAAGACAGAGCGTAAGCCTGCAAGTCTCAGTGAACACAAAACGTTTGGTCATGGTAATTACTGGGCTCCATATCTGCCAAAGATGCATGTTTATGAAAAAAGTGGACTCAGTTTAGTCATTCCACTAAACTAAGTTTTGAGAGTCTGAAAACTTTGGAATAGAAAAGGATGGCAAAAGTGAGCATTGACTCAATTTTAAGAGTGTACATCTGTGATGAATCATGATCACTCTAATAAATAATGGTACACACAATGATGAAGCTTCTAATATAAACACGCAAAGCATTAATTAATATTGAACCTAATGTACACACAGACTCTTATAGTTCTACCAGACAAACACTACATTTTATGGTGCTATACAATATAATTTGAAATACAAAACTTCACATGTAGTATGTCATAGCAAAACTGCTCCATTACACGTTCAACTTGCATGAAAAATTTGTATCTGAATGGAACATTTGAAGGAACGCCTTGTCTTTCCACCCACTAAGGTTGAACACAGATAAAATGTATTGCCATGAGAACAATGATTATGGATACTAAACTGAACAATAGATACGGTCAGTAATAATGACTTGTGATCAATAACGACCATGACAAGTAGCTAACTTCATTTTAGACAAGGAATAAAAAATAAATAAAAACAGTTTAAGAATCTTCTAGTCCTTCATTTTAACATTCTCAGTAAAATGTTTTAACTATACCCTCCAAATTCCAGAAATAGAAAATAATTTTAAAATGTGCAAAATTATTAACGAGCAATTACTCCTGAAACAAATATTAAAGGTATATCCCTAACATGATACGAAAACCATTCATGCATAGTTGTACATTTAGGATATGGCACATGCTGATGCCAAGAGGAAGAGAAACTTTAACCAATATGCGAACATGTTGACAGAACAAAGAAATGATCTTTTCCTTTTTACAAAAAATAAAAATAATAATAGTGAAAATTGGTTGAATATTGCATTGATGATACAGTGATAGTTGTGATCAGTCAAGATATTTTTTCTTTATGTAACTGTCAGATGACACTTCTGCATTCATGCTCCAGCAAACCCATAAACCTCCAACACACGTATCTCAAAGTCACCACTGGCACATAGAGGAGGATTATTGAAGGTGAGACAACGATCCGTCTTGCCATACCGTATGTTTTCATCCATCCAAATAGCTTGTCCTTCCCTGATATAAAGAAAACACAGAATCAAATTTGTAGCAACTCAATATATGCAAAACAGAAAATATAAAAAAATTGATACACACCCTCCACCAATTGTAATCATCTTGTGGTCAGCTGCTAGAAATAGCTCGGCTGAATGATTTAGTTGCTTCTCTCCTGGACTCTGCTCCATGCCAACCCAAGGATATTTAGCACGTTCAGGATAAAGACTAAATAGGAATGTTTCACCAGTGCCAAAGTAAGCCTGGCGATTACCTCTATCGTCTTTGACATTGCGTTCATACCAACGTGTTGAGCAATAGGCCCCAAATACCTGAACCAAAAGGAGCAGTTTCGTGTTACCTATAAATGGGATGGAAAATAAACCTTACTTTACAAAAAGTGTTTACAAACCTCATTGTTGCTAGTTTTAATCATTAACAACGTAGGTTCATGTTGCTCAACTCGAACATAAAATGTAGTCAAACTACAACCATGCTCTTCCGTAGTATACAATAGAATTGGCTGGTACATTGTGATTCTCACAGGCAACCAAGACCACAATGTGAACAACTGAAACATAAAAATGAAAAATCCATCAGTACAGAACAGATAAAATGACTCACATACATCTGTAGATACTTTTGGGGTATTCACATATACAAGCTACGACCGTTTTTCTTTTACTTATATAATGGAAAGACAGACATCCTATGTTCTAAAACAACTTAATTAAAAACCTAAATATAGCACTAATGCCCCACATTACAAGTTAAGCTAACTTCAGAAATGATTGTACCACGACCAAGACTGATGTTCACACATTCACTCACTATGTACAATGACAATGTATGGCCAGATTTTACAAAATCGAATCTAAAGAGCAAAATTGGGAATTGTAATACAATAATACACACCAAACAAAAATGAACAATGATACCTGTTTAGTGATCACTAACGCTTCTTACTGGGGCAGACCAAAAACTCCTGTTGAAATAAAGAAATAAAAATAAAACCTAATTTTAGACTAACGTGACTGCAAATAAATTTCAGATCGACATTTGACTAAAGCTTGAAAAAGGAACAAAACAATGTGTTGTTTGCAGACTAAGAAACATTCATATTGTGGCTGCACTGAAAGTTCAGCCCAAGCAACAGTTCTTAACAATAAGAATAAGAATAATAAGTGACTACAACACAAGCTGCAGACACACTTAAAATATAAGAAAAAGGAAAAAGCTCCAACTACACATGCATCACATATCAAACTATTAAAAAAAAAGGGGGGGGGATTTAAAAAATATAAATGATTATGTATATACATAAGGAGCATGCATTATGATGATGATCGAGTCCAAAGCACTAACTGAAATTGCAGTAAAGTCACTTGAAAGTTGGAGCATAGTTAGCTCATAGAGTGCAAGGTTTAAGAATTAGCAAGTAATAGCTTGCATGACAACTAGTTACAAATCAGTACTCTTTTGCCTAATGGCTACCAGTACATCAGTGGTTTCTATTCAATCTTCTTTGAGGGGAGTTCACAGATTTTACCGTTTGTGAGAAGAAGACAACAAAGAGTAGTTAAGAAGACTTTCCTATATCAAAGACTTCATACAACGAAAATATAACTCATTAACTGAATACACGGGACTTAAATGCGCATCAAATTTTTTTATCCGGAGGTGAAGCTTGAAGCATGACAACAATGTTGCTACAACCACCTTAAAAACATAAGTGAAGAAAAAAATCTACAGACATCAATTAAGCTAATTACAGTATAATGGAGATGTGAAAGAAGGGAGAACTACAATACTCACTTCCTCTTGAGAAACAATGGCAGAACGGATCTTGTAGATAGGGTACACTCCCATAGCATGAGTGCGAGGTTCAGGAGAGCGAGAACCCTTAAGGTAGCAGCAATAAATAGACAAACAAACCATCACCATCACCCAAAGAAAGCATAATACATTCAGAGAACATCCAAGCAAATCCCAATTCAAGACACCAGAGAAGCTTCTTTGTCACTGGGAAACCAAACCATGCAAAAGTTGAAGGGACAGATACTCTATCCAATAAAAATGACAGATGTATAAGAAAATTGTAAGAAGGAGTTCTGCTACAAAAATAGGATTCAGAATAATACTTTGACAACATTACACAGGGCTCTTTAGCCAGAAAAGAGTGTCACTCAAAGAAAATATACCAGCAACAACTTAAACTAAACTATGCCCTGACCTATATACCCTTAGAGCCAGTAGCAGTTTCAGAAGCCTAGCACTCCAATCTGCTCATTCCCATCCTTCTCATCTATTGGGTGGTATTGGGCAGGTTGGAGGGAAATTAAAGATTTTGTAGTAGAGAGAAGGAATATGATGTAGAATGCATGAATTCAAAGCATAGGAGTACTGACATGAGTTAAAGTCGGTTAAAGTTCAAACAATGGAAGGGATGAAATTTTTCCATTCTAGATATTTTCCAGTGTGCCATTACTAAATTAGTAACTGTATTCATTTTGAAATGTTAGAAGAACACATGTTTAAAAGCCAGCATCCATACTAAACAACAAAACCTAAAACATTGGTCAGGATGAAATCTTACCTCCCGAATTGTCAGCGTATGGGACACAAGCTGTATGTTGTTTTGAGACTGAGAAGTAGGCAGATTTTCGGATGAACGGGAGCGACTGATTTGTTGGGAGTTTGAAAGTACTGGCTTACTCTTCAGCAGCATTTCTGTTTTTACAAAAACCCTCTGAATGTATGAGGAACTGAGACCCCTTACACTGAAGGCAGTACGCAAAACTTTTGTAGGGCTAACCTGGAAAAATGAGATAAGAATATATCAGTAATGAAACATAAATCTTAGGTTATTTACTGCACGACCAAGTCACGATTGGTAAACCTACAGGCATTTGTCTGCAGAACTTAGTTAAAGCATTGTCAACACCTTGAGCTGCAAGCTCCGCACTCCACTCAGAGCTTTGACAGGTGGAATACTTATAAAAAAGGAAGAGAATTGCCATTGCCACACGATACAAAACTTTAATACCCTCATGAAAAAAGCAGTCCATGACCCGGACCTAGAAATAAAATAAAATAACAATGTCCATTTAAGTTATCAAATGATAGCAGCAGAAAATTTTACCTGTTTTCTACATGCAAGGCACACACTTACTAGATGAGTGAAAGGTAAACCTTGAAGAATCCACCATAGCCAGTCAGCATATATTCTCTCTGAGCGAGCATCAGAACAGTGTCGGGCAAGATGAGCAGCAGCTGATTTCTAAAAAGCAAGAAAGTGAAAGTCATTTTTTAACACAATATGCTACCTTTCCAGACATCAGAGTACCATCAAATATCTTACCATGTGCTTTTTGGTTATTAGCATAACTGTACGCCAAGTAGCTTCATTTAATAGTTTTGTTTGTGTGATGAATGTTTTGTCTTTAGATGAAATGAGGCTTGCTAAACTGTTATAGCATTCTTCCTCTGAAAAAGTGATAGTTTTTTAATGGAATCCTGTCTTATTATTATGATATACTGGAAAGAAATGACCCCAGAGAGAAACTTGCCTGACATAAAATGCAGTAACAGAGCAGCAATTGGATACAGTGCTGGGGAGTAGGTTATATCTGGACAAGAGAAACCTAGAACACATACTACTCGATCGGCTAAACTTCGTCCACGCCGAGTTAAATGGTATGGCAGGCAGTGCGTATTCTCCACAAATGCAGGAAGTAGCATGGGTTTATCAGATACATCTAGAAAAGTGAAAAGTACGGTGTCATAAAAAACCACTTATGTGACAGTTTGTAAACTTAATATAATGATAAAAACCTGTGGTGCCAAACAGTTGATTAACCAATTCCCAATAAAATCCATCTTGCATGGGACGGCTGCTTGAGTGCTGTTTGCAGAGGGCTGGCCATAGCTGAGCTCTGATGGTGTGATTAGTGGGCCAGCCCTGTTCTCGAAGAATGAGCTTCACCTGCAACAGGAGAAAAGGTAATTTCAGCTTTCAATCAAATATCCCTAAAATACTTTTAAGTCAAAAAATAATTAAAAAAAAAAAACATACAAAGAAAGAAACAGTAAAGATGAGCATAGAAAATACCTACATCTCTCTTTCGGCCAGCTTGAATGAGTGAACTAATCTCACTCCATGACTTTAGAGGCTTGGCATTCTTCTTTGCAGGACTGTCAGGAACAATGGGAATACTACTGGTGTCCACATGTGCCGGGAACACCTCGTACATATCTGACTCCTCTTCCAGTGTTGACAGCATCACTGCCATCTAACCTTACTGGCCTATGTTTGATCAAAAAGCATCATTGTCTCTGAAACAAAAATGTGAATAAAAGTTTAAAATAGCTGAAAAGCTCCAGTTAAAATTTTACATAAAATCAGCTCCACATTACCGAACAATGACAGGAATTTGACACTTATGGTATGCCTACACTTCTAACAGCCAAACCCATCCACCAATTTAAGTGTTATTTGCAATAAAAGAATAAGAAAGCATACAAAATCTTGAAGAACCCCCAAGGTGCAAACCTAAAACCATTTTGCCAGTTCAAACTCTGCCTTTCACGCAGAAAAATTTCTCATTCAAGTGACAGAAAGCATACCATGTTACAGCTTGATACTGTTCAGAAAGTCGGGCTGACAATACAAAGCTGATGCTCCTTCAGATAGAGGCTAGTTCCATCCGCATTCTTATCTAAGCAGAGACCACAACAACAGTTGGTGAATGTCTCTCTCATGCAGGAGTGGAATGGGTAATCAAAATTAAGAGCACACACACAGACATGAAAATGATGGCAGGGATTTGATTAATGAAAACGACAAATAAGAAATAACGACATCAACAAAAAGACAAACTGGAAAAGGGGGTGAAGGAGGTGGGGAGAGATGAAAGGTTGCTTGACAATTGACAGTGATATAGAGGGGGAAACATGTGAAAAAGAGCATAGATAGCAACAAACCGAGAAAATTTAAATGCTGGCAATTACAGCCAGCATAGTATGGGACAAGGGACAAACCATTGAAGTATTTCCCAAGCAGATTTACTCAAACTAACAGGCTAGAAACCCACGACTACAGAAATGATGCTGGACAAGGTAGAAAATACAGAGAGGAAAAATATAAAAACATCAGTCATCAACAAACTGAAACCTAGGGCTTACTGTCACACTAATTGCCAGCTCCTTTGATTACTTCATTGTATGAATAAAAGGCAGAGTTCACAAAGATAATGATGCAAGCTCATTGAAAAGCTATTAATTTAGATCATCCCAAATTGATGTGCCGTAAAATCTTCAACAATTCACCAAAGAAAAAGAAAATTGAAAATAGAATCCCATTAATTAACAATTTAACTAAGTAAGGAGCATACAAAACCCAAAGAATTGCACAAAAATACATCAGACTGATAAAGTTATAGGTTATGTATTAATCTTCCCTCGGTCTGGTACGACAACAAAGACTTCCGTGAGATTATTAGCATCAATAAGGGAGAAAGTTTTATTTTCGCTTAACATAATGAAGAAAAAAAATTGATTCGATGCACCGATTTTCAGCTCGAAAAGTTGACAATTCAGAGCGGTAGACAGGAGGTCGTTGAAGAGCACCGTCTTCGTTCATAAAATTCCTCCAGCAGGGCTTGCTAATTTGGTTTTACTACACAGACGGACAGAGAACTCTAAAGATTGTTGTCCTGACGAGTACTGTAAAATTGTGTCAAATATAGCACTGTTTACCTTTCCATCAGAGTCAACAAACACAGCGGACATTCAAGACTTGCGACCTTTCAGCCGCTCTCAGTTTTCGGCATGGAGTTGCCAAGAAAACAAAAAAAAATGATTTCTCACCTGCCAGTCCCAAAAGCGTAGCCAATTTTGTTGACTGTCAATTCTCAGTTTGAAAGAACAACCACAAACCACGGGTTATTTTTTTTTCAACAAACAAATTCTTCTTGATTTGGGGCGGAATAGTTTGTGATCATGTCATGTGAGAGGGGAGATTCGTGATCGGCCCCCCTTGCCAAAGCCCTTGGTTGCGCTGAATCTCCGCAAGGCAGCGAAAAATCTGCCTTCCCTATGCTCTTTCCCGCGCCCCGTTCTTCCCACTAGCATCATCGAAGGACATGCTGCAGTTTATCAAAGAGTTCATTCGGGTGAAAATCGTTTATTGAAACCAAGCGAGATGTCCCTTTCGCTCACCTAAAATCTTTTCGTTCGATTTATGCTTTCTGAGATGAGCGACTCCCGGGCGGATAGACGGCCTCATCCCGATTGGTCGGCGACGCGAGCCCCCTTCGCGCCGGCGCAACTGATGGATGAATTCAAACCGTAGAAACCAAGGTCACTTTTTCTTCTGTGATTTAGAGTGTTTGCACAGTGGTGCCGTTTTTCATAATCCATCATAATATCCTCAGCACGGCACAAAAACCTCAGCAGAACACAACATTCTAAACGGGCTCCGAGCTACCTTGCACGAAGCAGCCAATCAAACCGCTCGCTCGGCGCTTCACACCAATCGCCCCCCTCCCGTTCCACCGTCGGTTGTCACCCACGGGTCTTGGCTCGCACAAGGAGCCTTAATAATACATGCTAATGAATGGGATATACCTGGCTCCGATACAGAACTAGAAGCACAATTCCACGAATTTATTGATGGAAAATCGATATCCCCCCCCCCACCCATCCCCGCATCCCCTACTGGCGCCCTCTAGGTAAACCCCCCTTCACCTCCCCCTCCTGCCCCCACTTCGTCTCGACCGCAGCCCCAGCTGTTTCACGACGGAGAAATGGTGTCGCCTGTTGTGGAAATTGTCTGAACGATTTGACCCATTTCTGTGCTTTTATACAACGAAAATGGAGTACAAGATCGACTGGATATTTCCTAAATTACGAAAACCATATCGGCTGTGCTGGAATATCGCAAGTTCAATAACTGTCGTTGCTGTTGGGATTTTTAGCAAAATATTTTTAGGTTAGTTGGTTAGGATTACGTTGGGATTAAGTCGCTATTTTATCTTTTCGGAATTCTTGTTTGTCTACTTCATATTTCGTTTTAATAATAATTTTTAAAAAGTGTTCGAAGCAATACATGATAAGCCCAGCTCATAATCATTTATTGAACACAAAATCAATAGTTCTGAGACAGAACCTTAATGTAGGGAAAATATTGTTCTTTTATCTTCTCAAAAGTAATGTCCGTTACACTGTCACACCTCTGAAGTATTTGACTTTTCAATTTCTGAAATTCCTCAACTTATGCATTAACAGACATTTTTTTAAAATTTTCAGCATAGAACCTTGGACATTTGAAATAATAGTTTTGTTCATTTCAGAATGGCTCAATACAACCAAAGTATACAATCGGGAGGTAATATCTACAGCTTTAGACAAGAGGCCAAAAAATATCCCTCTTATCACTGTTTCCAATCATCACTCGTGTTTTGATGATCCTGGTTTATGGGGTATGTTGTATTGTCCAGAGAGTGGTTGAAATAGATTAAATGTAAATGAAGTAACATATTGAGTTTTATTTGTTCCACAGCCAGCCTTGAATGGAGACACCTACTGAATCGGAGAAAAATGCGCTGGTCGTTAGCAGCTCATGATATTTGTTTCACGAACACATTTCATTCATATTTCTTTATGCTCGGCAAGTGTGTGCCAGTTGTAAGAGGAAATGGTGTCTATCAAGTAAGTAAACTGACTTAGAAGCTAACATTTCTCCGTAAGAATGTAATCTAACCCACATTATGCCATTGCAGGATGCCGTAAACTTCTGCATTGAGAAGCTAAATCAAGGTGAATGGGTCCATGTATTTCCAGAAGGTCGTGTAAATATGACCAAAGAGTTAATTCGTTTAAAATGGGGTGTGGGGCGCATGGTGTACGAATCCCCCACAGTGCCTCTAATAATCCCCATGTGGCATGAGGGTGCAGACACCGTGTTACCAAATGAGCCTCCATATTACCTCAGGGTAGGGAAGAAGGTGACCCTAGTTTATGGTGAACCTATAGATCTGTCAGTGCTGGTGAAAGATTTAAAGCAAAGAAAGGCTACAGAAATTGAAGCGCGAAAGGCCATTACTGATGCCATTCAAAATGAGCTAATGAAGCTGAAGGAAAAAACAGAGAAAATCCATTTGACATCTTGACATATGCTTTTTTATCACTGTAAGTGATGATGCTTCGAATCTTCGATCCAGATCCATTGTAGTGTTGTGTATGTTTTTTTAATTATTATTATTATTATTATTATTATTGTTTCTAAGTTGTTTTGTTACATAATTTTAATGGTCCAGCCCAGGGTCTATGTTAAATTTTTGACAACATTATAGTAACCTGTTTTATTCAGGGACTTGCCTATAAATTATTTAACTCTTTTGTTCAGCTTCAAGTGGAAGCTTATGCAATGGATGTGGAATTAATTTGCAGAAAACCAAAGCTATGCTGAGATATAAAGTAACATTAAGTGGTTGGCTTTCAGTTGAGAACAAATTATGCAGTACAAATAAAAGGCATGTCTAGTCTGCCATTTAAGGCATTTTGGTATATCCATTCCTCTCCTGCTGCCTTTTTAAATCCACTGCAAGTGCATTCTCTTTATCTCATTTCCTATATCATTATTCTTGTGTCCTCTATTCATGCTCGATAGTAATTGTTACAATGACTGCACATTGCACTCAAAGAATTCCCACCTTTTTCTTGGATTTATCTGTTAACTGTGTATTGACTTTACCTCACATGAAAATGTACATGTGGATGTTGCGCAGATTGGATTTCTTGTCTGTTTATATCACTCTAACTAAAGAAATCTAAAATTTGTGCTTAGTATGTACCTTATCAAAGATAACTTGACGTTCCCAAGTAGATATAGATTTTTGTTGTGAAAAAAAAAGTTTTGTTCAAAGGGTTGTGTTTATACACTGGGGAAATTGGGTTAGTTAAATTATGAGATCGTATTAACATGGTTGAATCAGCTAGATGAAATTGACAGTATGTATAAACAAACTGAACATTTTGGGAGGGGCTGGGGAGGGGGGTAGATTTTCACTCATGTAGTATGCCTTAACAGCAGACTGTATTCTGGTTATAAGATTAGCATGATATACTAATTTTCTTTCATCTTATTTATTATTGGCAATGATACACTTACTTCCTAAGCTCTGCTATGCAGCAGACAGAAGATCTGTGTGACTCCTGTTGATGGTACTGTTTTTTGTTTGTATTTGTTACGCAACCCATGAAGGGCCTTTAATGTGATTCAAAAACATTTTAAGCAGTATTCAGAACTTAACTTTCTGAACCATTTTTTTTTTTTTTACAAATCATACAACTGATGCAGATGTTGGTTGTGTGGTATGAGATCTGTAGAATGTCCAGTGAAAGGTAACATAGTAGTCACTGTAGGATTGATCTTCCATTTTTTATGTTCTGCCTATTACAATACAATTCTTTCTGGTGCCTAATGTATGTAATGATCTACATTGGACTGATATTTGAACGCCTTAGACAATTGTGCTAGAAATCAGGACAGTATTTTGGAAAATATTCCATTATTTTAAAATTAATAAATATACACTTAAAATGAAAACAACCCATTTAAATATTCCTACTTTTATAAGCTAAAAATTCAAAAAGGTGGTAGTGATAAACTGGAGTTTATATTTTCTAAATTGAGTGAGATGTTTGATAGTAGTTCAAATACAAACTTTTAAGTGCTCAACCCATTTTTTAGCTTATGCCAGTAAAATGCGATTGAAGTTACAACTTGAAGTTGGTCGTTGCCAAAACACATAAATAGCCACATTAATAGCCTGGTGAATTAGGGGGACCATGAATAGATGCTTTCTGCTCCACTTTGGTAGCAAAAACACTTTCAATCTTGAGACTAATGAAACTAGTAAGACCAAATACAAACAATACAATTTTATAAGAAGTGTGAGTAGTAGCTTTTCTTGTTTCAGCAATGAGCACACAAGCAACAAGTATGATAAATTATTAGTGTCATTCCATAAAGGCTATTGGCTTGTTTCTACAATGCTGCTTCACTCTGCACATCTCAAACGTCAAGCTAGAAACTTGCAAAATCTACACCAGATAGGGCGGCTCACAGATAATAAAATCTATTGTACAATTTTATCAGTCAATAAATACGCTCTCTGCTTTATGTTTCCTACTCATTATAAGTACCATTCACTCTGTGCCCAAGAGACCCTTGCAACTCAAGTCACTTGAGCTCTGAGCATCGCCGGGGTTGTACGTACCTCCGATCCCGTTCGTCAATGTTCTCATTAAGTATTGGTTGGATTTGTAAACAAATAGGGTGAGGAATGCTGAACTTAGACTACAAGAAATATCATGAGATAAAACTTTTATTTGTCACACTAAAATTAATCACTTAGCTGATAAGTTCGCCAGCTTTTCTTCCAAAAGGCTCATTCTCTGCTCCAATAACTCCACTGTTCCCTTGAGTAAATTTATTGTTTCATTTTGGAGATTTCTTTCAGCTGCAAAGGTGTTGTGGCAATTGCAGTCTTTCCTGTGAATTTAAACAGCAAAACTCATGAGAACATAAGAAAAGTTGCATTGAATGTCATTCAAAACCATATCATACAACACAAAATACCATGTTACATACTCATTTGCCATTTTATTGTCACCATGTAGTCCACTTTTATGATTTTCTGTGTTGGAATTTCTGTCCTCAAGAGGTTGACTCACTGTGGTAATAACCTGTGAGCAAGGAAGGAAAGTATTATTAACTCTTAAACCAGTACTTTATTTTTTAGGAAGAAATGGACATCACAAATAAGCGACCAAGATCAAAAATATGTACCTGATCAGGTTGCTGCAATTCTTTCAAGGCTGTTCTTGCATCAACTTTGCATTTGACAGGCGAATTCAACTCAGCCACAGTCTCATTCAGACCAGCAGTCTCTTCTCCCAGGGCTGACTGCCAGTCTTCTATGTCAAAATTGGTTTTCCAAACAAAGACCTACAATTTAAAAAATTTGTAAGAGATACCTTATTTAGCAGGACTAAGACTTTTATTATACGTCAAAAAATGAAAGTAAACCTGGTTATCAACACCGGATGACGCAAAGTATTCTCCTGACGGAGAAAAAGCAACAGAGGTGATTGCACCTTCATGGCCTTGCAGTGTGAAGATAGGCCGCCCCTCAAGAAGATCAAGTACCTGATGACAATGACATAATGTGATTAATTAAGGGATCGAAATTCACCTGCTTATTGGTGAACGGGTTTCAGAGCCATATCCTACCTTCATGGTTGCATCTTGACTTGCTGTAAGCAAGTAATTGCCACTTGGGTGGAAAGCAACTCGATTAACTGGACCTTCATGACTGCAATAATGCTGAACCACCTTCAGCGCACGAACATCATAAATTCTTGCCACATTATTGGAGAGTGCCGCCCCAATACAGGTTCCACTTGGGTGCCATTCCACATTGAAAGCATGACCTAGTGCCAGGTACAAGAATAATGATAAAACTAAAACTCACTTAAAGTGGGGACATATGTTATAACAATAATAAGTTTACCTTTGCTTTCATGGAAAGTATGGGTACATTGACCACTGCGGGGATCAAACAGTTTAATCGATTTGTCATCAGCACAAGAAGCCACTGCATTTCCATCTGGTGAGAATCGTGAGCATCTCACCCAATTGCTATGACCAAGAAGTGTTGAGACAAACCGACGTCTGGCAACGGACCAAAGCTTTATACTCTTGTCATCTGAGGACGTAACCAATTGATGTCCGTCTGGAGAGAAGTGCACAGAACGGACACTTCCTGTGTGTGCTCGGAATTCACCTGAGGTCCCTCTGACAGCACTAGGAACCCACAGTCTCACTGATCGATCTCGGGAAGCTGAGGCAACTAAATGCCCCGAAGGAGAGAATGTCAAATCTAACACACCATCAGTGTGTCCCAAAAATCTAAACGCAGGATTGGAGAAAAAAATTAATTGAAGATGACTCTGATGTCCACGAATAGTGACAAGTTTGTGGAATGATGATGTGAAAAATTATAAGGACACAAACCTAAATGCTCGTACAGTTTTGTGAAAATTCCATAGCATCAATGAATTGTCAAGTGAACAAGAGGCAAGCTGCTGAAGAGCTGGATTGAAAGCTAATGCTGTCACGGTATCTTTGTGGCCCCGAAAATGTCGCTCCAGTGAAGGACAATCTGAGGTGGTCATGGTGAAATCTATTCAAGACAAAGAATCCGTGAGATGCATGGTCGAAATGAAGCACTATAGCTGCAAGTTTAATCAAAATTACTTGACTGACCTCTTTTAAGACAGCAAATAACCTTCAAACTTGAGAACCAGACGAATCTGAAAGATTTTTGGAACAATGATAGAGGACAGTTCGATTCTGGTTCTGCCTCCGGCGCGTTTCGGCTTTCAACAAGTAACAATTTTCAAATTTGACGTTCGTTCGTTGGTTTGCTTTTGTTTACTACAAGGAACGAACGTACTACCAACATTTGGAGCCGAAACATGAAATGTCCGTTGTGTTGTCCAGAGGATTTGAATCGTAATTTACCCCATTTTCACTCGATTTTCTGCATTAGTTAGAATTATTAGATATTTTCGGAAGTTTTTAGAAATACTAATAATGTATGGGAATTTTGACCACGTTTGCTGGCCGATCTGGCCAACCAAACAGACCCAAGCAGAAGCGTTTAGCAGAAGAAACTCTTAGTCGGCAGGGCAGAAGTAAACGAAACGTGTGAATTTTCGTTCTTCAAAAATGATTGTTGATTTCATTAGACACTTGATTCAAGCAATCATGCAGTTAATATTTCCAGTAAAGATGAAAGTTTCATATGGGTTAAAAGTTTACATTAAATCAAGTACTGGGAACATGTTAGTCGAGCTAGACCCGAAATGGGATATTCGAAGTTTAAAGGAACGGGTAGCACCGAAGTTGGGCCTGGCTCCTGAGGACGTCAAAATTATCTTTGCTGGGAAAGAACTCATGGATTCAATCGTTATTGAGGTAAATTTCAAATTGGAATGATTTTTTAGTGTTGACCTTCATGAATTAAATGTGATTTTAGTTCCAAGTTCCTTTTATCCTGGGGCAGTTATTCACCTCATTATTGCATAAGATTGCTATGGCAGTGGTTAAAAAAATTGCATTTTTAAACAGGAATGTGACTTGGGCCAGCAGAGTATTCTACATGCAGTGAAAATACGCCATGTTGATAAAAGTCAATCTTCTGGAAATACCTCGGAGTCCCATGGATCAAGACCAATGAATGAAACCTTGATGGATTGGCAACTAACAGCGAAGGAGTGTAAGAATTTGACAACTGATGAAGGTCGGTTCATATAATATGCTATTACAAACATCAAAATAATTTTTCGAAAGGAATGAGTAATTTGTTTCAAAATGTGGTTTGTTTCAGAGCGTGAGCGCAGGAAGGCACATTTCTATGTGTACTGCCCCTCTCCATGCAAGGGAATGCAACAGGGAAAGCTAAGAGTTAGGTGTGACTCATGTCGGAGTGGTGCCTTCACTGTTGATCGTGATCCACAGTGCTGGGCTGATGTTCTGCAAAAGCATCGCATTACTGGGACGTGTGAAGATGAAGTCTGTCAGGTCAGGAAAATTCTAATTTAAATGGTTCTTGATGTAATTTAACTGTGGATGATGTTATTGATTCTTATTTGCAGGATTCTCACACAGATGGGCCTCAATTTGCAGAGTTCTTTATGAAGTGTGCAGAACATGCATCACAAGGTGAAGAGGACCAAGCTGTGCCTTTGTACTTAATCAAACCAAATGTGAGGGATATTCCCTGCCTTGCATGTACTGAAGTCAGGTATATTTAATCTAAAAAACTGTTCTTCCAGCATTTATCAGTTTGATTGACCTGATTCAGGTTATTTATTCTATGTACTAATTCTTATTTACAGTGATCCAGTTTTAGTGTTCCCTTGCAAAGAAGGGCATGTGACATGCTTGGATTGTTTTCGAACTTATTGTGTCTCACGCCTCAGAGATCGACAGTTTTGGTCGCATCCAGACTTAGGATATACTCTACCATGTCCTGCTGGCTGTCCTGATTCCTTGATTGAGGAAGTTCATCATTTTCATTTGCTCACCAACGAGCAGGTAAATTTTTATTTGAGGAAAATTTGCATTTTAATATTAAAAGAAATGATTATACCTTCTTTCTGAAACTTCAGCTTAGGATGTATCAGCAATTTGGAACCGAGGAATTTGTTCTTCAAGCAGGAGGTGTGCTTTGCCCACAGCCCGGCTGTGGCATGGGTATTTTAGCTCCTGAAGACTGCCGTCGAATCCAGTGTCAGAATGGCTGTGGGGTACATATTTATTTATGTTATTACCACAATTAATGTCTCTTGGCTCAACTGAATTTATAACATTTTTCGCTGTTAACTTTATTGCAGTTTGTTTTCTGCCGTCAATGCCTGCAAGGATTCCACCTTGGAGAGTGCTCTGAAACAGGGGAGGGACTCATGGACCGGAAAGAAGGAAGTTGCCAGTACAATGTGGATCCAGTTAATGCTAGTCAGGTCAGCACATGATTAATTTCATATCTGGGTATCTCACATTGCTCTGACGTAAGTTCACATTTGGTTTTGGTTTTATCCAGGCTCGTTGGGATGAGGCAAGCAAAGTTGCCATCCGCGTTACTACAAAGCCATGTCCTAAATGCCGTACTGCAACTGAGAGAGATGGTAAAAGCCCTTTCTTATATATCTTACCTTATTTTGTTAGTTGGAATTCACCAAACAATGGTCTCTTTTGAATTTAGGTGGATGCATGCATATGGTATGCACAAGACCCCAGTGTGGTTTCCATTGGTGCTGGGTCTGTCAAACAGAGTGGACCAGAGAATGTATGGGTAGTCATTGGTTTGGCTGAAGGGATTTTTTCTTCATTCGTCTGAGATATGTTTAGTTCCTGCTTTTGAAATTCAAACCAAGTGGCAATTCACAAAATTTGGCACTGCAGTATATGCTTTTAACGAATAAAGTGCTTGGCCTTATTTGGTTGCATACAGAAGTGGAACTAAATTAGTTAGGTACATAGTCGTAGTAATTAATCTTTAGAGTTTGTGATATTTTTTCCTTTGTAAAAGAGTATTTTGGTATATTTTAAATATTGTATTTTTCTTGGGGAGGAGTATTTGAATAATTTTGTACTGAAAGTATACATACAAATCCAAAGGGCCAAGATGTGATCTTAGCAACAAATTTGTTTGTGTTTCTTAGGGTAGCTTTGACAAAATGGTACCGAGTGTGATAATAAAAACCAGACTGATGCAATAATGTTAACTATTTTCTTTATTCCAACTATACATGCCTAATTATATACAGTGTCTACCAAGCAGACATTGTATTTCATAGGTAAAGCTCTGTTCAGCAGCAATACAAAATTCTTAAAATGAGAAAGAAAATTCACAAAACATCATAACAATGCGGAAGCGCTCCGCTCCTACAAGGTATAGGACAGGCTAAGTCTAGACGATGGCACACAACTCCTTCTTCATCTTCTTCATAGTATATTGCGCGGAAATTGCCTAGTATTTTGTCACTAAGATTAACAATTCTTTAAGATTAACAATTCTCGAAAAGGGCTCCACTGCGGTAGGCTTTTAGTAACATGATGAATTTTCTTTGTGGGAAGAACGCTCTGCGCCATTGAGGCACGTCCAGGAGATGCGTGCTTAGGCCTCGAGCTGCGGGGCGCCTTGCAAGTCCTGCAGGTCCTGCATGAGTGCGTGGTGCGGGGGCGGCGGCCTGGGCAGGTACACGCCAAGGGGCGCCGACGGCAGCTCGCCAGCGAGGAAGGCCTTCATGAAGGCCACGGCGCTGGCCGCGCAGATGGCGTCGTCACCGTCCTCCTCGTCGTCGTCCACCTCGTCCTCGAGCACGGACACGGCACCGCGCCACACGTCGACCGCCACGAGCAGAGGCACGGCGTCCTCCAGGACCAGCTGCTCTCGGAGACTGTCCGCCGCGTCGCCCTGCGGCATGACACAGTGTGTGACACAGTGACACAGGGACACAGAGAATGAATGAAACAAAGGAAATGAGGCGACTCGACTCACGTCCTGCGCCACGTAGAACTGCAGCCGGGGCTCCCGCAGCGCGGCCAGGGTGCTGGGGTGCTGCTCGGCGTACACGTCGGCGGCCTGCTTCAGGATGGCCATGGCCCACTCCACCTCGCCGGGGCCGCCCTCTGGAACGCGAAGCACAGCGTCACACGGAGTCACGTCCCGTAAAAGAAGACTGCCGTGGCTCTACGTCCCTCATAGGGGTGAGAGAGACAGAGCGACGGACGCGGACTCACCTACGAACAGGATGAGCGCGGGGTGGTCGTGGAGCCGGGCAGAGTGGCGCTCCGCGAACACGCTGACGGGCTCGGGCCGCCAGGGGAAGTCCTGCACAAACCACGAAGAGAGGTTGAGGGTGTGGAGGGTGCCCTCGGTGCCCCCGGGCAGTGGGGCGGCTTGTCCCGCACCGACTCACCTTGCCGTCGGGGTCGTCGTTGACCCGGGCGCGAGCGTCGTCCGTGATGAGGGCGCAGTCCTTGTCCGAGGCGTCCACCAGCACGAGGGTGGGGATGCCCTGCACGGCCAGCAGCGACGCCAGCTCCTGGCGACTCGCCTCGTCGCGCCACGCCACTGCCGGCCACGGCATGCTGCGGGCGTACTGCTCGAACGACTCCTCGCTCCTGCGGACCGCAAAGGAAAGCACGCTGCAGGTTACCCCGGGTTACCCTCGCCGTCGTCGACGCATTGCGACGCATCCCGGAGCACGGCGCAGCTCCCTGACTCCGCCGTTGACAGCCGTCTGATTCCGAAGGGTCTTTTCGTCGCTCTGTCTCTGTCGCACTCACAGGCCGTCCCGTGGGGGTGCGAGAGAGACAGCGGTGAGAGCAGGCCGTGCGGTACGGCAGTCGCATGCACGCCACCGCGACAGCGACTCCCGTTTCGTTTCCATTCGTCCGTGCGGCGTTTTCCCAGAACAGCCCTTGAGTGCAGGGCGTGCAGGGCGTGCAGGGCGCGCAGGCAGGGGCGGGGCCGCGGTCAGGCCGGGGGTGTGGAACGGCCTCCCCCTCCCTACTTTTATTCCCTTCCGCGGCCTGCCTGATAACAAGGGCCCTGGATGCAGTCCTCCAGTGGCACGCGAACCCTTTCCGTATTCTTGCCGAACCCTTTCCCAGCCCCCCCCCCCCCCCACCCTGGTGTGCATTATAAAAGCAACGCTTTCCGCGCGCTTTTCTCTCCGTCTCCGTACGCCCACCGGTCTCGAACACCTCCAAAACCCTTTCTCTGTTTTCAATAGGCGAGGCGGCGAGAACGCCATGGCCCGCCACGGCGACAAAGCAGTGCGGTGCCATTGGCGCCTTTTGAAAACATTCCCCCAGCCCCATTTTAGAAAGTGTATACATCTTTTGACCGAGAATTTCTCGTTTATTAGCGACCTTTTGAGAAGAAGACGCCCGCAGCAAAGCAGCAGAGCCACGAGGGACTGGAAAATTTCCTCACGAGGAAGGAGAGGCATTCATGGCTGTGGAGCGGAGCGTCGCCCGCGTCGCTCCGGCGGCGTCGCTTCGCGTTTGCCGCGTGAAAACTTTGGGCCGATCGGCGCGTCCTTGGAAGTTTCAGCGGGAAAAGGGCAGCAGAGTCGTCCCGCCGCGCATCGCTGTCCTCGCCCCGTCTCTCTCGCACTCATGGGGCCCAGCGCGCCCAGCGCCGCCGGTCGCGTCCGGGTGCGAGAGAGACAGAGCGCCTGCTGCTCCATCAGCGCCCGGCCGTCATCTTGGCCGTCATCTCCACTCTCGTCTTCGGCTCGTAAAGCCCGCTGGAAATAGAGGCGTGGCGTGCCGGGCCGGCCGCTGCCAGAACGCGGAGCAAAGCGGAGCGGGGCACGCAGCAGTGTCTCAGCTCATCAATGCACACCCGCGCGGAAGTACGAGGTTGGCGCTGCCGCCTGGAAGTGACGCAAAACGGCATGCAGAGTTCGGTTTCCGGTTCGGAACGGCCCCTTGCCGGTTGGGCTGGGCGGGCACTGCACTGGCGCGAGGCTCACGCTGCGCTAGCTCTATTGCGCCCCTACCTAAGCCGAAGGATCGTTTCGTCGCTGTCTCTGTCGCACTCATGGGACGTCATCGTGAGGTGCGAGAGAGACAGAGAGTCTTACGACCGCGCACCGCGCCCACCCAGTCCACCCCTCGACGCGGGCATGGCCGAGGGCATGGCCCAGCACGGACAGCACGTGCCGCTGCTTCGCGCTGCTGCGGTGGCCGGCCGGTCGGCCCGGGGCGGGGACCGGCGGGGACGGAACGGCGCGGGGTGCGAGATTGCTAGATTTGTCGTAAAACGCGAGGCCAGCCAGGGGCCGGGCCGCGAAGAGGGACTGGAGCCGGCAACGGAGACGCTGGACGCGAGGAAGAGGCTGTGCCGCACAGTGGGCCAGAAGCCGCTGGAGGCGGCCAAAACTCTAGACGCGTTTTGAGCTCCAGAGTCGCCAAATGGGACTCGAACCGAACGTGTGACCCCACCAATGGATTGCTCTCCGAACGAGGAATCCATTGGTGGGGTCACATGTTCGGTTCGAGGCCCATTTAGCGACTCTGGAGCTCAAAACGCGTCTAGAGTTTTGGCCGCCTCCAGCGGTCTTCTGGCCCACTGTGCGCTGTTCGGCATCAGGCACGCCTTCAGGAAGCGCGCGCCGCGGGGACGCGGACGCTGATAGCGGCCCGGGGCTGGGGTGGGGGGGGATTCACTTGGCTTGGCATATCAGGCGCCAATCTGACCGATGGGCCGTGGGCCGGCCGTCCCCGAGGCCGTCCCCGAGGCCGTCCCCGAGGCCGCCCCCGCGGTGCCGACGCCGCCCTGCCTCCGGGCGCCAGCAGCGTCGCCGCAGCGCCGGCAGCCCTTGGGGAGAAATGTGTCCCGTCGCTGGCGGGCAGGCGCGCGGGGATATGAAAAACTTTATAAGCAGCTCAACTCGTTCGCCGGGCGGCCCGTCGGCCCGTCCCTCTGCCCAGGCCGCTCGCCCTTCTTTTTGTAGGTTTTGCTTTGAGGGAATGAGCAACCGCCGCCCCAGTCCAGCAAACACTCATCCCCTCCAAAAAACAAAAACAAAACAACAAAACAAAACGACCTCGAAATAAAATTATGGAAATTCCGCCGACGTTATGAACCGCACAACTGAAAACAGGCTCCGGCGCGCCCCACACCGCAAGTCCGCGCGTCCTGGCGCGGCCCCCACCCCTCTCGTCTTGTTAGCCGTGTTCAGCCCTTTTCGCTCTCGCCCCCTTTTACGCTGACGTTTCGTCGCTCGACCCAACGACGCGAGCAAGAGCGCCGTTGAAGCGGTTGTGTCCATGTACCACTCCCCCCTCCCCCTCCCCGCCCGACCTCGTTACGCCGCCGTGCCTGGGACCCCCGCCGCGCCGGCGGAGGGCGACATCCCCCCCCCTCCTCCACCTGACGACCATCAGTCGCCGGTGGCCAGGAATGCCGAAATAATCCAAAGTTCCGAACTAATGAGTAAATTTCTCGCGAAGAGGCGACCGGGACTCCAGGCCAGTGACGCGGCACTTCGGCGGAGGGGGTTGAACCCCGTCCCGTCGGACTCGGGAAGGGTATATCGCGCGGCGGATTAAAAGGGTCCTGAGGGAGTGGGGGACCCTCGGGGACCCTCCTCGCGGAGATAGTGACAGGCTAGGGCCCGGCCAGGCCCCACCTCTTCCCTGTCGAGCCGAAAACAAACAAAACGAAATCAGCCAGAGGGAGGGGTGGGGTGGGGAGAAGCCGGTAAACAAACCCATCCCACATCATACACTGCGAGGCACTGCACTGCTAGGCCGCGGCTAGGCCGGGCCGGCCTGGGGTTGGCCGGCAGGGCGGCAGGGGGACACCGGACCGAGCCGGACCTGTGGGGCCCACTGTTATGACTCTGCAAAGTTGAGACTGAGCCGCGATGGAGACGGAGGAACGCCGTGCCCGCCCCTCTGCGCGCCTTACGAGCCCCGGGTAGGCAAGCCCGCAACGCAGCCGTGCGCGACGGGACGGGGCTTCGTGCCAGACGGGGGCTCCGAGGCTCCGAGGCTCCGACCGCGCGAATCTGCATACTCGTCTGCGAGTGGATTCCGAACCCTCCCGCGGCCCACCTCCGCGTCCCGGCCCGGCCCGGCCCCGCCAGAGCGACAGAGACGGAGACTGTGTCGCACCCTCCCTCCGCCGCACCCGAGGGGGACGGCGACCGAACGGGCACCGAACGGGACCCAGAGGCCCCGGGCACAGATTTGGGCCTCGACTCGGGCCTGAACTGAATCATGCAGCCGGCCGCCGAACTGTCGCTGTCGCTTCGGCCGGCCCGGCCCGGCCCGGCCGTCAGGGGACGCCGCGCCGTGCCGTGCCCAGGCTGTGCCGCCCTCCCCATTGTTGCGCGGAGCATTAGGAACCCCGGCACGCCCAGCACGTCTCGGCGGAACGAGGGGGGGAGGGGGTTGGTGCGAATCCCTGGCTGGTCAGCCATCCGCCGCGCACCGCCACGCCTCGCCGCAGCAGTCACCCGGCGCAGCCCTCGCGACTCCACGACGACGCGACGACGCGCAAACTAAGAAAGTCAAGTCAGCGGTCGCGGGGGAAGCCTCGGCCACTTACCTGTCGGAGCTGACGAAGATGATCTCGAAGTTGAGGCCCCGCTCCCGGACCGCGTTGTAGGTGTTGACGAGCTGCGGCGTGAACGCCTTGCAGGGTGGGCACTGCAACAGTCGCGCGGGCGTCAGGGAGGTCGACAGGGAAGTGGGCAGGGAACTCGGCAAAGGAAAGGGAGAGCAAACTCACCCAGTGTGCCGAGAAGTACACGCCGACGACGAGGCCCTTGGCGCCCTTGGCGTCACGCCGCAGGTCGTCCAGCGTGAGGTCCTTGACGAGGTCCTCGGCGTGGCGCTGCAGCTTGGCGGCGGCCAGCACCTGGCCGAGGGGCCGCGCGGGCCAGGGGAAGGCCAGGCCGCGGGGGTCGGCGAGGAGACGCTCACGGCCGCAGCGCGTCACCAGGCGGCCCGTGCGCCCGTCCAGCAGCAGCAGCCGCGACACCGCCACGTCGGCCTGCACGCGGTAGCGCCCGCACACGCGCCGCTGCAACAGGCAAAGTCCGTGGTTCGAATCCCAGCGTCGGCGGCCTTTTTCGTGCCGGGAGAGCGATTCTAGTGCTCCTTCGCCGCTCTCTCTCCCTCGCACCAGCGCGGCACGCCCCGTGAGTGCGAGAAAGACAAGCGTGATGCCGCTTGTTCAGGGACGACGCGGCGCCACGCGGCGGAATACGACCCAATTAGGCCGGGATGGACGCAATGGGGAGGCGGGCGAGGCAACGGCCAATCTGGCCGATGGGGCCGAGCCGATTCGGACGGGCATTGGAGGCCCGCCCCGCCCCGGCCCGCCCCGCCCCGCCCCGCCCTGCGCCAGCACGCCAGGGGGCTGGGGCTGTTGCCTCGAGTCACGGCCCAAATCGACCCCCTGAACGCCCTGAACCTGAACGGCGGACGTGTGCTGATGGCCCGGCAAGGGGCAAAGGGGGCACGCCTTGGCCGTGCCTTGGAGGACAAGAAGAAGAGGAAGAAGAGCGCCCACCGCGAGCACGGCGTCGTGTCGGCGTCGAGTCCCCCAGCAGCTGCAGCCGGAGCCACGGCGCGGCGCTGCCTGGAAACTCATCAGCTGCGCCGCGCTGCCGCGCTGGCTGGAGACGGGTGGGGCCTCCCTGACGCAGAGGGGGGATTGCATTAAGCGCGAGCGCGAACCGAAATTTGGTTTGGCTTGGCTTTAGTGCGCGTGTCGAAGGCGGATTGATGGTCCTAGGGACGAGGCGGGGCGGGGCGGGGCGGGGGGGGCGGGCGGGGTGGTGGCGCAGGTGTGGCGAGGCCCGTAGGACCCATCTGGGGCTAACAGGGACGAACGCCCCTCCGGCAGCAACTTCAACACAAACAACAACAACAACAACAACAACTGAAGCAGCAAACCTGCGCATAAGGGATCACGGCTGAGTAAAATAAAATTTAGTACGTAGGGATCGCGTGCTTTGGGACCGTGGGGGTGAAAATCAAAATTATACTGCAGCAGCAGCAGCAGAGGGGCTGGATTTATTTCCAACGACTCGGAAGGAAGTTTCGGAGAGTAAAAATCAAGGTGCCGAGGAGAAATGGTTGCTGCTGCTCCGAGCTTCATCGGGGAACCTCAATCTCGCGTCACTGAGGGGCCTGTCGTTGGTGCAGAGCGGTCTGGATGAGTCATCCGTGACGTCATCGGAGGGGCTCAATGTTTCGGCACTGCGGGACGTTAGTCATCAGAGCACGTGCGAGTGCACGAGCCCTCAGCAAGCGTCACCCACGAAGACGACATATCGATAGCAAGGAAAACACCTGAAGTGTGTGTGTGGTGTGTGTGTGTGTGTGTGTGATAGCGCTTTCGGCGCAGTACAGTACGACGTTATCATGCATCATAACAGCGAGCGGCAGGTGACCGATCTATACTTGGCAGAAGCGTGCGAGCCTCCACCGACGCATCATCTTCATCGCCGCTCGCAGAGTCACAGGACCAGGTTTTGGTTGGCCAAAAACCAGGGGCCTTCGAATTTTAAACCCGACAAGGTCGCAAATAAAGGACCTGGGGTGGATGGGGGCCTTTTTTTTTATTCCCGATGGGGTCCGCGCCGGCGTCCCGATCCTAAGAGCTCATGGACCGCTTTTCTTTACAGTGTACCCCATCAGGATGAATCCCCCGCCCCCAGTGGTGACGGTGGTCGTTCGCCCGGACGGCCCGGACTGCTGCCCACCGGTCACCTCTCACTCGCACCACTACCCGCCGCCACCGATGCCTCCTCACTCGCACTGCCCTGGGCACTGCCCCAACGTGGTCGTGACCGACGAGCGCCACGAGAGGCGCAGAAGGCGCTCCAAGGTCCTGCGGCTGTTGAGGCTCTCCTTCGGCGGGCACCACGGACTAAGGCGACACTAGCGACACTCCACCTCGCGATTCATTTGTGTTTTTTGTGCGCGAACGGTTATCCCGGAATAAACATTGCCTGGTACCTTCCTTGTTTTATGAAAAAATGTCCTCGTAAAACTCGCGTCGTGTCCCCATTATGCTCGCGACTATGCTCGACTGTGGCGTGCCCCGCCAGTCGCCCGCTGGCGCTACGGCCGCTCTGCTGGCCCTCCCCCCCCTTTTTGGACGAGATGAAATATCGCGAGTCGCGCCGCTGCAGTTACATTATGGAAGCTGTTTCGGAACGCGGGGCCATAGCGGCGCAGCAGCGGCTGGACGGCCGGAGCGAGTCTCTTATTCACAGAGATGGGGCTGGAGCGGGGCGGCCCGGCCCCTGGGAGCCCCCGGGGAGGAGCGACTGGCGGAATGAAGCTGGGAACTGGGAATCCAGGTGGCCGTGTCTCATCCGGAACTGGAAACGCGAATCCAGGCGGCCCCTATTTTCGCGGAGTCGCTCTCCTCCAGTAGAACGCTCAGAAAATTATTTAAATCAATCCTAATTAAACGCGAATTTTTCACGAGATGATTTTACCCGCCGCTCGACATAACCGAGATTCGACTAATCGATTGTCTGCTGTGCGTGCCGGCCGGCCGGCCTGGTGGATTGGGGGAAGGCAGTGAGAGCGTTGCACTCCACAGCCGGCACCGGCCCCGCCCCGCTCTGCCCGTGGAGTACGACAATATGGCGGGGCGGTGGCGTGGCGGGTGCCGGCCGACCTGCAGGCAACTTGTTTGGCCGCGGTCCAGCTCCACGAGTACCTCGTCGACGAGGGGCGTGCCACGCCACGAGCACGGCCTCAAGGGGCGCGGCGGGGCGGCGCGGGGCGGCGGCCCTCTGGAAACTCCGGCCTGGCCCCCAGCTGCACCCACCCCGCGCCACGCCGCGCCGGTCTCAAGTTTGGCGAGAGTGGGGGGAGAGGGGTGCAGGACAAGTTTGGGCCGAATTATCAGCTTTTGCTCTCTGCCCCTTCCTCCTCCCCTCCGCCCTCGCCCTCATCCACATGAGTGGGCCCCGGGCCCGCCGCGCCCCGCCGCGCCCCACCACGCCCAGCCCCAAGTGACTTCGCTCCCCCGGCCACTCCCTCTTTAATGATCCTGATGCACTTGCTGCATGCCTACACGTACACATTCACACGCGCGCGCACACACGGACAAAACAGGGCGTCAGCACGACAACAGCAACAAACGCCCGAAGACCAAACAAACAATCAGGGCCGGCTGATCCCGCAGCCCGCCCAGTCAAGCACAGTGGTCTGGCGCGCAGCGCGCCTGCGACGTCGGCGATCCCATCCCGCCGCACAGGTAAGCGCCGCGGTTGCCACCCCGTCGCTCTGAGAGCCATCCATTGGCGGGGTCACACGTCCGGTTCGAGTCCTGCTTGGCGACTCTGGAGCTCAAAACGCGTCTAGAGTTTTGGCCGCCTCCACCGGTCTTGTGGCCCACTGTGCGGGGACGCCCCGTGCGTGCGAGAGGGACAGAGCGAAGAAAGCTCCCGTTCGGAGTCAGGGCAGGGCGAGCGACCCTTCATTGCGAGGAGGAGAAGGACGTCCCGAGCACGCTGCGCCCGGCGCGGCCCCTCAACCCCCTCAACCCCCTCGGCGCCAACTTCACCCCCTGCTCGCCGTCAGGTCGCTGACTCTCCCCTCCCCCGGCCCCTTTGCCTTTGCCGGGTCGGAAAGGAACGAGGCAATTAGGGGACTCACTCGCCCTTTCATTTCCACTCATTGAATTGCAATAAGGGCCGCGTAATTTCTCATCCCTGGACGGGCCGCGCAGCCCGGCGCAGCCGCGCCCGAAGTTACGCACGCCCGGACCGCCACTGGGAAATGGCGGCGCGAGGGAGGCGGCCGGAGGGGTCCGGGAAAAGTTGCAACGACCGCAACGGTAAGGAGGAAACAATGCGGCGTTCACCCTCCAAGGTTGCCGGTGTTGCTTTCCGCCGCCCGCCGCCGGCTCTCAAGAGAAGACGTTGGCTATCTTTCGTGAGATGTGGCTTATGGCCGGGCGCGTGGACCGGCGTGGACGCCCCGTGCGGGTAGGCACGCCCCCTTAAGGACTGCCTGTTGCCTACCCGTCGCGGACATCCCCGCCGCCCGCCGACCTCCCTGCCCGCGTCCCTGCCCGGAAAGCTCACGGAAATGACGAAGGACGAAGGACGTCCGCCTACCTGGCGAAGAGCGCCCCCGTTCGTTTCTTGCTCGCCTCCCGTCGATTCGCTCTGTGATTGGTCCGTGATGACTCTCTCTCTCTCTCTGTGATTGTGCGCTCCTCCGCTCGATTTGCCGCCGAATTTGCGACAGTCCTCGCCGTCCTCTCTCCTCTCCTCCGTCGCTCCGCCCTCGCAGTCCCATCGGGCCATCGGGCCCCGTGATCCCGTTCCGATTGGGGCCGGCACCGCTGGGGCTGCACGCCGCGCGGGCCGTAAAGAAATTATTTCGGAGCGGCATCGCCGTCGTCCCGGTCGTGCTGGTCGTGCTGGTCGTACCCTCCTCGTACCCTCGTACCCGCGCGGAATCCTACGGGCGACGCCACGGCGGACGCTCGCCCGCCGATCCCGGGAGTCCTTGCCCTCACGCTTCCCCCTCCCCCTCCCCCTCCCCCTCCCCTCCCACATCCCACGGCGTCCGTCCTCCGAGATATTGTCATTTCCAGCGAGTGTTTTCTTTGGATTTGCCGGGAGAAAATTGCGCGCGCGCGCCATGGTTTCGTCCCACGGACTTACCCGCCCCGCCACCACCGCCGGACAATGAAGCTGCTGTATTTTGGTGCGTTTCGTCTTATTGTGGCAACGAGAAGCAGAGCAAAAGTGTCCGTCTTAAAACTTCATTTCTTTACTAAAAATCAAAATCAATTTTAAAGCCATGCTTTCTGTAAAACCAGAATCTATGGTTCGCAAAAGCAACTCTTGTCAACCGTGCCCGTGTTCTGCACTGCAAAATAGTGAACCAACCCCGTCGCGCCTGGGCGCGCTGCTCGAGGCATCAGGCCGGGCGGGGCGGGGCTTCCTATTTATGACGTCACGCTGCACGACTGCATGCACGCGGAGTGGAGCGGGGCGGGGGCGCGGAGAAGCACATGTCGGCATGTGTCATCCGGACGCATTCCCGCGCACGCACACAGGCGCAGTCACAGACGCACACGGACGCGCTCAGACACAGTCGCACACACACAGACAGACACACACACACTCACACACACCAGCTCGAGGATCACGCACACCAACGGCTCGAGCAGCGTGTCAGCCGGGCTTATCTACTACACGCCGGTCGCGGGGCCTGACAGCGGCACCAGGGGTGGGGAGGGGAGGGTTTAACGTATGCCAGGGCAGAGTTACCACAGTGCCCCGCGCCGGCAGTGCCGCCACCGCACCGCCCGGCACGGCCCGGCACGGCCCGCCACGCCCTACCCCCGAAACACTGCCGGCGATTTGCAAGGCGATGACGACACCCACGAGTGGGACGAGTGGGACGAGCAGGCGGATCCGCGACGAGGGACAAAAATGCAAATCCCAAAGTCCCGCGTCGCGACGCGTCGCCGTCGCGCTCCGCGGTGGGCGAGTTGGCAAACAGCAAGAAGAAGCGGCCCGGGCCAACGCCGGCAACGCCGGCACACTGACAGTCGCGCTGTCTCTCTCGCACTCATGGGGCAACCCCTGTCGGCGCGAGAGAGACAGAGCGACAAAAAAGACTGTCGAAGTCAGTCTCCCCGCAGACGAGGCGACTTGCCTCTCTCGGACGGAACGCTGAACCCCAGCGCGGCGCGGCGCGGCGGACGGACAAGACGATCGGGGCTCTGCTCCGCTCTGCTCTCAGACGAAGAGGATGAACACAGAGCAAGAAGAGAAAAGTGTCGGGGTGAAAAAGTACGACAGGCAGTATCGGTTTCCGCCCCGAGTGGCCCAGCGCTGGGCTCCACGCGGCTTGCAGCTTTAGCCCACCGCCACGCCACGCCACGCCACGCCACGCCGCGCCACGCCACGCCACGCCACGCCACGCCACGCTCGCTCCGGCTAAGCCACCCGCGCCCCGTTTTGTTTGGGGCGATAAATATTCCGATGCGCGGCCCCAGCCGGAGCCCCAGCCCCCGGAGGCAGCAGCAGGCTGTTCCCGAAACAGTGTTGCCTTCGTCGCGCTGTCTCTCTCGCACTCACGGGTGGCGTTCCACAGGGGTGCGAGAGGGACAGCCGGGTGTAACGCAAACCCGCGCGCTCAGCGCTTAGCAGTGCGGGGGCTAAGCACGATACACGGACACACGCCGCCCCCGCCGCCCCGCGTTCCCGTTTTAGACTTGGCCCGGAGGCTGCCGGAGGCCCGGGGCGGCGGCCTCAGCCGGCCCCCGCCCAAACCTGGACCGCCACCGCCGGTCGTCCTCGTCGCTGCCAACTTCTCTCTCCCTCTGTCTGTGTGTCTGTCTGTCTCACTCTCTCCCCCGGAGCACGCGTCCGTCCGGCTTGTTGCGGTGTGCGTCCGCGCTTCCGCCTCTGGCCGCAGTGGGGGCGACACTTGCGCAGAACGACTAGACCGCAGTGGCGGCAGTGGCGCGCCGGCGGAGTTTTGTGGCGATTCAGCGTTTTATATGGAAAGCGGCGCTGTATAACGGCGGGCGGTATCCGCACGGCGTCCCTCGCCGTTATCAGCAGAAAGGTGGCGGGGAGGGGGAAGGGGTGGGTTTGGGGGATTTCAGTCACGAGTGCGCGCTGCGCGGCGCGGCGAGGGGGTCGCCGACCTGCCCCGGCGCCGCGATGGACTACCCTCAACGCACTCTCGACGCCGGCCCGCCTTTTCCGAGGGTTGTCACCACACTGTGACCCCGGCCGTCGCGCTGCACGACAAGCAGGGCGTCCGCGTGCGCCTAACCTAACCTAACCTAACTACGTGACGGCGCACTTTCCAGGCGGGTCATCTGGCCGATGACGCGGAATCCGAAACACATTACCGCCGCGTGTCGGGCCCAAAGGGATGGGGGTAAAAAGAGCGGCCCGCTCACGTAATTTATGTAATTTATGGACGCTTTCGCCGCTAATTACCCTGACTTATTACTCCCC